TCTATGTAATCAAACTAATGCTGTATTTTCCTCTTCTATAGCATTTAAGGTAGCTTCGAACAACACTTATAGACTTCAAACTTAATATCCGTGGCCTTCGAAGAGCTGTGCAAGGGGATATGACCACACACCCCCTCGACTCTCTGCGTCTCCGATACGCCTATCGCTATCGCTTCTCTGGAGGCATGTCTTGTCCATAGTCAGATGTGGAGTTGATACACTTGGGGTGTCGAACGTGTCTTCTAGGCGCTCCCACTCCTCATATACTTTGAATTCACCACCTAAGTGTAGCTCTTCAATGCACTCAGGAAGGATTGTTCTAACGTCGAACTCTGTATCAGTGTTTTCATCATCTTCCGCACGATGGAATCCTTCTTCTAAAGGTTCATCATGTTGTGAATCTTCTTCCTCTTCTTCCGTTTCAGGTCTTAGTACTGACCATTCGCAATCAAGTATGCGAAGCTTTCGGAAGCTTCGAAGTGAGACGACCGTCGGGCCGGGAATGTCAAGGCCAAGCTAGCAACGGTGATTAGCCAAGAAATCTATCAAGAAACAAGGTCTTACATCATCATCTACATAGCCCTGACCGAGGCTAAGCTCCTCCAGCGAATGAGCAGCACATGTAACAACCGCTTCCAGAACCCTTTTGGCTTGATAGGAGCTTGTTTCCGATACTGTAGAGCCACCGCCGTGATACGTGAACTTCTCCAGATGCCTGACCGCTGCAAGAACAACTGCTAAACCGTCCACATCAAATCGACAATCCCATAAGAATAGCTCTGCCACGTTCGAGCACGGTACAGCACCATTTGGGAACAGACTGCGCTGCACCTGTCTACTAGGCGAGTCCCCCATCCCCTGCGCTGCAAAGATCTTCAACGAAGGAATACAAAGATAGTAACAGGCCCAGTCGGGAGAGACACTTCCTTCCGTATCGTAGTAGGCGATGGCGACCGTTCTGAGATGCTTCAAAGGGAGCATCGGCGCTATCATTGGGTTCTTGTATTCGTGGGCAATATGCCACAGGGCCGTCTCCAAACATTCTTCTTGGTGTACCACAGTGTGTCTGATAGTGGTAAGGTAAGGATAATAGTGCAACAGTAGTATAATGATAGCGTCTTCAAAGCCTCTGTGAATCCGATCTTCGATCGAGGCAATTGTGAGTTGAGGAAATGGCAGGATTTCGGTGGAGCGCGGGTGTTGACGCAGCACGGTCTTTGTTCCTGTCACCGGATACAGGTGACGCAGATTTCTCGCCGCCTTAATGAACAAGCCCTTATCTTCCTCGGACGGCCCAACGCCGTTGTTTGGATGGGTGCCATACAAACTTTCATTCACATTCCAGTTGTATTGTCGGGTCGCTGGAAGATTGAGTTCCCTGATGTACCAGCCTTGACGCGGATCGATCAACACCTCTCTCAGTACTCTCCACAGAAGCGTCCGCACATCTGTAGTGTCAACGACTTTCCATTCCGATAGCAGCCTTCCGTGCTCTTTCAGCGTCGAATTCGCAAGTGTCGCATGGTCTCTGCACGTGAGGGCAAAGTTAAGGGTCGAGTCGGGATCTAAGAACTCGATGACGTTGAGTTTGAGTTCCGGCGGGAGTGCAAACAAAGCCATGTAAATCGCTGTTGAAGCAGTCCTACCGAAGGACGCGTTGTGCTCTTTATATTACGATGAACATGTCAGAGCGCTGGAAGTCTATCACCCTAGTGCAAGGCTGCGACGGGGTGGCGTGTTTTGCGCGAAAGCTCGGACCTGGCAGCAGCCTGAAATCCACGCGCAGATGTGGTCGTCTTGGTGCATCGTTGCTCTTGACTCTATATCCCGTGCACATCTCAGCAGATTCGCTTTAATGTAACATATACTGATGCTCAACATGAAGATCGGGAGCGGTGAGGCCGGCGGACTTCGTCCACGCGCCATGGATCCTGCCTCGAACCTGATGCATAGTCCCGTCCATGGAAGGACTTTCGTTTGGTTGCAAAATTTTAACCTCCTACCATCGTTTATGATGAGGTCCACATTATATCACACTTATCCACAGAAAGACTTCATTTATGCCCCCATAGGAAGCATCTACAGTTTACGCAAAACATTGAAGCTAAGCTGTGTGTATTGGATTTCGTGCCAGCCAATCGATTATGCAGCCTTGGACGATACTATTCTACATTCAGCGGACTTCCGACTTTTCCGGGTACGCTCCGCATCGTTAGCAACAGGCCTGGCTGATGGGACAGTGACGCTAGTAATTGCAGTCGTGGTCTCGTTGCCACACTTGGCCCAATATGTCCACCTTATCTGATCCGCTTCTTCGTCGCCATGACTGTCCTTTTCCACTATATTATCCAGGATCAACAGACTCATGACCCGCACTGTATCTTCGTCGCCCGTCAGCGAGAAATGTGAGTGCATCCGTAACATTTTAACAACTCTAGTGTATTCCACCTAGCTGTCTCGGCGTTTTACAGAAACTGGTTGATCAACTCTGAGGTCGACCGTATGCCAGAATCAAGGCTCAGTATTCCTGGCGGTGACTAGGTGGCCCGAGGAACTTGCAAAAGATGCGTCAAATGCGGCCATGACACGGGTCGAGTAGACCTTTGATCTGAAAGGATAGTTATGGAGGAGTAGACTCTTGGTGTGGCGATTCACTTCGAGCCAAATAGAGCGGCGAGTCTACCAAGCTCTTATAAAAGGCGTTTCCCGAGAATGCACCGAAGACGGGGGGCGCTGCGGACGAAATAAGGTCACGGTGTCTGGTGTGAAGGTGGTCTTCTTTCACGCTCGAGCTATAGCGGCTTTCGCTCTCGCCACTTCGAGCGACGCCAACTCTTGCTTGACCGCAGGTTTGTTTTAAGAGAAAATTCCGATGATCCTCGCTAGATGTTCTTTCTATGTCTGCACTGCGTATTGCCCCTAGGAAGCTGTTGGTCACGCACACACAATGACTTTATTTGGATTTTGGTCGTCCTAAGATTCTTATACTTCCTGACACACTCGAGAGATTCCACAAGTTGGACTGATTGGCAGCGTGCTAGATGCCGACACTGTTTGATTAGCAAGTACACCTGAGAAATGCGCATCTGCGACTATAGGCCGCCGCATCTCTGGAACATCCGTGCAAGTCGACTGAAGAACTTGAGATGCATTCCCACCTCGCAGACTAGTCAACAGCCACTAGCGATGATGTCTGAAGAGTGAATCCTGTGGCCGCTTCTAATTAAGGAGTTTCGGTGGCTTCTTGTTCCTTATCAGGTTTGAAACTGATGACTTCTTCTTTCCCGCATTAGTATACAATGGCATGGCAGTATCACATGTGATTGTTGATGACACCAGATGGAAAGCCCGAACAGTACTGATCTTCTTATTGGAGAATTGGTGCTCATCTTCTGGCGAAAAGATGGCGGCAGAAGTGCTTGAGGCTATCGACAAGATTATGACGATGGTCCTTGTGGAGACGGTGATCAACGATAGGTGAATTCTGGTAAGGGATTACTAAATTTCCATTTTCCTTTAGATATCCATATTCCAGCCCACAAATGAAAAGGTCGTTCTCTAGCAACGGATCGTAGTGAAAAGCTGACAGACCAAAACAGTGTTTCAAAGGTATGTGTACATGTAGATTCGTGTGCTTACAAATGATTCATCCCAGAAACGGCATAGCGAACGATATGTTTCGTAATGACAGGAATCCCGTTGATCGTGCTACCATTCCCATATCTGCTTGGTTGAGGACTTCCAACCCTGTGTGGAATGCACCCTTCTTTATGTTCATTCTTGGCTTGCCGTCTCTTTTATAGGGAATTTTACCAATCGCACTCTCTTGATTGCTATTCCCATGCTCACATCCTTTGACCTTCTTGAATTCAGCATCATCAGTGCCACTACTCTGGTCATCCCGACCAAAGTTCGTTGACGACCTTCTCTAAAGTACGATGTCCATCTCTCACTTGTAAGTACACAAGTCAACTAGTATAGTTCCTGTGGCGTGACCCACTTGTATCAATACTCACAATCAGTTGATCTATATTCTTCTGCTCTCTCAAGAGTGATCTTGTCAACTCTTGATCATTGCTTTGATACATCCACGTTACAACATGGAGACATCTGGTCATTGTGGATACTTGCTTCTGCTGTACGAACAAGGAAGTCTCATCCAAAAGTCATTTGCACGTACGTCTATACAAGCTGCATGACCTTTGAATATTGTACCTAGATAACCATGTTGTTATATTGCGACTGTATGACCAGTATGCTAGTGTCCACCCACACCTGCATCTAGATTGCACCTCGACGCAAATCGAGTACAGACTCGTGAGCTTCTAGCTCTTCGTGAGTACCATTGACGAACTGGAAACTTACAAAGCTGTCACTTTGATCTTCGGAAACTACAATCGCCTTGGCCTGCTTCCGCTCATCTCGAGCGGCTTTGGAGAAGCCACCTCTGTTGCGCTGGAGTATGTCTTCGCAGATGTCTGAAACCTTTTTGCACATTGAATGTTCCCCATGTAGAGTTTTCGAGCCGGGGAGAAGTGGCTTGCCGGTTCGCAGCTACTGTTTGAGAGAGTTGAACAGAGCAGCCGCTTCGTTCCTATCGCGGACGAGTAACAGAGCGTGTACTTCGAGGCTCAAAAGCTGCTCCAGATCGTTAATCATCAAGCTAGTGTCTGATTACTCTTGTCCTAGATCTGAGAGACAGCTGTGTTTTTCGGCCAAACAGACGGGGCTATATCGCTTCCAATGATATACATGGTCCAATTCGAAGTTGGTACCAGGAGCAAACTGCACAGATTTCTTGTGGAGACTAGACATGGACATCGGTGAAAGTATTGCGAACACAGTCTGGGAACCAGGCAATTGTACCTAGGTATGGCATTCGTCCGAAAGTGTGTTTGAGTATTCTTCTAGAAACCAGTCTTTAAATCGAAGACGAATCCAAATAGTAAAACATGCGACAATGCGTGACAGCGCATCAAAATCAGATGCAGCCAGACAATGTTTTCTGAAAAACGACTTTTTGATGATACGGAGAGGCACACCACCAACACAATGTGACAAACAAGGTATCCATGATAAAAGGTAGTCCTTTCAACTTCTCATTTGTCATCTCACAAGACCTAGGTAAGTATCTCAAGCGCCAATCAAAGACTCAACCCAGTAAACTCCAGCGCCGAGTATGCTCTTCCATGTTCAATCAATGTATCCTACATAAACGTCGCCAGTCACGTACCCACAGAGCCCTGGAGTATCGCCAATTCTAAACGGCTGCATAGCCTCCTCTGCTGCCACTTCCCTGAACAGTTCCCATGACCTTCCTGGCGAAATCTTTTGCAATGTATGGGATGTCGCGGATCGTGTCGCCGTGGGGCAAAAGCTAGATATGGAAGTACAAAGTCAGTGTATGTGTCAGAAACAGTTCGTACAGGGACACTTACGTCCCAGCCGCGAGCGCCGTAGCGGTTGTAGTTCAACCATGAGCCGAAGATGAGATAGGCAGCAATTGCAAGGAAAAGACTAGACGTATGTTAGTGCACGATCATACATTTGAGCTTCAGAGAGGGTGACGCACATGATGAAGAACCAGCCGAAGAAGCCCCAGTGCGAGCCCCCGTCGGGCGAAGGCGCGTCTGCACACGCGTACTTGGTTCGCCACTCCAATCGAAGTGTTTGGACTTTCTTGTCTTTTTCTTCCGTCTCCAAGTCATAACCACAGAAGCGTAAACTGTTGTCATTGTCCTCACATTTGCTCTTGCCGCTCTCCTCTCTTGGCCGCAGCTTGTCTTGCTTCTTTTCGTCATCCTTCTTGTTGTCGTCCTTGTCATCCTTGTCATCCTTATCACCGTCTTCGTGGGGGCTCTTGTCCATCTCGTCGCCTTCTAGTCCCGTCCTCTCCTTGTCGCAAACGAACTCAATGATAGCGCGCTGGTTCACGCCCTCCCTCTTGCTGTCGAAAGGGAACCTGCCCCCGTTTAGCGTCGCCCGGACGCCCTCTAGTCCGGCGTCCTTGTTGCTCTTGGAGTGGCCCAGATTCTCGAATTTGGCATCCATGTTCCTCCCATTCTGGGTCGTGTATGTGCCGGCAATATCGATTGGGGTGATGGTGGAGTTGTCGTCCTTGCTGAGGTCGATGTTCTCTCGGATGCCACACACCCTGGCCCCGTGATGGCACTCGGTAGCCAGACTGCCGCCCTTGTGCCATTTGAGAGAGTTGCATATGTCGATTGTGAAGTTGTATTTCCATTCGAGTTCTTTGGTGAGATCGGACTCCTTGTAGTGGACCACGTGCGGCCCGCCGAGCTCTTTGAAGTTGAAGTGCGCGCCATCAGCGAGTATGTCTTTGCAGTCGAAGGCATTTGCCGAGTATGGGAGGACGCACGCGAGGGCGAGAATGGGTAGCAGCGGCGATCGAGACCGTGATGGTGCCATGGTAGCGTTTGTGGAGCAACGCGAAAGTCGTGGTTGATGGGAAGACGACGGCGGAGCTCTGGGGATAGGACACGGCGTTGCGGAGATGACGCGCGCGCACGGGTGACAAAAAGGCAGCTGTCAACCGCTTGGGGGAACTGTCGCAACGTCACGTTGGCTAGAGGGGGTGACGCTTGTGATCCAGGCTGGAGTGTCACTTGAGCAGAGCAGAGCAGAGCAGCAGTGTCGCGATGTCGCGCCGACCAACTTGTACAGCAAAGTTGGCACGAGCGACGCTGCCCGACCGCAACAGCGCTGCTGCTTAGTCAGTGACATGGGGAGCCCTGCGTCTCCGACTGCTCCCTCAAAGCACCCGTCAACCGTCGACCTTGCATTCCAACACTGCGCGCCAGCGCAACTATACAAACCCATACGTGACGGGCATACATATCCATTCAGCTCCGTCTTGGACATCACAGACACCCGGCTTTACTCAGCCTTGCCTTGGCGCGTGGTGGTGCCCTCGCCAGCCAGCTATCGGCCCCTCATGCGATCCACCTGGTCTAACTCCCGGCTGTCATCTTCGATAGTTGTATCGTATCTACAGCATTGGTGGCTGTCGGTATCGTATCCTTTCATTCCACGGAGCCATCTTTTGAATACGAGTTGCAGTACACGGACGGACCTAAAAATAGACCGTCTTGGGGAATAGCTTCAAAGTATCTTGTACATTCTTTTGAGCTAACGTGATCTAGTATCTAGTCTATAGAATCGTCCCCACACTCCTGTACTCCAGAGGATACAAGAATAGAATTTTACCATGATCAAAAACAGGATTCATCAGAATGAGTGAAATTCCTTCCCCAAGAGCTTTCGTATCGAGCCGCCGTCATCGATAGTCGACACACTAGTCAGAGAGGCAACGGCCCGACAACGAAGCATCCTTGGAAGAAAGCTGAACTGAGAAGAGACAGACGCAGTATAGGGAAAAGTAGACGCCAATCATGCAAGCCTATGCGCAAGAGAAAAGCCGAGCGCAGCCAGGTGAACACAAAGTTGTGTCGTCGTCGAGGGTGCATGACAAGAGTGAAGGCGCCAGAAATTGAAATGACCGAGGCTATACGTGGCTGCAGAGAGAAGAAGGGTACATCGTGTATGAAGGAATCGATGATACAAGTTCAAAGAAGAAAAGGGTATCTCCGACGCCAGGGTTGCAGTTTAACCATGCCATGCAAAACCAGACAGACAGAAGAAGAAAAGTGACTTGAAGAGCAACCGGGATGAAGAAGACGTCTATTTGCCTTGACCTCCCTGGCTCGAGCCGCCCCTAGGATTGGCCGGCATTGGATATGGAAACGGGGCGTATGGAAGTTGACCTGATCCAGAGTTACTGCCAGCACTAGACGTGCCCGATGGTGAAGATCCCGAAGAAGACATGGTGATGTTCGTCACAGTTGTTGAGGCTTCGAGAGGTTGTGACTGAGAGCGCTGTGGGCGTTCGTAAGGTGTAGGAGAGCGTTCCTGTCTCTGAAGCTGTAGCGGCGAACTAGATCTTGAGCGATGACGGATAGCAAGGGGATAACCCTGTCGAGCACCCGACTCTGGAGTTTGTGTCCGTGAAGAAGCGGGCGACCTTGTAACGACAATTACGGGTGTTGACAAGGGTTGTTCGGAGGTCGATTGAGATGTATCCTCCAGACCCGGGTGTGCTGTAGAAGAGGTGGTCGTCTGAGTGACTTCTGTAGTGTAGCTTCTGGTGGGTTGTGGGTTCCTTGTCGGGCTAGACGGTTTGGAAACACGGTCGCTCATATACCAGGAGAGAAGACACAGGTATGCTTATGCTCAGACCTGGGAAGTAAGCTGGTTCGAGTGTGACGTCGCTGCTGACTAGTCCAAGTCATAAGAGTCGGTCGAAGAGGTCTGGGAACGTGTTGGTGACAGTCTTGATTAGGTTGTCGTGGTAGCTGGTGATGATGCCCTAAGCCGAAGGCCCCAGATCTTATATCTTCAACACCACGTCTTTGGCCCCAGATCCTAGAGTTTTGGCTCCCCGACTTTACGACCACCAAAGGTCGAAAATAGCAAGACTGATGTCTGAACAGAGGAATTATTGAGAAATCCAAGCCGGTCTCGTGTTGCATAATCCAGTATGTGGCTTGTTCCTGCACGCTTCGGAGTCAAGATCGTTTCTTCTATACGGGTGACCCAAGCGTCCGTAGCGTCGGTACTGTAAATGCGGTATTGGGTCATAAGGCTGTACCCGACCAGTTGGAGAAGGTGGTGAGACTGCAGCGGGACCGGTGAGTGGGTATTTAGCGTGCACGGAGAGAGCCTTTGTAGATGTGTGGCGTCCGGATCACGCTCTGCCTGAAGAGATTTGTATGCACCGTTGGCGACTATGCAGCGGGACAGTGTAGGGTTGCTGTCGTCAGATGCTTATTTGAGCCGCACGCACGACGACCGGTATGCGAAGATTTAGACAAGGTCTGTTTGGCGGGATAGGCAACGATTGAGGCATTCATGGAGAGACGTCTTTACCGCCATGCGTCGTGTTACTGACTTGTGTCGTGCTTTACTACATCAGCTATTTCCACTTCGCCGATGATATACATGGCCAAGTCTCTTTCTGGTTCCTTCTCGTATCGGGTGGCTCCCAGAGAACCACCATTTGTCCTCACTCTGATAAGCATGCCAAATCTTCAGGCACAGTGAAAGACCGGCCGAAACTTTGACACGGGTCGTATTCGTGACTTGAAGCGCTCACGCGACTCTGCCGTTGCGCATCTGGCTCGCCCCCGGTTGGCGACCACCGAGCTCGGTATAGCCGACGGGATGTTTCGATTTGAGATGATCATTTTGGCGCAACTACGAGATTCATTGGATGGTTGGCCACTAATCCAATAGAGCCATACTTGCAATGCTCGTGTCGAATGCGTTGACGAGTCAGAGGCTCCAACGGTCGCTAATATTAGCCGTCTTAACACGATTTAACACGAGGTGTAGTCACTACGAGAGAATGTTACTCAGCTATCGCCAAGCTCACGCCTTAGCCCGCGCATCGCATCCTGTCATGCAGGAATCCGTGACCCGATTAGTATTCCATGATGTCACCGCTGTCGCATGGAAGATTAGTTGCGACGTATTGGTATCCAGTGATGCGTGCGGGCTTTGGTGTTCGGAGACTTTGTCAGCGGTAGGGTTGTGCTCGCTTGTCGAATTAGGGCGTAAGAATGGCAGGGATACCGCTTGGTAGACTAATCTTTCTAAGATCCTTTCCAGAAGATTACTGAAGGCGGAACGCCATTTGACCCGTAAATGATGCCCAAATGTGCTGCAGCGTTAGATTACTACATATCTCTGGGCACATTTATAGCGGTGTAGGTACTGTCGCAGCGCTATACCATTAAATTTATGACAGAGCTGATCAACCAACGCTGTGGAATGACGGAGAGGCTGAACGAACGATGCCAATTGCAAAACCCCCACGTTCATCTACGATCACCCTAACACGGTCTTCGGTAACGAAGACCGGGAGATCTAACCACACGTTGATCAATGGCACTCGTTGCGCAGATGCGTCTGGCTCAAGACGACCTAGGGACCTAAAAGCCCTTAATTAGCATCAACTACTAGACAGCTATCTTAATTACCGGACTTTGCAATCATTGCAAATAATAGACGTACCCAGGTATTTTGCCGCGAGACGCGGTTGTGTAAGCATAACTTAAGCAGTTTTCCCAATTGTTATAGGCCTTCCCGCTTACGCAATCTGTTGGATGGCTTATTACATCGCATGCCACAATTGGCAAAAGGTACCTCAATAACATACCACAAGTGGGTGGGTTATCGGCCGACAACACTCAGCGCATATCCGATGCTGGAGATGAATCAAAGAGCCCGAGCCAGTATTTTAATCCCTCTGGAGCGACTGATATTGTGACTCTACGTCTACAATTCCATGCGCCTGGTTCTGAGCAGCATACACAAAACGAGTGCGCACGTTCTCAATAGGTATCATGGATCAGGTTTTACTGGGCGAAACAGCATTATCATCCAGCACTGCGTCATTGCTTTTCTGAATCGGTAAAAAGATACTACTCGTTGGCTACTCAAGTATGTCTTAATTGAGCGTTTGTACTATACATTGGTCTTCATTAGTACGAGTGTAGGCATTAGCAAGAGCCGTATGACCGTGGCTACGCATTCCAGACACCACTAAGGCCTAAAGAATGCATTGCTCTTCACATTGAGAGCTGGCGAAGTTGTGAATAAGATTTACCCTGGCATATTCAGCACGAATGCGTAAGTCAATATTGATGACAATGTTTAAATGAACACTGAGTAACGAGTGGCCTTGCACAATACAACAACTGTAGTCAAACGTTAGTGCGGGTTTGCTTATTTGGAGTCTTCGTTCAAATTTGACCGTGCCTCATTTGGACAGGTAGTAATGTGACAGCCTCAGCCAAAACTATTGACCGTCAGAGGAGGCAATGAAACCTTATACCTACTCATTACGAATCTTTACATGCGGTCGAAGAGCCTCATACTCCTGCGTAAAACATGTTTCTCCTTTCTCCCGTGCCTTCTTCTTGAGCATGCCTGTCGTTTGTTGTTCTTTTGCTTACGCTGCGAAGGATGACAATCGCAGCGCAAGTGGAGAGCATGGAATCACTAGAATCCCCTACGAAAGTGGTAATAGGCTAGGTAGTCTCATACCGCCTGGAGATGCCTCAGCAGCGTTGCAGCCAGGACTTCTTGGTGATCAAATGAGTGGATGTTACCAAGGTTGGCATGAGTTCGTACCTACCTAGGTAGGTAGGACAAGAGTCCTGTCCAGCAGTGCGAAGGGTACAGGACCGTAACGAGACGAGAGCTACAGCGACCTGTCCACAGGACGATGTGCTTCCATCACTGAACTCACAGATGGAAGTGTATCGGTTGAGTCGGTTCTTGTCGGTGTGCAGCGAGTGTCAGCTTGAACGCACAGATGCTGGTCAGAGCGTCGGCATGACGAACATGATGACGGACACAGAAAAGCAATATTGCGCCTGAAAAGATATACGGCTACAGGTTATAGGTTCGTTTGCAATGCCGATGAAAATACGAGACGCCAAAGGAGGTGCTGATCGCGATTGTTGAGCGGTCAAGACCTGAGATGACTGCATGCCAAACTGGACGCGAATATCGTGCTCGCGCTGACGCCAGATCACATGCGCGCGTCAATGACGTCAACCATACTTTGCAGTCAGATCACCTCATTGGTGAGGTTGTGTAGTATGCCGCAGGGAAATACTGGAGAGTTTGAACTAAAACACTTGGATGCACTTGCCGTGCCTATGTGATGGTATCTCTGGGTGCTAATCGGGAACCTGCATGCTAGATCTTAGATCGATCGCTCATTAAGTGGGGCGTCTACGATCCAGGAGACATGGCATTTACTATTGCCCATGATGCGGCGGCGGTACCTGAAACTTCTCCATGTTCTGATCCACTTGACGGTCACCCACAATGACGACTCGTCTTGAGTTATCACTGATTCAGGGGAGTACCTGGAAGGCCCCCTACACGATGACCTCGTCAATGAACACAAACGGCTAGCGACATCCACATTGTGCCTTGAGCCCAGACCTTCCTGCCTGCGCGGCAGCGGGTAGCACAGTGGATGCGAAAAGTGCTCCAATCTCAGGTACAAGTGAACTGAGCAGGCACCCGATCATTGACGTAGCAAACTTCAGGGGACTGAAATCGATCGTGCGATACATTGCATCACACCTTCACGAGACAGGGAAATGACGCTACTTTGAGGGAACCTGACGTGTATAAGAACACCGGGGTTCATCTGCTACATACTCACTATCAAATCCAGCTATTTACCATTCTGACAACCCTCACAACTCTTCCAACCATCACTACAATCTTTCCAACACCATCAAACATCACCATGTCTGCCAATCCAGGAAACGTTGTCGGAGGCCACAAGGCAAACCTCAACAACCCAAGTAAATTGCCTATGTCCCGCTGGCCTTCAACACTGACATTTTCCAGACACGTCCGACGAATCCAAGCAGCACTCTAAGGAGGTCCTTCAGGAGATCAAGAACGGTGGTGATGCGAGCGCCGTATCTTCTTCCAGTGGAGACAAGAACCCCAACAACGTTGCTGGTGGTCTTAAGGCTACGCTGAACAACCCCAACACCTCCGACGAGGCAAAGCAGAGCGCGAAGGAGAGGCTTGGTCAGGAGTAAGCCGCTGTTGCATTCGAATAATGCTTCGATGCCTTTAAGTGGATCGAAGAGCAGTGAGACATCCAAGCGGAATGCGCGGATACGGTCGTGTAGCGTTATCGACGAATGATACCATCAACAAACATATTCCACCCTTGCATCCTGTGACGTTAGACCATAGCACATTATGACAGTCCCGACTCCACCATGCAAAAGTTATGTCTTTAGCTCGCTCGAAGCATGCTTGTTATGCCTACTCTTTCTCCGACTTCAGCAAGCCCATGACAACCTCAACCACCCTCCGGAACGCTTCCATCTCTTCTTCGACGGTTCCACCCATGCCTGCACTGGCAAAACTGGATGAGTTTCCGACATATACGGGCTTTCCCGTCTTACGCGCGAGCACCTTGGATAGACGAGTCGTGAAATCTAGAGTGCCGCCGTGAGTGAAGAGCGGCGTACTAAGTGCTTCAGCAGGTTTAGCCATCTGCGCACGTCGTCAGCTTATGTACTTGCAAGATGAATGTTATCAAATATGATATTTACGTTAGGCATGGCGTATACGAAGGAACCAAGGGGTGCAGAAGTCGCAGACTCAGCTGCAGCAGTCGTGAGGAAGAGCAACAAGTTTGGGCCGTTGTCCGTGAGCTGGAGATGTATATTTGTATGTGGTGCCTTTGGGAGAGGGAATGAGACTTCAGTGAGCGCGTGAGTTGTGATGCCGTCCATGATTGCAGTAGCCATTGTCGCGTGTTGAAGGCAAGCGCGAAGAGTCAAGTCGCGATGATGATGGAGGACCGAGGCAGGTGGGGCAATAACTGCGAACCTCACCCTGAAGCCTGTCACGAGACAATAGCAACCCAAAGGACTTAGCGAACACAAACAACAATTGCAACAGTCAGCAAAGCCACAGACCACTTACGAAACTCAAGGCATCATCAACCTTTTCTGAATGAAAGATGAAAGCAGCATCGCGAGAACCCTATGACCCTACCACAGACCCTGAGGAACAAAATCTCATCCTCTCAGTTTTAGACTCTTTTCGGTATGCTCACACGTGCCTCACCAAGATGACACCGGAAGACAAGTGGCTGACATCTCCGCAGCTCCTACCGCCGCCTTGCTCACTACAATGGGACACACCTGCGCCGCCAAGCCTTCTATTCCCTCCCACAATCGCATTGGACACTGCTATCCCGCCCGCCCTTCTCTATCCTGTCTACGCTCTCTCAAATAGACGACCTGATTGACAGCAATGCCGAGCTAGCAGAAGCTATTTTCGTAGCAGGTTTCAAAGCCTTCCTAGCCCCCACTCTAGACAGTGATTGGGTAGCTTCAATTGTGCCAGAGAAATATGCATGCGACGAATACAAGGTCTTCGACATTATCATGGATGAGCTTGGAGCAAAGACGAGTCAGGGTGATGTGGACAAGGCACGGAGTTGTGTAAATCAGTTTTGGAGGGAGTGGAGTCAAGCAGGGCATGCGGAGAGGGTCAAATGCTTCGATCCCGTTGTAGCGGCAGTAGAAGAAGAATTTGCATCAAGAAGCAGTACCACCCCAGATTTGGATCGCGCAAATCTTAAAGTTCTGGTTCCTGGGGTTGGGCTGGGACGTCTGGTCTTCGATATCTGCCGTGCAGGCTTCAGCGTCGAGGGAAATGAGATTTCCTACCATATGCTCATGGCAAGCGCGTTGGTCTTGAATGACACAAAAAGTACTGGACAGTTCAAGATTGCTCCCTGGGCACTGAACAGCTCAAACCACGTCTCTCGGGAAGACCAACTGAGAACCGTCAGAGTACCGGACATACATCCAGCGACAGAATTAGCAAAAGCAGCGGCCTCAAGAGTTCCAGCCGGTGAACGAATGAGCATATCAACAGGCGATTTTTGCGTTGTCTACGGTCGGCACGACTATACAGATGAATTCGATGCAGTAGCGACTGTCTTCTTCATTGACACTGCGCCGAATATTATTCGCTATATCGAAGCTGTTCGTAACTGCTTAAAACCAGGAGGCTTATGGATTAATCTTGGTCCACTATTGTGGCATCCACCACCACGGAGAGTGAACGACGAAGGTAAACTGGCCGAGGATGGAGAAAGGAGAGCCGATGTGGACGCAGGGATTGGTGATCCAGGTTCGGTAGAACTCACACATGACGAAGTAATTGCATTAGTTGAGCATTTTGGGTTTGTGATGGAGAGACAAGAGCATGGTACTATCGAGACGGGATACATCTCCAACACCCGGAGTATGCTGCAAAATACATACCGCCCTTCGTTCTGGATAGCGAGGAAGAAATAAGAAGATACCCACATCTACTGATGGCGGCTACACTGAGATCTTCTTTCGCACATGCTCTTTATTCCATTATCAAGACTCTTTGATACGACGCATGCACAAGATAGCTCTGATGGTGATAAGATTGAAGGTTTATGGTTCGTGATGAAGAGCAGTTTGATATATAAAGAAAGAAACATCCTGCTTCCCAAGCCTCGAAACCAGAACGAGAGCGAATATGGTATCATGCAACAAATGTACAAAGAAATGGAACCCTGATATCGCCCCTCACAAGACTCCAGCTGTCAGTGTTTGTGTTGTAATATGGTTCAAGCAACCATGGTCTGATTGGGGTAGTCAGGTCCTTTGCCTTCGGACCCACCCAGTCGAGCGTTCGCATGTGCAAGGCTAGATTGTGCAGCTTCTTGGAGCTGGGTTTCGACGTTTCGTTCCCGCTCCCGCTCATGTGGGGTGTTACGGCCCGATGGTACCCGTGCATCGTGTGAGCCATCGCGCTGTGGTGGGGGTGGCTGTGTATGTTGATCTGAAGGTTGGTGGTGGGCTTGCTGATGCTGAGGTGTGTGCTGGCCGTTGCTGTGTGAGATATGCGATGGTGTTGGCACATGATGTGAAGGACTCATCATCGCAGCAGGACTTCCCGTACTTGCGCGATCACCACTTTCATGGTCGCTAGTCTCACTCTGACCATTGCTGGTAGTACCGGGCGGGTAGGTATATCCACCGCGTAACTCACCCTCTTTGACTTCTTTCCATGAGCACTTTGCATGCTTCTTCGTGCACCCCACACATGCCGTGAGGTTCTTCAGGCAATCCATGTGTAACCTCCGACAGCGATCACACGGTGGAATTATGCGTTCACCCTTGGCTAGACCTTCCATCCTGTGTACCATTTCAACCTTGAAAGGGCCTCCGTCATCCTTCTCTGGTTGTTGACTGGCGCGTTGACTCGAGGCGGGAAGGAGATTGGAGGGAGTGTTGGGTATCGGTACAGGCGAGTTCATCATGGAGTGCAGCTCAGACTCATTGAGGGGTTGAGGTGGCCTTGTAATATGTTGCAGCGGAGCCTGAGGGCCATCGGCGGGCTTCGGGACAGCCCTAGTTGGAATTGTTGCAGGAGTAGATGGGTGAGAGACTGCATGGCTGCCCATGGACGGTCTCCGTGCATCGGCGGTGCTATTTGGTGGCTGCGAGGATGAACTCCGACCATTTGTTGTATGAAACTTGGCTAGGAGTTCATGACGGGTGGACGACGAAGTACCGTGGCCGCGGCTATGACTGTGGCCGTGCCCGTGACCATTGGCTTCATGATGCTGACGCGCATTGACTGCGACGAAGCCACCACTACCACCTGGTGATGTCTGCGAGGCTTGGGTATGAGCTTGAGCGTGTCCCTGGCTGTATCCCAAGTTCGGGGCGCTCGAGCTGCCGCCATTCATGAGTGCGACGTTGGAGGGGCTAGTAGGGCGAGGAATGGGAGGAGCGGGACTTGCGGTTGCTCTTCGATCGAGGATGGCCTGCTTGCGACCCTTAAGCCTGTGATTGAGCTGCCGAGTGCGAGCAGCGACTGTCGAACGTTAGCGAATTAGATGCTAGTTATGGTGCTTGGTCAGACTCACCCTGATCGGCCAGTGAGCATATCTGGCTCAAGTTCTTCTCTAGAATCTCCATGGTGCCCAGCTCCTTCTCCTCATCTTCTATGATGGGTTGCGGAGGAATCATCTTCTGCGGAATGCCCGATGATATCAATACGAAGTCCTCCTCTGAGATCTGGACTCGACACTGCTTGGTGTAGAACTGGCAGACGCGTACCCCTTCGCTCATCTGGTCCAGCTGGAACTGCTCCGGCTTGTTGCGCGCAAACTCGACCACGTCCAGCCAGGTCACCGTCGTCCCGTCTTTTCCATGGCTCTTGAGTACTCGTGGGGGGCCGTCGAACAGCCTTTCGAATCGCTTGATCAAGATGGGTCCCAGCGGTCTTGCGCCCAGGTTGCAGGCCATGCTCTCGTGGCGGTCCAGCACGCCCTGGTAGTCGCTGAGGACGGAGAGTATGTTGGGCAGGGTGTCATCGTTGGTAATCAGCGGCAGGTCCTTTTCGAGGTGTCTGGCGAGGTAGTTGATCTGGAGGTGGTTGTGGGTCTTAGCGGCTTTGGGGACGGGCGCGGGCGAAGCCAGGTGCATCTCATGAGAAGGACTGCGTTTGCGCTTGAGGTCGCTGGGCAGAGACGGCGCATGGTGCTGTGTCGCATGCGAGGGCATGGTGCGCTCAGCCGCAGCGTGCGATTCCGGGTTGGCCATACCTTGGCCTGGAGGGATGCCGGGTTGGTGATTACTACGAGGGCGGAATGAACGGATGGCAAGATTCGAGGGTGGAGCGGAGGACGCTAGGCTCGAACAACTCAGCACAAGCACACTACAGGGCGCTCGCGTCTAGTCGCGAAGGCCCGAATTTACAGGACAAGATACATAACGCACGAGGGAATGGTTGGGAGAGTTGCAAAGGCGAGGGTGGAAAGCCAAACGGCTGCTCGGTGGCTGAAGAGCCCCGAACGGAAAGCAGAGGGGCGGACAAGGAAGCACCCATCGTACCGGAAATAAGAAAGAGCTTTCCAAGAGCGGCCCTCCCAGCCAATCACTGGTGGTGTGCAGCTAAAAGCGGCCCAGGCGTTTTGATGTGCAATAAATGCGCATCGCGGGCGATTCAGGTTCTGCCGACTTTCCGACAGACAGCCACACCACGGCCACGGGCGACGCTGAAACTAGCCCGGCTGTGGCAGAAGTGTGTGAGGTGCTTCATGGTACCGTATGGGAGGCCAGGACGGTGGCAGCGACCCTGGGCTGGCGTCGTCGTCGTCGTCGTCGTCGTCGTCGTCGTCGTCGTCTGGCGGCATGACGAAAAATGCCGCAGGACGCGTGGGCCTGGGTGAATCTAGCTGCTAAGAACCAAGCGCCACAGCACGGCGGAGGTCTGGAAGCAATGGCGGAAATCATCTTTCCACCCCTGCGACGCCTCCTGCCAGACAAGCTGCACGTGACCGGGATGTGGGGTGGCCGCCCTGGAGGAAGGAGCCTTTCCCGGAACGGCACAGACCACCAAGTCTTACTGGCCGCCCGAGCTGCACCTCACCATACGCTCCAACATCCAAATCGCCTCTCTTTCTCTCCACGCTAATACCATGTCTGAGCGAGGCGCATTCCGGGGCCGCGGTGGAGGTCGAGGAGGCGACCGCGGCGGAAGGGGAGGTGGCCGTGGTGGCGGTGCACAGGCTGGAGGTGCTGGGGGACAGACGGAGCGCCCAAAGAAGGAGAACATTCTTGACCTGAGCAAGTACATGGACAAGCAGATCACAGTCAAGTTCAGCGGAGGACGAGAAGGTACGCATCTTGGCGGGGGCCAGGAAATGATGTATTGCGAAGGCGCGCTAGAATCTAACTTGTTGCAGTCATTGGCACACTCAAAGGCTACGACCAACTCATGAACCTCGTCCTAGATGAGGTCAAGGAAGCATTGACTGGTATGTGCCCCTCCGCTGTCTCCACGCGGATATCTCTGACCCTGTGTAGACGAGGACGGCAACATCCGCTATCGCAAGCTCGGCCTCATTGTCGCACGCGGCACCCTCCTAGTCGTCATCTCGCCCGTGGACGGAAGCGAAGAGATCCCGAACCCCTTCATACAGGAAGAGGAATGATCCAGAGACTAGCAAGAGGCATCTAGCCCTTCCTTGAAGCCTACGGCGCAAAAACAACCGGCAGGACAGCGGCAAGGATCGGGGACATTGCATGGAAATGAGACCTTATACGATACCCACGAGGCATATCCAAGACACAGACACGGCACAAAATTTCTATCGAGAGAAATACAGCGTCTGAGGGTCTTCGCGCTCTTGATACCATCACAGACAGCAATATGAAAAACTTACGAGAGTTAGGATGCTATCTTAATTCGCCGTCTTTACTCTGCTTCGTCCCGTGGTACGAGCATAACAGTCTTAGGATGACACCATGATCACGCTCATTGCAGAGATGAAATACACTTTTGCACAACGACATCTGATACTAATCACTCCTCACACGAGGTGTTCCATTAGGGGACATTGCTGGTCCTTGACCAGATGAGAACGCTGCCATTGCTAGATTGTGAGGACTGCCTAGCTAAGTCTTAGGCAGCTCCTTTAGGGAAGCTGATTCCAGTAGGTCACCCGTATGCCTCAACATGTACAAACGTAGGACTGATTATGGGTCTTCCAAAAGAGCCATGGCGTGAAGGACGATGTTCATACTCACGTAGAACAGTCGCGTCTATGTAAGATTAGGCTGTTGCGAGTCACGACAACCATATCTACTGTATCCCTACGTAATCGCCGAGGGCTAGCGTTTTCTCTGTTATTGTGAAACATCAAGGACTTGAATGACTGTAGGACTTTTCAACGATGTTCCTTTTTGATGGATGTAAACGTCATGTCGTAATACATGGGGAGAAGCATCAGTCAAAGGATCGGAAACATCGGAACGGCATTCCGATCCTTTCACCTATAGCACCCGACAGCACCTAGTCTTCACCATCGGCGATCACGAGCAAGACTCTGCTCAGATGCAACGCTACGGAGTTCATAACCGACGTCAGGTACCCGCTCAGTTCGGCATAGTCTTACACCGTGGATGGTTGATCTAGTGGGCATTGGCATGACATCAGCTCGACGTCAAATGGTGACGCTATCATATGGAACTATAGAATGCCCCAAATTGGGACATTCTTATTTGAAGCAGAAGACTTCAGCTCAAGTACTCCAGCAATTCGACAGCATATTGTTCAATCACTTCAAATCACAGCCTTCACACATCAAGCACATCTTGCAAATATGAGCCAGAACCAGAACCCCGATGCCGTCAGCGATGGACGTGAGTTTGCTGGACACGTCAAGCCCAGTGAGCCCCTTATGAGTAGTGGTGTAAGTACAATTTGTTGCTCTTTCTGAATTCATCCAGAGAAGAACCTACTCCAGCCTCTCCGAGATTAAATACAAAACGACGTCTAACACTGCTCGTTCTCATTGTTTGATATGATTGGACTTAACTAATGTGCCTCAGCATCAACCCGGAAAGCTAGTTGGTAACGATGCCGTCCCCGAGTTTCACGCACAAACACTTCCCGCCGGCACCGCCCCAGCTTCTAAGACCTTCCAACCCAACCCCGACCTCAACAACCAAAAGATGTACCATCAAGCCTCCGATACTCTCCAAGGCGCCACCTCAGGTGATGTTCACACCGGTCTCGGCCACCCAGGTCAAGGTCAGACTTCGCAAGAGCTTCACGATGGATCGAGGAAGGGTCAAGGCCTGACTGGTCTAGCTGGCAACGTCAAAGACCAGCAAACTGGTGGTTCTATCGAGACACTGAAGGATGACCCTACACACGCTGCTCAGAGGAATCTCGACGACGTGCCTACCGGTCAGAGGGGTAACACTGGTGGAGCTCCTGCCCAGGAGCGAGAGCCTTCATCAGCATAGATCATTTCTTCATAGAAGACTGTTGTATGACGATATGGGCTGCGGTACGACACGATTGGTGAGCTCTGTTTACCTACAAAGACCGCGATCTGAATAGTTGCTTAAAGCACTGTATGTGGGAGTAATGAATTAATCAAATCAATCAATGTTTATAGTTCAAGTAGGCAGGGATTTACCGTGATAGAGTGCTTGCGTCGTGACTGTGAGTAGATTTTGGCGGGTCAACGTCCTCGATCACATGGGGGATGATAAGGTCATCCCTAAAGCAAGCCAGAGCTTTGCTAGAGCCTAACGGCTTTGTTATTGCAGGCCAAGTATGCAGTAGTAAGGCCAATTTGTTGGTGTGGCGTATTATTGGTTAATGCTTCGGTAGACATCACACGAAAATCATGGTATAGATATTAGAGAGTCGCACGTCTTTAGTATGAAGAAGAAGAGTCCAAGTTGAGTGTCTTTATGTATTCTTGTGATGCTGCACAAAACCTTCCATTATCTTCTTCCTTGAGGACCCGACAGGATACACCCATCAGCACACTCTGGGTCCGTGCTGTTGTAAGCAATCTGTCCAACACTGCCGCCAGGCTCGATGCTAGGGTCGCGTGGGCTCTGGAACATACGTCCAGTCTCCGGCGAGAGTAGTGTTTCGATGATATCACCAAAGGGGTTCCGGATGTGAGCAATAGGCTGGCCTTTGGTGACTGGCTCATCGACAGCTACAAGCCTCTCGACGAATCCTCCATATTGTGACCATGTATCATGGAAAGTAGTGATCATGTATGTGTTGCTCAGGTCGGGCTCCACGGTTTCGTTGGTAGGTGTGATCTTGAGGTCGACCATGACGCGGTTCACATAATCGACTACACGGTCGATTAGGCTGTTGTTCCAGACCTTAGCCTGGCCCATCTCCACAGTGAGTGAAGGAATACCATAATCGACGAAAGTTGTCTCGATGGATCCTGGCTCACCAGGATCAATTTTGAGAGTATCGGGTTGGAGGAGCTTGGCCAGACGCTCCACATAGGGTAGGCGGAAGTCAGAATAGCACCACAGCGAAGTCTCTCCGCCAGAACTGGGGGTATCTGCACTAGAATTAGCTCTGTGTTGCTGAGGTTGGATGCAGGGAGAGCTTACGGAGATCAATGCCAACATCCACATTGGATGTGTTTGCCCAGATCTGATTCCATATGTTGTAAGCTAGAATTTGAGGGCCACTACCTCCTTCCGTGGCTGCGGTACCAGGAAAGATGCGGTTAACGTTTGTAAGCGATCCTGAAGCGCCTGAGGTGAAGTAGTTTCGCTGGTTCAAGTAGATGCCCATCGGATTCACGGTGGGAATACCAATGACTACCTCAAAGTCAGCAGCAATCTTCGCAGAGATTTATAGAGCGTACCTGTGCCATTGAGTGTCGCGACTTGGTCTTGAAGCTGCTCGAAGATGCGTTGCACCACGCGAACCGGGTTCAGCTCGTCCCCATGAATGGAAGCTGACAGTGACAGTTTTTTGCCCGTTTCCAAACTTTCTGGTGTTCCACGTGCAACCATAATTGGTATGTGGACAGGGTGACCGCCATTAAGCTCACCAGCTCGCATGTAGTATTTCGAGACAGTCTGCGGAGGTACATCAGCGAGGTCAAGGCCGCTGATGACCGGGACACCATTCACGACATCGCCGGTGAAGTTCACAGCAGACACGCTGCCGGTGAGGACCGCGGTAGCGGCGGCTATAGTGGGAATGAGCTGCATTGTCGCGTTAGCTGGCTGAGACCCGAAAAGCTGTGTTCACTCACCAGCTCTGCTTTATAGTCCTGACATGTCGCGATAAGAGTCCAGCCATCCCAATTCTGTAGTCAAGCTAGCTCACGCTCTTTGCGCAAAGAGGAAGGTCAACATGGGTTTTGTCCACACAAGTGACGATGCCCAGGAACGACTGCATGCCAATGCTCGGCGCCTTACCAAGGCCGAACCCAAGTTTATGGATCGCGGTATTATCTATCGTCGGAGTTTGGCCGTTCCCCTGGCGATCAGCATGCCATTGAGGAAAATTCCATAGGTATGACAAGATGGTGTGATGGCCTTCAAAGTAACGAGGCATCCGTAGACTTCAAGCTGCTGTTGTCGGATGCTAACTCATGCGAGTCATGCACAGCCGATATCGATAAGCGTATTTGTAGATGTTGATACATCATAGCCACATCGAGCTTCCTCAAGCTTGTCATTAATCTCGGCGCGTCGGATTCTTTGTGGCATAGCTGTCGCGGCTATACAGTTCGCGGCTAAGGCGATTGTCAGCAATCGGGGTTGATTTTCACACCGAATATCTTGGGCAAGGAGATTCGAGCCCTGGCACTACGGCAATGTGGTATTACGAGAAGTATCAAATCTGAGGCCATCTGCGGCGAGCTCAGCCCCTGATGTATAACATAACCCCTGTTTTAGCTTTCGTCATCTAGTCAACCCGTGTTCTACGTCTCTGTAAAACTCGTTCTCATCACGTTTCTTTTCCCGTCATCTCACCCTTACTGCAGTTCTTGTCACTCCACGTGTGACCACTACGCGTGTCGCATTTCTTCCTAGTTCCTATATAGCCATGTGATCCACAACGTTTAGAGCTAAGAGATTACAGCGCTCAAGCTCCTTGTCTGTTGTGGGCTCTCTGGATTTCCTCGAAAGCAAAAAAAATACTAAATGGAAGAGATAGCACGGCTGATGGTTCAACGTTTTGGGCGGGGACATGGAAGAAGGTTTGCTGAAGATGAGACAATAGAAGCATAGTACTTGATGATATATACAGTTTCTGGTGGGTGCAATTTGAAAGATTATCAGCTAGAAGCCAACATCGGAGTAAAGTATTATTGTGAAGTGAGCTGTGAGTACTTGTAGGGACGCTGGAAGATACTAGTCCTGAGCGAACTGAGCGAATTGAGCTGTGGTGAGACGGGTGTAGCATCCGGCAGCCTTGATTACGTTCCGCTATGCACTGGAGTCTCGGAGCAGCACGTAAGCGAAAGCATAGATTCCTTGCTTGCTGGACCACCTGCCGCCCACATAGCCGAGCATACTGTCCTTGATTTTGTGCCAGCGAAGGTTAGAAGACTGAGTTCGTTCAAGAACACTATCGACTCTGTAGTTGACTGCACGTCTGCTCTACCATTCGTCCGTCAACAACCTTGTTTATCTCCACGATCGTCTCTCCTCAAGTTCTAGCGCTGTTCCCAGCCCCCATTCTCTCCAACTCCTATCCCAAGTCGTCCTCCTCAGTTTGACGCACAAGAGAATAGATGAGTATACCAATGGCCATGCTCAGTACTACTCCGATCAACATCAAGCCCCAGAACTTGAGCCACCTCAAGCGATCTGTATCGTGAAGGCTTACCTCTTGGCCGAATGCACCCAATTCGATGTCAGCATTGCCAAAATTGTGTTCATGAGACACGGTCTCATTGGCATGAGCAGCGTGTGTCGGGTGTGCAGATGGATTGGCCAATTGCTGTAAGAATGATCGTTTAGATAAAGGACAAGGCGGGAGCTCAGACGGGAAGGCTGAAGAGACTCGCTCCGGCGACGGGCGGTGGAACTGCGTGTCACTGAGCGCTAGCGGGGTGGAAGAGTCACGAGTAGTCCAGGCTTTACTCGCATCGGTATGGTAGGAGCTGAGCAGCTCTGGTCCTGTGATCTCAAGCCGGGGCCCAAGGAGCTGCAGCTTTGTGCTTCCGGACAGGGTTGCGTAGATAGAGCTCGCTGCTGTTCGAGCATCCGTCTTATTGAAGTTGTCAGGGTTGAACGTGGTCGGTTCACATGTCGTGCTGCTCCTCGGCCTGATCATGTTGGCCACTGAGGTTACGGTGACCTCTGGTGGAGCCATCGTGTCTGGTAGCTGCTCCGTACAGTTGCTGGTTATCATTTTTTGAATGCCCTGATCCGGGCTGACTTCGATGGGTCTGTTTTCGTGGAGCGTGATACCCATAGCAGCAATATTGGTTATGCGTTCACGACCGTTTTTTTTGAGACTCTTGTAGATCTATGGAGAACAGTAAGGAACTAAATTGGAGACGAACAGCTGTTTGTTTTGGTGGTCCACCACAGAAGCAGTTAGAACGGTAAAGAAGCGCTAGCGTGTGAGACGCCTTCACCTTGGTTTCTTGGTCCTCCATTCACTTGTACCTGAGAGCCTATCTGAAGGCTAAATAGATCGTTTCCCATATATCCTTACTGGTTCAAGAAGATTTTGAACCTCCTTCAAGGCAAATCATGACCTGGCGCTACCAATTTACTAAGTCCATACCTATGTGGTAGGTATGGTAGTTGTTTGCTTGCAGGAAACGCGAAAGAAAGCGTTTCGCCTCGTTAGAAGGTACTTTAACCAATCTCCCGCTGTGCTTCTGACGGTCTGTGCGCAACCTGAGTACAGCCAAAGCCAACCAACCGATGTGGGAGGCGCTACGAGGGTGGGTCAGTGGATAAGTAGCTGTGATAGATGTGATCTTAAATCTCTCGTTGAAGATACAACAACAGTGAAAGCATCTGCAAAGTATTGCGAGTCTAGTTATGGAGCCTTGTATGTCGTGCTGTACTCTGGGGCTTGGATGTCTAATTTGAACTGGGAGTCTTGAGTTGGATAGGAGCCGGATACAATCACGTCTTTGACTTGCCACTAGTCCATTCATACTGTATGGTAATACAAGGAATTCTAGACACAATACATGGATGCTCCGTGTATGAAGCTTGTATATCTTGTAGCTGCGCGCGTCGGTGCTTCCTAGGTTGGGCGTACATGGGTCAGCTTCCGATGTCGCCATTTGGACAGTGGTGCTTCTGGCCTTCAAATACAAACGAGGAGAGGACTTCGTGTATACGAGCTGATAGACATTGATGTTGGTATTACTGATGGACAGAGGGGTTGTGTTGCCGAGCCCCTCCAGTGATGCACACTCAGAGGCTATTGTGCCCCACATGATTCTTGCCCCGCACAATGCTTGTGATAGCACCACATCGAGGTTGTAAACATCAAGACTACTTAGAAAGCTATTTGGACAGCAATGACTACAACATAAAAGCTATAGGTGGTTGCGTCGTCAGTCTTCACCTTCCAGGCGGTCAAGTCATTCTATGATCCGCACACCAAAACACCTTCTTTCCCAGATACTCATGAACGATACATTCGATTACATCGTGGTGGGCGGAGGTACTGCTGGCGTGGTGATCGCATCGCGACTTAAGGAATACCTTCCTGATGCGCGCATCGTGTTACTGGAAGCAGGAGCAAACGCAGTGGACCACTCCATTGTCAATGATGTCAGTGACCCACTGGATTGGACGACACACTTTCAAGAAGGTCTGATGGTTGACTACCCAACGACACCGCAAGAGTATCTTGATGACAGAAAGATACCCAACCCGGCTGGACGCCTACTATCCGGGTCGAGCGGCGTCAACGTTGGCATGTGGATGCGTGCATCTACTGCTGACTTGGACGTGCTTGCAGAAAGAGCAGGTAACGAGAGATTCAAGTATGAAAATCTACTCAGATACTATAGGCGTATAGAGACTCATTTTGATACGACTGCGGATAAAAGTCGGTACGGGTTCGATGGACCAATCCACACAGTTGGAGGCCGAAAGTACCCGCTCAGGAGTGTACTCCAAAAGAGTGCCGAGATTCTAGGTCACAAGTACAATCCAACAAAGGGTGATCCAGTTGGTCTAGGAGATATCACCCAGTGCTGGCTTGCCACTTCCAAGACAACAGCGACGCGACAGCACAGTGCTAAAGTATACGATCTCGACGGTGTCAAAGTCTTTTGCGACACCCCAGTAGCTCGTGTTCTTCTTGACGAATCGAAGCGTGCTATAGCGGTCGAGTTGTTTTCTGGTCGCCGAATGATGGCAAGCAAGGAAATCATCATCTCTTGTGGCGCTCACAGAACACCGCAGCTGCTGATGCTGTCTGGTATCGGCCCTGCGGATCAGCTCATGCAACACGGGATATCTCAGAAGGTAGAATCGCCCGCCGTTGGCCAGAACCTCACTGACCACAACGTTGTCACACAATACTACAAACTGAAAGATCCCTCGAAAGGTCTCGCCCGTCCTTTCAACGGTACTGTGAAACCTGAATATGGTCAAGGTCTTCCGTTTGATTTCGCCCTTTTTGCGAACCTCCCAGCAGCAGAAATAGAGACACATCTAAGAGAAGACGGTATCAATCCTGATGGCTTCAGCGAGAAGGCCTTGCTACTAAGGCCATATCGGAGCCACTATCTCAGTGTAGCATGGTACTACCCACTTCTTGCGCACGCCACCGAATTTCCGACAGTTCAAGCAGATGGTGCTCACATTTCTCTATGCGCTTTCCACATGCTTCCCCTGTCACGCGGTACCGTGACGCTTCGATCTGCCGATCCGAGGGACAACCCGGTCTGCAATCCACGTTATCTGTCCACAAAGACAGATCGCTTCATCCTTAGACGGGCTATACGTGAAAACCTTCGCCTTGTAGAAACAGAGCCACTTGCCTTGGAGATTGAGGGCGAAGTGCCACCTGCAGATCCGAGGTTCCCAGCGCTGACAGCTGCGAGCAGCGACGAGGAGATTGATGCAAGAATCAGAGCTTTTGCAGTAACCATAGCTCATCCAATGGGAACTTGCGCTCTAGGAACAGTGCTGGATGATAAGTTTAGGGTCAAGGGAATGAAGGGGCTAAGGGTTTGCGATGCTAGTGTGTTTCCGGAGCCGATTGCTGCGATGCCGAGCTGTACGATATACGCGTTGGCGGAGCTGTGTGCTGACCTCATTGCGAAGGAGATCTAAGACTTATCATGATTCTCTCCAAACTCTTCGTCTCATATAATAGGCCTCGAGAAGGATGGACAAGGCGTCATTGAGGAGAACGCGTATGGGCAAAGAGCTGCGACTGGGAAAGATCAATACATATTAATTTCATTGTTCACGATTACCAAAAGAAACCCACGATGGCACATCGCATTCCATCGTATCCATGACTACCTGCAGTGGTGACAACCACGGATCTATTCGATATCCACCTTGCGGATCTCAACGAAACCAGAGTCCAGCTTCGGTACCTCAACCCTCAAGACACCGTCCTCGAGCTTTGCTGTGATACTATCAGTATCGACGTTTGCTGGGTTCGCCCTCGTTCCAAGACGAATTTTTCTCTCGAAGGCTCCAACCTTGCGCTCATTCATAGCAAGTGCCTTCAAGAACTCCTCGTCACCAGGGCGGTATATGACACCGGCAATGCTTAGCTCACTCTTCTCTGCATCCCAATTCACACCAACGTCTTCCTTTTTGGCACCAGGAAGCGAGACGTGAACAACATAGGCGGATTCAGTGTCGAAAATGTCGGCGTCGGGTATATGGTCCTCGGACTCATTGGCTTTGGTAGTGTTGGTAGCGTTGGAAGGGTGGGTGTCGGTGAATTGGTTAAAAAGCTGTGCGGCAAATGCAGAGGGGTCAAAGGAGTTCCAGGGGTTATCAGCAGCACCAGAGGGTGCGCCAACCATGCACTGCCTGCCTAGAAAAGGCACTCCGCGCGACCAGGGACCCCAGCCTCCGCGATGGCCGCCGTGATGCGGTCCGTGGCGAGGTGAGCTGCCATAGGGATGGTGAGCATGATGAGGTCCAGAACCACCTGGGCCACCAGGACCGCAGCGTCCTCGACGTCCTCCGCCGCAGCGACCTTGAGAACGGCCACCGTGGTGAGCTTCATGGACTGACCCAGAGGCACCTGAAGGACCTTCGCCATTATCATTCTCGGTGTTTGTCCTAGCATCCTTCTCGGCTTCCGGCTGGTCTGTACCGTCCTGATTTTGGGCACCGGTGGCTCCCTCGTGATGGTGCTCATGATGTCCATGAGGAGGTCCCCCTCGATGAGGCATACCCCAGCCGCCACCGAAAAAAGGACCACTAGATCTGAACGGAGCAAAAGGATCTTGGGGGCCTTGAGGGGGTACCTCGTGGTCGTTGTTGGTCTCGTCGTTACGGTTCTGAGTATACATAGGGTGTTGTGGGCCTCGTTGAGAGTCTTGCTGCTCGAGGCTAGCGATAAAGTCCCAGAAGGGAGCGGAGTTGTTCATGTATGTAACGGATGGCATTGTGATAGGCCAAGTTGTGTGGTGGTGATGGAGGGATGTAATGTTTCAATGCAAGAACCTACCTTTTCGGGCGTCTTATACAAAGCAAACGACTCCAGGCATCAAGTCGCACGTGCAAGCGTACGTATGTGCAACCCTCCTCAGCTTACTCGCCACGCAGCCTTGTTGGTGACCAAGCGTGCGATTTGCGGCCAGAAACCAATGGCTCGCCATTCTGTGACTCTTGGAGAAGTTGGTAGAAGCTAGCAGAAGAGAGCGTGGACGGCAGGCTTCCAGGGCGCGCCTCTAGAGCATCGACTAGGCGGGTGGTGAGCAGGCAAATGGATGTTGCGCGTCCAGACGGTCGGGCAGATCGGGGCGTGTGTTCCTCCGTTGTGGCGGTGGCTGTGGCGGCGCGAGAAGGATTGGCTGCAGACATATCCTGAGGGGTGTGCCTTCATTTCTCCACATGGGCCAGGAAGACCAATGGGGGCGTTGCCTGCCTACGTCTTGGGGGGTTGTAGAGGAGGGGTAGCTGCAGCTGCGAGTGTTGCAGCTTCGCTATGACGTGACTAGTCTGCAACAAAAGTGTGTGCCCCACCAAACTTCTCTTCCGCCCCGACCACATTCACCACCAATTTCCATTCAATCGACCAGATCTCTCCCAGAGCCAATCAACACACTCTCAATCGTACCACTCGAGTCAATATGTCCGGAAGCATCCCCACGTCCACGTCGGTCAGCGAGTCAGCTGTCATCGACGCGTCTTTCAGCGATGTCTGGCACCTGATCAAGCTCCAGGACTTCAGCAAGTTCTGGTCCAAGCTCGACAAGAGCGAATTCGTCAAGGGAACCTCAGACGAGACGGACATCGTCAAGTGGACCTTCAAGGACGGCGCCGAGCTCGAGGTCAAGCAAGAGGAGCACTCTGTACGTGACGCAGGCGCATGAGCAAACCCTGCAGATACTGACTGGGATGCATAGTCAATCGACCACTTCATCACATACTCGGTCATTACCTCCAAGCCTGAGCTCTCTTACTCTTCCGTCGTCTCAACTATCCGCGTATACCCCGTCACTTCCGGCACCCACGAGAACAAGACGTTCATCACATGGTCTGGCAACTTCAGCAGTGATGCCGATGCTAGTACGTGAACAAAACACTCCTACCATGCGACACATCTAACACAAGTAGGCGTGATCCAGGATGCCAAGTTCAAGCGCCGCGAAGCCCTTGCCGACCTTGCCAAAGTTGTCTCCAAGAAATAGGTTTCGGGCAATGGAGGCCTGACTTTTTCAGAGGTTGAGAAATTCATGCAGTATAAGACATGTTATGGTGGCTCGCATTGTGCGATTGGTTCGCAATGACGATGATGATGATGATGATGATCTGAGAATCATGCAGGCAATGGACCCGAGTTCTGTAGTTTAGCATAGCAATACCGATCAAGATACAACGTTCAAGAATCCTCCCAGCTCTCTCCAGATACCTATTACCTTTTCCATGACGGTACAAAGACCTCCGTATCGGTTGTGTTCAAAACCCCTCATTCATAGGGCTTCGCATGACCAAGGGAGTGCTCAGCCACTCTGCCTGCATCCAAGCGAATCCTTCGACTCGCGAATCGCCTATTTATGGCAACGCTCTGAATTGGTATGACTACTAAAGCATCTTTCATCAGCACCCTGATAGCTACGTGTTGACACCATAACCACAAAAACCTTTTTCCGACATATACTTTGCCTTGGAAAGAATCTGCGCTGCACTACCTACCATCGCCGAACAGTCGTTTGTCGCGGATACATAACCATGGATGGCGCAGGAATTGGAGCTAGTTCGTTCAGCAAAGCAGAATGTGTAGTCATTCGTAATTCTTACAATTCATTGCACGCTAACTTGTAGCAGTAGAGAAACAAGTAAAGCTTGAAGAACAGAGAAAAGCCCATGAGAAGACTGACCGAATCAAACATGAGGAAGAGCTGAAGGAGGGTGAGGATAGAAGAAAGAAGGGAAGGGTAAACCGGTGGATTAACTATGCGTTGTCGAGTCTTGCCGGCTAAGGGTCGACATCATGAGACCACTATCAAACATTTGCTCGTAAGAGGGAGGTGTGTTCGAACCTAAAAAACTCTCCTGATCAGATTCAAATGTGATCGTCATGCTATCGAATCACACGCTTATTGTATATAGCGTTCCAGTCTAAGAATTGAACTACTAGGAAGGACAGGTAGAACAGATAGAGCGCTGTATGTACTTCTGTGCCACACAAAAATCACAAAGCGACTTGTTGTCTATCAACAACAATAAGAGTATATGAGAATCAGTTGGAAGCTAACATACAAGAACAAGTTGGTCCATAAGCGTTGGTCGATCGTAGCTGTCGTGTGATGGGGCGACATACTTTTGGTGCCGTTGCATGGGCAGCTCAACCTCGAAGTCAGTGGACTTTTCCCATGATCGATAAAAAGATTAGATGCAGCTCGACTTGCAAAAGCTTTGTCCCTCGAGGACTTCCAGCCTTCAACACTAAAACACGTCCCTACCACCAGACGCAAGGGGAAAGAAATGATATCACAAGATCTAGCCTTGTGTGCCATAGACGTAGGATACAATAGCTCTGACCCAATCGAAAAACGAAAGATTCGGGAAAAGAAGGGTTAAGCGCAACCCTCCTCCAGCCTTCCTTCCGAGGAGGTTGATCAAAACAACTCCAACCCCAGCCCCATTTAGTAACAAAGACTAGCAGTGCCGCCGACTGCCGCTATCGCACTTGGCCCCCCTTTTTCCTCTTTCTTTTCCCACCGACGAGGTTCCAGTATGCGACTAATCTAACTAATTCTGCGCGTTTTGATTGCCTACCATTCTACCGTGGGTTGCATTCTGCATGATGCGCTGGGGGCCGAGGCTGTACCAAGGAAAAGCAACGGGTAGCGGAGAGAACGTCGACATCATCCGCGCCGTTGCTCCGAGAAACCGAACGTCGATTGACGGATGCTGATCGCCAAAGGAGGTTGGGGATTGCGATCAGGGTCAACTGGTGATGCCCGGGTACGAAACCGCTTTCTCGCTGCAGGGTTACGTTGTGGAATCAAGTTCATGGCTGTTTCCAAGTGTGAGTGTATATCGTTGAGGATGTTATTGCATCTAATATGTTGTTCATTTCATAATTATCGTTATTACCACGGGTTAAATGCTCACTGCTAAGCACAGCGTATGGATGGAACCGTAATATGACGCCATCTTGCCCACGCATTTATGGCAAACAGCCATGAAAAAAAAAAGAAGAAGAAGTGATATAACTGAATCGAAGAGGAGAGTGATCAGTTCCCAGGCTGCCTATAGCCCAGAGTCTCCCGGGAAGAGTATGCCATTGGGATGGAATATTCTGTGGTACGTTTGCCAGTTCTTGCACGTCCTCTTCATTTCGGCAAATCCATCCTTGGCCTTAATCTCAGACGAGCGCTCAAGAAATTGTACACCAAGACCGGCCGCCACGTGGAAGGGGATATGGCAGTGCATCAGCCATGCTCCTGGGTTGTCAGACTCGAAGGCAAGGACGAGGTAACCTCTGGCAGGGAGATTGGCTGTGTCTCGACGGATGGGATTATTGGTCTTGAGCCGGGAAATGTCACCATTCCAAACGGCATTCTCTTGCTGGTCCAAAACGTAGAAGTCGTGCCCGTGAAGATGGATGGGATGGGGTAGTGGTGGAGCAGTGTTGTTGGTGGTGTCTTGTTGAATGACCCAGTATTGCCACTAAAGATACTGTCAGCTGCGAAAACTTCTGGTTTCAATGCTGTAGACTCACCTTGTGATTCTCATCGATTTCAAACACGTGCCGATTATTTCCGTACGTGACGTTACGATCCAACACATCTTGTAATGTGGGTCGATCGAGGTCGATCGCCATCGGATTACCATTTACGAGCCACTGTACCAATCCCTGGCTCTGTGTTACATCGCTAGTGTAGTTGTCGTTGAAACCGAAAGTCAATGATTCGGGCATCTCTTGGGGAACAGTCGTCTTGGCATACGGGACGATATTTTGTTCGTCATAACAGCCCACTGGTAGAACCCTAGCAGTCGAATTGGGCTCCCCAGCTGGTCCGCCAGCATACCGGAAAATACTCTTGATATTCGCCGCATTTGCGTTGGGACCGTCGCATCTACCACCAGTACCTACACGCCACCAGTAGTTGCCAATAGGCTCGGTTGCGTTGATGATGATCTCATAACGTTGACCTAGTGATCATGTTAGTGAAACGTTCTTCAACAATAATTATCGTGGCTGCGTTCTCGTGGGTGGGGGCGCGTCGCACAGGCGCATGTTGTGAGAATCGCAACGGGCGGGTGAATAGAAAATGACCCGGCTCAACTTACCGACTGAGAGGATGAGGTTGTCAGTCCAGAAAGGCTCAATTGGTGTGAAATCGGCGGAGATGACCTGGAAAGAGTGGCCATCGAGGCCGACATGCAGGTAGTTGTTGATACCAGTGTTGACGAGTCGCAACAGATGCGTTTTCCCGGGAGTAAGGATCGTCTCTGCATATTTTCCTCCTGCGGCAGACGTCATCGTGCCGTTGATGAGAACGTTGTCTGCAACTGGAGGGCCGTTGGCATGAACAGCGGCGGCATTCACTGTGAATGTGGTCGCGTGAAACCAGTCTGTCATCGGCAGCACACCAAGATCAATGTCATAGTTCGCTGTTGCTGGTCCCCGTATGATCATGGGACCCACGAGACCATCGCCGTACTGTACGGAATAGTGCGAGTGATACCACTGTGGCTGTCAGATATATTCCGATCATAGGTTGCGCCACTGGAGAAACTCACCGTGGTGCCGTACTGTGTCGCCTTAAACTTGTAGACCTTGGAGTCACCAGGTGCAATTGGACATTCAGTGATACCATTGACTCCATCTTGCTCATTTGACCCGAGTTGTCTTAGACCGTGCCAATGCAAACCAGTGCCGTTAGTTTGGAGGTCGTTGGTCACGGTTATCTCGAGATCATCGCCCCAGTCTGCCAGGATGGTCTATAACATGTGAGTAGGGGAGCAAACAAGTTGTGGTCGATGCGCTTACAGGTCCAGGTGTTTGGCCATTGATCAACAAGATTGGTCTCTCAAAACCGTCCGGGGCTCCTGTGCCATTCGTGATAGTCAAATGATACTTGACTGTCTTTCCAGTATTTGGCCAGTGAAGATCCATGTCCGTGTCGATGTCGAAGTCGCCGTTCCAGCATCCTCGCGATGTTGGCCCATGATTACAGTTCGTTTTGTACCCGTCTCGTTTTTGGTGGCCACTCCATAGACCGGTTTCTTTCCACGGAACCTCAGGAACTCTGGGTGTGAGGTACTCCACAGAAGGTACAGTCAATGAAGCGACGAATGGCAGGAAAAGCCCCAAGGCGGTGGCTACTTTGAACATCGAGGCAACCATTATGGATTAAGCAGGGAGGAACGAAAGAACTTAAATGTAAACGACAGCTGCCAAAGCCTGAACACACAGGGTCAAACGGTGCAAGCAGGCTCAGACTAACTAACGTACAACGGAAAGCGAAAGGCTGGCTGGTCGGATAGACAAAGGATGGTACGAGTGATTATATCTTCAGCATGGCAACTTTGCCCTGCTGCTCTAGTGGGCCGAGGGATAGCCCCGAAAGGCTACCAACGCCAGCAGTGGAGAGTTTCCACCACTAGCTAGTGGTATGATCATTCCATGTAGAGTGTCGCCGCGAGAGTATCCAAGATCGTCCTGAGTACGGCCTACGGCACATGAACGGTAAGGATGCTGGCTTAGTATGGGCGCCTTGCCCAGAGCTGTGAGCGTAAGATACGGCTGCATATCAGCCCTAAGTGCATGAACGGAGATTTCTAAGTGGTCACTTTCGTCGCAAATGTCGGCATCGCTCGTGTTGCACGACTGAATGCAGCTAGACCTACCGAACCTCGGCGGAAGACATTGACTGAAGAGGACGAGCTAGGCACTCGGCAGAGATGCAGCAAGTGCTGAGTCGTACAAGGGGGTTGTAGCTTCAGCAGGCTGTGATGCTGCATCAAGCGGTGATGTGCCTTGGGTCGCGCAGAAAGTGGGGCATGTGAGGCATAGCTTGACATGTAGATACATGGAGGAGATGCCGCTATGGGTAGTCTGCAGAGCCGTCGCCTAGGCTGACCGTGGAGTCGAGAGCCGCCTCTGGGGCTTGTAAAGCTTGATAGTGGTCAAGCGAGACGAAGAAGGATCAGAGAAGCGCAAGCGAGTCAACATCTGGAGACGATCTGTGCTATTTCCTACAAGCGCTAGCTCCGCTAAGGTTAGCGTGTCATGCTGTGTCGGACATTTGTGAGGGGGGCCGGACCTCCTCGTCCGACCACAACATCACTACATCACGATATTGACCACTGAGAGCGCGTCCTGAGGAAAGGATGTGTGGATTACACTTGAATTTGCGCTGTGACTCGGCTACAATCGCCACTTCTCGAGCGTGCCGTGCCGCTTTCATGACGTTCAGGACCAAAGTCAGACTATTGATATGCACCAGAGCTGCATTGGCCGTCTTGGGCAGCCACAGGCGCTGCGATGGCATCGGCGAGGCCCTCATATCTCGAATGATATCTCAATGCTCCAGTGTTGCCACCTTGATGACACGGCTGAAGCGGATACATCTTCTCATACTTGCTTCTAGGCGAAGAGGGCAATGCCGGATCAACGTTGTGGCTATTTATCCTCCGTACTTGCAATAGTTTGGAACAGTCAAAGTGTTCCCGCTAGCAGCTGAAAACAAGTGAATTAGATGTACGCTAGGCTGCTACACATGGTCTCTCCCACGTCATCCTTGCAAGAAGCGCCCACTGGCCATCATCCGCATGCTTATCGCTACCAACACATGGGTTTGACAGAAAGCGAACTTCCAACGGCCTTGTGTCAGATTTGGTGCAGTTTCTTCCATATCGGTGGCCACAATACTGACAGCGAAGAGCGCCACAATATTGAAGGAGCAATGCGCGTCTGCTTACCTGCATCTTGCAGAAAATCCTTCGCGCAGCTCAGAACATTTTGTCCCATTTTTCTCAGGTGAGAAGTCAGCCTTATGGCCTTGTTCACCGTAGTATCAGCCATAGCACACTAAGTGCTTATTCATGCGTATTGGTCTCTGGGCGCGCTTCTTGGAGGCGTCTACTTCATTTTATCGCGCTGTCATGATTCAGGTCCTCGGTTTCAAGTGAAATTGTACGGATGTACGGATCGTGAGCGGCGAATAATTGCTTCCTACACCTCGCGTGCGAACCAGTCGTTCGGCGTCGCCTAGGTCAATGCGGTACATGCAGTGCTTCATCCGCGCGGAAGAAGGAAATTTTGGTGTCGTACAGCTCAACCATACCTCTCTCGCCGAAGAACCGTGACAGATGCTCGCTCGCTCGCAGTTGCGCACTGCATTACTGTGGCAAGTTCCGGTTGCGGTGTACAACAGAAGGTACTGTCGGTACTTCGATCCCCACTCTCAGTGAGGCCGGATCATCAGGGCCCAGGTTTGCAAAGAACCACTCAATCTGGTCGGGTATCTCGATCCCTACGATCATGAACAGGGATTTAATTTTCCGACATGCATGTATTTCAAAAGCTGTATGACGTCCTTCACTTACCACCCGCAGCACAAGGCGACATGAATCGCGCGGAGCAATCACAACCCTGATATTAAGTTATCGTCATAGTCGGTCCTATACCGAGCTGTCTTGCATGATCTGGCAAGTCGCTTGGTTGCTCTCTACGTCTCGAGGCCTACAGGTGAATAGCGACAGTCCTAACACTATCCAACTTCACCTGCACCCTTCAAGAAACTAACCAGTCGCCTTTGAGATGATGGCAAGTCTGTTCCTGCATCTCAGTCTTTCTTTGACAAGCTTCGTGGCAACGAAGTAGCTCCGCTATGTAGATCAACAACAGGGTATATGAACAAGTGCATGCATCTACATGGATTCTGAACGTACGAACGCCTCAGCATATATATGCGCGACACGGTGTGACATGTGCCGTCTACGAATCTCATACACGCTTCCGGTATAGCCTGTAACCTCAAACGGCTTCGTAAAGTAGCAATATGTAATGTTGCGTGGCTGTATAGTACAAGAATTTCATAGCCACGTGGACTTTTGGACGTCGTGTCACTGCTGTCACCCTGACAACATACTACAAATGTTACTCAGACAGCTGTTAGACGCCGTTAGAAACGAGGTTCCACCAGCGAGGTACTACTACAGAATGTCCGACGCCATGCAGCTGTCAGGTACGACTTGCAACGTCCAAGATGTACCCTTGCGTCATAGCCTCCCCATCTTCCGGTGATCTGGCATGCGTGGCGTGCGTGAAGGCAGATCTTATGCATCTGCAGAAGGACGCCTTCCGTGAACGCCTTCCGTCGATAATCTACGATCGAGATAAGTGGCCGCAGTTCCCTGAGCAACACAGAAGTGCCGTCATGTGCGGCAGGCGCCGGTCGTGCATAGCGCGGACATGTGGCTTCAACAGATGCATGCAAGGTTGATCATTCGAATAATGTCCTGTTGAGAGATTTGCATGCGGATACTCGGGAAAGAGCGGCTGGTGGAGGCTGGTGAGGCTGGCAAAGGTTGAACTAGGTAAGAACTAACGGTTCCCTCGGTGACATACAAAGAAGTTTGGTTACCCTAACACTTCGATTCAAGACTACAACCTACTCTAGAGGTATAAATGTTGTGAAAGGATGATGCTCCTGGCACGAACGAGTTTCTATGTTGGTGACAAGAACGAATGCCTGGATGCACAAGTCGTCATCGCCCCTGTCTATAATCTGCCAAGAAAGCCACCACGAACGGAATTAGGCTCCGATCTGTTTGCATATTCGCATGAAAATTAGGAAAGGCATGTATCTTGATTCAGCTGAAGGGGGAACAGCGGCCAAGAGTACGCGATATATGTAGTCTCGTATCTCCAGAGGCGTTCAGTTTATGTCGACGACGACAGTTACTCAATAACATACCACCTAGTGGTTCTAGACATGGGATGGAAGCATACGATTGATATACAGTGGTTATTCGTTGCGCACAGTTATACAGATGACCTAGTGGAGCCTGTACCATAATGAAGCTTCGGAAACGATCCTGGTCAAAAGAGCAGTTCGAGAATAAATGAAAAAGAACTTGTTTGTGTGATGTAGAGATTGTAGTGAGGAAAGGCCACACATGCCACTGTAATGATTGTTCTGATTCGTACTGTACTAAAATTCCCGATAAGCAAAATCATACCTGCCTGTCTTCTCAAATAACAAGAGCAATGCTATTCCACGCTAATCAGAACGACATTGGGAAGCTACGGTTCATTTCAATATATCGAGAGTAGCCCTTGGGTGTTTTTTCTTCGATCGAAGAGAGTCATATCATTCTTCATCTACATGACCATAACAAAGTCCGGATCACGGTCATCGCCTCTACCCTCAAATTCGGCATATTTTCCGCTCGCCTTATCCTTGTTGATTTTCCATACCCACGCAACATTTGCAGCGACCCTGTAAGGTAATGGTCAGTACATCTTCACACAATGGCGATATCTCGAACCGGGTCAACTTACAGTACCCAAGCTGCGCAAAGCAAGCCCAGCATGATACTATGACTCTTGTGAAAGTATGGCCCTTCACTCTTTGGGTACACGAAACTTGCGACGAAACCTCCCGCATTGGCAATCGCGAGTTGGAGTGCAGAAGTAGTGGCGCGTTTATAGTGTCCAGCAGAGTTGTTGCTGTTCCAGGATAGAATGCAAGGCACAGTGGCATACATGCCAGTTGCCATAAGGAAGGTCATTCCGTACTGAACCTTGGGGTTGGTAGTCTGGCTTATAACGCCGTAGCCAATGATTGCAACGGGCAATGTACATAACATGACCGGACCGCGTAGGTTGAGACGATCCGATAGCAAAGCAACTGCCACTGTAAAGACTGATGCTACAGCGTAGGGGATGACAGTCCAGAGCTGTGTTTGATTGGGATCCTTGGCGAACCCATTATTGATGATGGTTGGGAGGAAGAGACCAAAGCTGTAGAGCCCACTGAGGATTGCAAAGTACGCCGTTGCAGTAAGCCAAACTTGGACGTTGAAAACTCCGCGCTTGACCTCTGCCCAGTCGAAGCGTTCGTGAGACGAACTCTGCTCACCGAGCCGGAATCGCGCATGCTCTTTCTCACTTGGCGTAAAGAACTTGGCGGATTCGATGGAGTTGGGTAAGAAGAGCGCGGAGCATACACCGACAAGGACGGTCAAAAGTCCTTCCACTATGAAAATCCAGCGCCAGCTATTGCCGAATTAAGTTAGATTCTAGAGAAAAAGGCTGCGAGCGTATCACTTACCCTTCGAGTCCTCCAGCAGGACCAATCGCGTTGAGTCCTCGGGCTAGCAGGCCACCAAAAGCTCCAGACAATGATGCGGCGGTGTAGAAGATACCGATGCGTAGAGCCAGCTCTTGCCTACGGTAGAAGCCAGCAAGGTAGAGTACCATACCGGGCAGCAGACCTCCCTCCGCGCAACCAAGCAACGCGCGGACAGTAACAAACGAAGCGAAATTGGTGACGAAACCAAGGCACATGGTCAAGATGCCCCACACCGATGTCAGAAGTGGAAGCCATATCTTGGGTGACATTTTCTTGAGCACCAGATTCGAAGGCAGCTCACTGGCGATATATGTAGCGTAGAAAACGCACAATCCGATGGAGTACTGGTGGTCGTTGATCTTGATGTCTCTTTCCAGGCCCAAGATCTTTGCGTTGCCGACGTTGGTGCGGTCGATGAATGAGCACAAGAAGAGGAGAGCGAGGACAGGTAGGATGCTGTTGTTATTAGCACCCTGGTCTCCAGGGCAGAAGAGAACATTAACATACCGAACATCCATCTTGAACAGCAACTTCTTAGCAACCCGGTCGTCGTCACCGAACCCCGCCTCCAACTGCTCACTTCCGCTCCGATTCTCGAGTTTCTCGTCGTGCATCTTATCAAGGCTCATCTTCGCAACCGGTCAAAGTACCGAGAGTAAAAGTGAACCGGGCGTTGGAGGTCCAGCGTGAGCTCTCAGCTCAAAGGAAGAAGAAGAGACCAGCTTTCTTATCCCCCCAACGGTAACTCGTAGCGCACACCGACCCAGCAAAAAGCGACCAGGGCTACCCTATCTGACCCCATGGGGGCGGGCGCATGGGTTGCGGCACAATCGGCTTTATCTGGCATGTCATTGGCGGAGTTGCTCGGCCGTCGAGTGAACCTACCCCAACGCACTCGAGCTTGTGCTGGAAACAAGCATAGCGCTCTTAGGCAGACAGGCGATCGGCAGGCTTGACGACAGCGTGACTGACTCGACGCGTGCGAGCGGGAGTTGTTCTGTTTCCGAGTGTTTGTCATCATGTAGAGATACGAATAACGGCGGAAGATGCATCGGATGGTCGCCATGACGCTGCATCTTTTTGGTGGGGTTGTGGGTGTTGGTAGAGTTTATGGTTTGATCAGCAGAACCAAGCTTTCGTCGCAGAGGGCGGAGGGGCCCATCAAGCAGTGCGAAGCCTTTAAGCCCCGCTTGGACGACTTGGCTGCCCCGAATGTCGGATGGCTACCGCGACGAAAAACCCGCTGCGTTGGGAGATCGTCAACGGTGTCGCAGAATACCATTGTAGTTAACTTCGAAGCTTTCTCCAGGCTATAATACCGAAGGTGGTATCGCAATACACAAAAGCACCAAAGTTGTTCTTTGGATAACCGACGATCGCGTTGTCGCAATCGCGATGCTTTGTTTTTCCAGTAAAGCTGCGCAGCTCTCCGTCACATGATTGAGCTGATCGTCATAGTCAAAACAACGCACAGGATCATCATTCAGAACACTGGACGGTGACGTGCTCACTGCACCGCGATCATGGAGCGTACCCTGATCTCACGCAATCGCTTTGCAAACTGATGCTGATGGTATCGATCGCTAAAGCATACTACATACGCCAGCAAGCCACGGAGAGAGGCCTATTCCATGGTCTTGACGTCCGGCGCAACCTCAAACTTCGCATCTGTCTTCGCCTTGACATCCTCCACACTAACACCAGGCGCAGTCTCTGTAAGGGTCAAAGTACCTCGCTTCCTGTTCACCTCAAACACACACATATCCGTAATAATGGTGCTGACGCACTTGGCTCCGGTCAGAGGCAACTTGCATTCCTGGACGATCTTGCTCGATCCATCCTTGGCAACATGCTCGGTAGCCACTACCACCTTGGTAGCCTCTGGGTTGCTGACGAGATCCATAGCGCCGCCCATGCCCTTGAAAACCTTTCCAGGGACCATGTAATTTGCTAGGTCGCCAGATGCGCTGACTTGAAGGGCACCTAGGATAGAGACATCAACGTGGCCACCACGAATCATGCCGAATGACTCTGCAGAGTCAAATGTTGAGGCGCCAGGTAGAAGCGTAACGGTTTCCTTGCCCGCGTTGATGATGTCTGGGTCGAGCTCGTCCTCGGTAGGGTAAGGGCCCATGCCTAGAATACCGTTCTCGGATTGCAGCCACACCTTCACACCATCGGGCACGAAAGATGCCGCTGCCGTCGGAATGCCGACACCCAAGTTGACATAGTATCCTTGCTTCAGCTCCTTCGCCGCCCGTCGAGCGATTCGGTCGCGACGCTCTGCGGCCTCGTTCTTGGAGGATGTGTCTGTAGAAGCAGCGGGCTTTCGAAGCTTCTTGATCTCGACGTTTTTGGGTGCGGTAGAGGGAACGATGCGGTCGACGAAGATACCAGGGAGGTCGATGTCGTTTGCATCAAAGGTGCCAACTGGGACGATTTCTTCGGCTTCAACGATGGTTAGGCGGGCAGCTTTGGCCATGATCGGACCAAACGCTTTGGTGGTGTATCTTTCGGACGTGTTAGCCATAGTGTTCACAGCATTGGATAGCGCGGTTGTTACCTGAAAACACAGTTACCGGCCTCATCTGCTTTGTGTGCTCGAATAATCGCGACATCGCCGGTCAAAGCAGTCTCCATGAGGAACTTCTTGCCATTGAACTCTCTGACCTCCCTCTTCTGACCGAACCCGACAGCTTTTCCCTCTTTGTCAAACTTGGCGGGAATCTCTCCATCCTGCAATAAAGTGTTGACGGCTGTGGGTGTGTAGAATGCTGGAATGCCTGCGCCACCAGCTCTTATCCTCTCCGCAAGCGTACCTTGCGGACATAGCTCGATCTCTATACCACCGCTCAAATATTGCTTCTCCAACGCCTTGTTGTTTCCCAGAAAGCTAATGATGAGCTTCTTGACTTGTCCATTCTTTGTAAGATGCGCTAAGCCTCCTACATCCTCAATGCCAGCATTGTTGGAGACGGCTGTCAGAGAATGTAATGATTGTGGACCGCGTTTCTTCATCGCTCCAATGAGCGTATCTGCTACACCACACAGCCCAAAGCCTGCACTCAGGACGGTCGATCCCGGTTGCACGTCCGCGACTGCTTCGTCCGCATCTTTGAAAAGTTTCGATTTCGAACGGTCAATTGTCGGAGCGCTTTGACTGATGCTGCGCAGCTGACCTGCAAAACGCCATCGCGGTGGGAGTCGCGCGGCTCGTAATTGTGCGGGGAGAGGACGCTTGGAACATAACCGTGATGGCAAAGCTGCAAGCAGCCTATATGACGCAGGTAGCGAGTCCATTGTGAGGCGCGTAAGAACAGCAGCAGGAGAGGCAGTCAAATTAAATCGTAGGTTAAGGAGGCTCAAGAAGCTCCGACTTGTCGAGATACGGGCTAAAGTTTTGCGATTGATGTCCGAACGAAAGTCATCAGACGCGTGCGTCAACCGCGCAGTAGCGTAACGTCATGCATCTGGCATCCGTCGGCGTCATTTCAACTACCGAAGATGGAGCGACTTTGGAGCTTGGAGCGGGGCTTCATTTGCCGCGAAATCATATGAGGTTTAGCCTCTAGCGAATTCCGAGGTTGTGCCATCCTCCAAGTTCTCTCCTACTTGGCGACCCGTCAAACGCTATCCACTCTGCTCCGCGACTAGCACAGGCTGGTAACGGGCAGCGTGAAAACATCCCTATAAATCAGAGACCTGTTCAAGGTTCCTAGAATGCTTTGAACCGGTTAGAAAGACTGTCAAGCAGCTTCTTCTCAAGCATTACGGGAAGTTGAAGTCCGGTAGATTCATCCAGTCCGTCCATAATGGATTGCTGTCATTCCAAGGCAGATCCAACAGCGCCGTTGAAAACAGGTCTGAGTTGGTCACAGTCTCGTTAACTTCATTGTACGACATGGCCGAAAAGTCAAGCGTGTCCGGCCAGTAGCTAGAAATCGGATCCGGGCCCATCGTGTGGTTCTCGGGCAATGCTTCATTGACCTTGTATGACGGTGACAGAAGGTCTGGTATGGCCATGGATGATGGTGCAGGATCGTGCGATGGCAATCGGATCATCCTTTCAATGTCCGGCGCCTGCTTGACGAGAACGCGCAAGAAGCGACCGTAAACAACGGAGGCACCGTTTCGATGAATTGGTGTGCTGCCTATACGCTCAAGAACCGTTGCTGTGTCTTCGATGAGATGTCGAACACTTGGGGCAAGGCTCTTCTTGTTTCCACTACCCTCCGGTACGGGTGCACTCAAAGCGAGTGCTATGCTTGCAGCAAAACAAATCATCGTGACTGTGTTATTCGGCATCGACTTGAGACGAGACTCGCCTTGGATTGCCGCGCGCATAACGTTGAGTGCAGAAGATAGTGCCGACTTGCGGAATGATCGCTTGACTTCTGGAGGTGCGCTTGGGTGATTAAGAAGCATTGAATAGGTCGAAAGTCGTGTATGTGTGACCAGAATTTCGACATACGGAGGTAGACTCTTACTCTCTGGATCAGCGATCACAGAAGGCCAGGCTCGAGACCAGCTATCGAAGAAGCTTTCGACAGACCCGTCAATTTCCTGGGCGACCTTTGAGCCCACCTCGACAAGACGATAGTTGTCACAGCGCGTTCGCACCTCAGCAAAGAGGTCATCAAGATCGCGGCGGAGTACTGCCATCGATATGAGCGGTCCGTCCTGGGCATCAGCGTACTGATTGAAGTGCCACTTGTCGCAGTACTGAATCAAAGACGTTTTGGGAACACAGTAGCTGCGGCCGCGGGCTAGGCAGACTCCGCGTTCCAATACAAACAGGGAGATCCAGACCCTTTCTCTGCGCCGCAGAAGTCGCTGGCCCCATTCCGAGTTTGGGTCGACATCTTCGAAGCCGTCCATAGCCAGTGCTTTTCTTGCGTGGAGACACTCAGCCTTCGGTATCTGTCTAACGACTTCCTGGTCGAAAGATATAGACGGTGTGATTACTTTATCCAGCATTAAGTCCAGTGCGATGGATAGAGCTGTAGCCAAGTAGAGACTGGTATCATCATCGCTCGCATGCGACCCTGGAGGCATCCAAGGTATACTGACCATGAAAGCTAGCACGATTTCGACAGATCTGTACTTTCGAGTGATGACCTGTTCTGCCAGAAACCTGCGATGCAGTAGTAGCCGCTTAGCCAGAGCAGAGGTTTCTGGCAGAAAGATGGCAGTCATAGCTAGTAACGTAGTGAACAAGAAGGCTGAGCGGTTCCGGACAAAAGGCAACGTGTGTACCAACGGGTCGAGTCCCCAGCGCGTATGCGCTAGTTTCTTGTGAAAACTAGATTCTGCAAGTCACTTCGGTGTATCTGCAATGAAGATGTCGATGCCGAACTTACTACTGTAGAAGCATCTCAGCTTCATCCTTGGTCACAAGACCAACATCGATCGGATCCAATCCTGAGCCCTGATCAAGATTTGCCTTCATGGGCAGGAAAAAATGATGAACGTCCAGAAATGCGCTCTGTTCGCTGCCATTGAACCTGCCTTCTGGACTGGCGGTACTCGGATTGTACGATTGTGGTGTTGCAATCCGTAGATCCGATGCCCGAGCGAGGAGCTGGAGCGGGTTCTCGACATCTTCAACAGCGAGCTGGTCATCGCTTGAAGTGCCAACGAGATTGTTTACTGATGCTTGTGGGTACACCTCTGAGGCCGGAGACGTGTCCGGGTTCTGGTTCTGGTTCGAGTCCTCGTCCCTTTGTGCCTCGTTTAGGAGTTGTTGCAGCTGCTGCAGCGTACTCTGACTCGTAGCTGCATCCGACTTCCTCTTCTTAATGGCTTCCTCGACCTGGTATATCGCTTTCTCTAAGCCTGATCGTTTGCTTCCAGATTGTCAGCCTAGTTGGCATGATCAGAACTGATCGCTTACTTTTTTACACCCTTTTGTCTACCAATGTGAAACTCGCTAGATGAAGGTATGCGAAGTCAGTGTGTATCTCACATGCAGTTCGTACAGGCACACTTACGGAATGATGCACTCAATGCCGACGTTCTGGCATCGCTCGCATATCGGCGCGCCTTCTGTGCGCCGACATTTAATTTTGCTTTTGCGGCAGTTGAGACATGCCGCTTGTTTGACGTTCATTCCTTTGACCTTGCCCTATTATGTTCGGCAACGCTATATGACCGTTCTGTAGTCTGAACTGGGCGTCTCCGGCATAGCTTGGATGGCCGCACGAAGTCTCTATAGCTGGGGATTTGAGTTGGGCTTTTTTCTCTTCACTGAGCCTCAGAAACAATGTCTACAACAGACCCAAAGATCATGGTGTGCGACGCAAGGCGGAACAAAGGAAGACGAAACGCGCCGAAAAGCTCCTCGGTGCATCCGCGTGCGTGTGGAGGTGTGCTAGCTGATTGTGCGCTAGCATGGACCCTGGTCTTGTACATGGCAGGCGCCCCAGCTTCAAACCTCGGAATAACTTCCGCTGACTTGAAGCTTGCCCAGGCCCGGCCACGCATTGCGACAAGATGCAACCAGGCTGGACTCGCCGTGAACATCGCGTGCGCTTTCGCCACTGGTCGGCGGTCAGAGACGTATCGTATATCAAAGGCAATGTAGCGCCGGATGAGACATACTCCTCGTGGACCGAGGGTATGATGTATGTATTGACGTCTAAGCATGGGTATCTGTTTGGAAACTGCTACATGAGTACAATGAAACTGCACGCCAATATCAAGAAGCAGAGCCTGAGAGTTCGTCTTCCACTGTTACCGCCCTCTCTTTGCCTTTGGCGCTCGCACTTGGATCCAATCTCTCATGCGTCGCGAGATCGTTTCCAGCCTTGTTTTCATCGCTCTGCTCGCGCTGTGCTTGAGCCTCTTCTTCCCTTCTCCTCGCATCTTCCTCCTGACGTTCCCTTTCTTCTTGAGCTGCCACCCGTTCAAGTCTTTCCCTTTCCTCCTGCGCGTGTACCATTCGCTCTCCAACACCAGGAAACAGACTGGCAACGAATAGAGCAAAAGCGCGTTCGACGGTGCGCATGCTGTCTCTGATCCACCCAAATCTTTGGTCTCTCCTCTGCTGCAATAATCTCCTAGCCGCTTCCTCAGGCGATAGGTTGCCTCGCTGCTGGGTTTGGCGTTGGTTGTTGGGCTGAGCCACACGGTCGGCCAGGGCCCCTACGGGAAGCAGGGCCTCGAAGTGACGACGTACAAGATTGAACTGCTCTTGGAACACACCTACTTGTGCCAGATAAACCACACCAGCAACAATGCCGAGCATGATGGGCCTGTAGAGACCACCACCTCCTGCAAAGAAGTAGACAAATGCAGCCAGTTTGAAAATAAGCCACAAGTGCCCAAAAACGTTGATCATACGATCATTTTCTTCTGGTTGGTTCGCATTCGCGTTTGCATTTGCAATCGGATCCTGGTTTTGGTTCTGCATTTGATTGTGCGCCTGGTCCTGATTGTAAGCCTGACCACCAGCCTCTGGTTGTTGTGTTGGTGTCGGTTGGAGGTTTGCCAGTTGATTGTGCAGCTGGGTCGATCCTTGTGCCATGTGCTGCCCTAGCCCAGCAATAAGCTGTCTATTCTGGGCAAACTGGGTCGTGAAGCTCTGGAATGGCATTGTGGATACCATAGGAGCCGTAGTGTAAGTGCCTTGCTGGTCAAAGAGAAGACCAACAGGTCCTTGTGGGCTGGATAAGAGGAACAACTCGGCTGGTGCATCTGCAGACGAAGTCTGCGTAGCATTCTGTGCTCGTGATTGTGATGTAGTTGGCACGGCTGGCGTCATGACCGGAGCACCTGGTATTGTGCCGGTGAATACACCAGCGGTTGCCGGATCTGTGGATGTAGCTAGGGTGCTTGGTTGACTGGAAATAGGACCGCCCTGTTGCCGATCAAGTATGATGTTCAATTCTAACGCATCTACCCTAATTTCGGTAACCGAACGTCGTAGCGCTACCACTTCCGGTTCGGTAGGCAGGAGGGAAAGGGCCCGCTCGACAACGTTCAGGTTCTGGTTGATCGTGTTCAGGTGTTGGCGTATGTAGTCAATTCGCCAAATAGGGAGCTGTAAGGGGAGGTGGTTTGATATCGAAGGTCGATCGGTTTGTGTGCTTGGCTCGCGCGTGGGCTGTAGTAGCGTACGAACATTTTCCATCTCCCGTTGTGTTTCCTGGAAGATGGTCTGAATCCGTGGCAATAAGCGCTGTGCACTGTCATGGCCCATTGAGGGAAGAACGCCTGGTGGAATTGGTGGACGAGCGAAACCCAGTGGATGTGGAAGAGCAAATGCAGGAACAGGCTGCTGAACTCGCGCAGGTAAGTTGACGTGGTTGTATGTGACTGTCCACCGCGCCCCATTGGGTCCAACACCTTCGCGCCGCAGTGGTTGGTCGCCATGGCCGGGAAGATTGGGTAGCCCCATTGCTGGCAGAGGCGTTGCACCGGGAAGCGGCGATTGAGCGGCATCAGCAGGTCTCTGTGTCTCTTGTCCAGGCTGCTCAGATGTCGCGTTTGGAACTCGCTCGCTATCCTGTTGTCCTTGCTGTGCCATGGCGTGAGCAAGTTGGTGCTGTACCTGTTGAGGCAGAGGAATGGGGATCACGTGTGCTTGGGCTCCCGGGAGATGGTGCTGGTGGGGTTGTGGTAATGGTGGTATTGAATTTGGTCGAGCCTGCGGCAGCGTCCTGAACGGGTTCGTCTGAAGCGGATTTGCAGGCAGAGCTGGAGCTTGGGGACGAACAAGATTGGGCGGAACGGTTGAAGATGGAGGAGCAGGTGATGCTGAAGAGTTCCCAGCAGTAGGGAGCTCTCGTAGTACCAGATGGAGGCTCTGGTCTTTGCTCTCACGAATCTACATTCACTGTTAGCCCATGTCTGCTGCTTGCGATTGGCGATCCTACGTTGTCAACACCGAACACATTGCTTAGTGTGTCGGCATCGTTGGCCACGACCCTCCCCCGGTAGATCAGGCGCATGCGTTCAGGTGCAGGCTTGGAGGGCGCCGCATCCTGTATGCGGCTGCGAAGCTCCTTGACGGTGGTTGAAGCGGGTACGTCTGCGAGATTCACGCCGCCCTCCACCTCAGTCGAGGGGGAGAGGATCTTGAGGTTGATGGTCTGCGCTTCTTCCGCCATGGTCGCTGTGTGGGTAGCGGCAGACTATGGGGAGAGGCGAAGTGTGCAGATAGATGGGAGTAGAGAAGTGACGACGTGTCCGTTCTAGAGCTCGGTGTCAACAACCTTGGGAGCCACGGTCACGCCTGCCATCTACGGTGGTCTTCTTTGTTGCCAGAGCAGTTCAAACGTCAACTTGGGCCGCCGTCCCGATGTGCCAGATGTTGCAACTTTGGGCGCACGCGATGCAGCAGTCGACGGTGGACGATGGCGACGTGCGGAGCCATGGCCGTTGCGCGCTAGAGAGGCGTCGCAGGTGGATACGTCATTGGTCAACCGAGCAGGTCGATTTTCCCTCCACCACGCGACGCCTTCGCCTGCCATCTTTGCTGGGGAATTGCTCGTTGGCGATGCATTAAGCCACAGCCATGGCGTCTCCCTGTTCACGCCAGCTCATGCGGGCTCCTCTGCGCCCGCGCTTCGCTACCCACACATGCCCCAATGCGCGCCTCTCGGTCCCCTCACGCACCTTCTCGTCGACCCGCGCAACATGTGACAAGCAGAACTTCCACCGCAAAGAGTCGTTCCGGTCCCGGCTCAACGCGGCGCTCAACAAGACCAAGATCAAGTGGGAGCCCATCCCGATAGCCCTGGGCATTGGCTTCCTCGGCGCATTCCAGCTGTACCGCATACAGCGCAGGGAAAAGCACACAGAGGTCGAGAGGCAGAATGGCGACGAGGGCGCGCCAGACAGCCAGGGCCGGCCCAAGAAGCGCGAGAGAATACGGCCGAGCGGGCCATGGACAGTCCAGGTCATGTCCACGCTGCCGCTCAAGGCCCTCTCGCGCGTCTGGGGGCGCTTCAACGAAATCGACATTCCCTACTACCTCCGAGTCCCCGGCTTCAAGCTCTACTCGTGGATCTTCGGCGTCAAGTGAGTACTCGATGTTTTCCAAGATAACGTTCGAAACGTTGCCATTGGGAGAAGTTGCGTGCTGACCAGCCAGTCTCTCCGAGGTCTCAGAGCCTGATCTCCATGTCTACCCCAATCTCGCCGCCTTCTTCTACCGCACCCTCAAACCCGGCGTCCGCCCTCTAGATCCCAACCCCAACGCCGTCCTGTCCCCCGCAGACGGCAAGGTCATCCAATTCGGCACCATCGAGCACGGCGAAGTCGAGCAAGTCAAGGGCGTGACATACAGTCTGGACGCCCTCCTAGGCTCCACCAAGCCAAGTACGCCCGCCCAGAACGTCGCAGGCTCGCAGGTCATTGCCAGCGAGCACGAAAAGACAGCCAAGGACGAAGAAGACACGGTCCGTGCCGACGAGGAATTTGCCAACGTGAACGGCATCTCCTACACTCTCCCCAACCTGTTCTCGGGGCCATGGCCAAAAGGCGGAAAGCCAGCAGAAATGCCAACCGATCAATCTACCGCACCGGCCGCCTCTTCAGAAGCTGAGGTCCGCGCAGAGATGGCCCTGAGTGAAGCCGAGCGCCCCTGGTGGGCTCCCGCGTCTCAGAAGACACCCACAGCACTCTACTACTGCGTCGTATACCTCGCACCAGGAGACTACCACCGTTTCCATTCTCCCGTATCGTGGGTCGTCGAATCGCGTCGCCACTTCGCTGGTGAACTGTACAGCGTATCGCCATACCTGCAACGCACCATGCCCGGCCTGTTCACATTGAACGAGCGCGTCGTGCTACTCGGTCGTTGGCGATGGGGTTTCTTCTCCTACACACCTGTCGGCGCAACCAATGTCGGTTCCATCAAGATCAACTTCGATCGTGAACTCCGCACCAACAGCCTCACCACCGATACTGCCGCCGACCGTGCCGCCGAAGAAGCTGCTGCGCGAGGTGAACCTTACTCGGGATTCGCCGAGGCCTCTTACACCTCAGCTAGTCGCGTATTGGGTGGTCACTCTCTCAAGCGCGGTGAAGAGATGGGTGGTTTCCAGCTGGGAAGCACCATCGTACTCATCTTCGAGGCGCCAAAGGGCTTAAGACCCAGTCTTGACGAGGGCTTCACTGGCACGGAGAGGAAAGGCGGGTTCAAGTGGAATATTGAACAGGGGATGAAGGTCAAGGTCGGAGAGGCCTTGGGATATGTGGAAGAGGTACAACAATAGTCGACGCACTCAACTCATGCATGCGCAGCAAATGATACCATCTAGCAACCCGAATGTCAATTCTTTGGCGATAATTATTCAAGTCTTTGTATTTGCTCAAGCCGTCGAAACTAGACCTTGTCTAGTTCTCTTTCCTGATCGCTAATTGCTCAGTCTTCCATCTCATCCTCTCTCATGTCATCCACCCCCGCTCACTGTCACCTCACGATGCCCTCGAAAACTTCAGTGAAGCGACCACATAAATTATGGCGCAAGCCACAACAACAATCACCACCATTCCGGCCAAAGCCACCATGACATGATGGAGGATCCTCCGAGTGCGTTGGCGTTGAAGAGTATTTGCTGTTGAAGAGGAGGACGGCGAGTAGTAACACCGTGTTGTAACGGTCGAGTTTGGCAGTGGGCCCAGCTCAACGTCGCTGGCGTTGGTGTTGACGTTGGTGATGTTGGCGCGATTAATGTGTCGCTCTGATGGGACTTGAGACCGGATGCTTGTCTTGTCTTTGGGTGCGTCCAATGTTGAGGTGTCTAATTTCGTTGCGGTGATGACAGTATTGTTGTTGGGGACGTAGCGAGTAGTTGAGAGATCGAGGTGATGGTATGGTGTTGCATTGTGGTCAGGTATCTCAGAAAAATCCGCAATGGATTGGTTCTTGTCGGACACAACATCTTCTCGCTCTGTATCTGCCATTTGAAGAGTGATATGGTCTATATTATATGGTTCAGTCGATACCGTCTCTGGGGCCGGCGAAGAGACACTGCTGGATGATAAAGCCTCAAAATTTGTAACGACGCTGTGGAGAGCAGAGAAGCTAAACATGTTGAAATCTGTAGGTCAAAACTTATGCGAATAACGATGTCCAAGGTGAAAGTGAATGTGAATGTGAAAGCGGGCTTGAACGCCGATCTGAGTTGTACACAATGCGCATACGTTCCATGTATGTAGAACATAGGCTTTAGTGGTTGATCATACTTGGAGAGAGGCTGTGTTCCTCGACTTTTTTTTTTGTAATGTACAAGAGAAAATACAGCTTCGTGCCCTCGGTCCGTTATCCCAACATGTCTACGACCGTCTCTACCTACCTTCGATCCCATCGTAACCTTCACCTCTTTGTCTCCTCCAGACCTCCAGGCCCACCAATACCCAAAACCCAATAATTACCAATACCGCTCCTGCAATCTTGATCCTAATCATCCTTGCATCCCTCCTCCTTTGGTCGTCTCCCATAGTCATGACGCGAGCCTCCCATATACGGCGCTGCGGAAGCGTACCAAGTTCCACATCGTATGGGTGAGCAGGTGCGCGCATGAAGAGGCGAGATATGAAACTTCCGGTTTGCGCAGGTTGGGGACAAGGTGGCAGATTTGTTGGAAACGGTGATGTCGTTGATAGTGGTGACATCAGTTCTGGAGTGGGGAACAAGACAAAGACTGGTGTACATCTCGGTGCAGTAGTTGATAGCGGCCATTCTGGATGCGTGATTGCTGGGGATTTCGGTGGGGATGGTAGCCGCTTGCCTGGGTGGGGGACTGTTGGCGACTGAAGCGGGACCTCATGTGATGATGATGCTGTTGCAATCTTTGGGTATAGTAGTGAGGATAGTGGCTGGCGTACGGTTGTTGGTAGCAGCCCTTTTGGCGGCTCTGATGCGGGTATTGCGTCGGCAGTTGATGCCATGACTTGTGGGTTCTCGGAGCCTTCTGTCCAAGGAATGGCCTTACAAACCGAATTCGACATGTACTCGTAGTGTTGAGTCACAAAGCGGTATGGATTGGGTAAACAAATGAACGATGGAAAAATGCCAGACCGACAAACGCGTACTGACTAATGAGCGTTTAGGCTCGAAAGTGAAGTGAAAGGGGAACTGAGATTTAGTTTGAGTATTGCGAGATGTAATTCTTCCCTTTTCTATGCTGCCATTCAAGCCATCGTCAACACCTCTCGCCTTTCGCCCATTCATCGTCTCGCTCTTGATTACCAACGACTTCCCTACTTTCAATGATCAAGGTGGGCGTGCAATGATTCCACTTCGCAACACTCGCTTCCTCCAAGGGCCAAAAGTTATCACGAACTTTTACCCTCGAGGAATTAACTCACCCATACGGAGATGTAGATGCCGGTCAATGTGTGGAAGCATGTAATGTTCAGGGCCAGTCACGCGTACGCGTGACACCAAACCTGACGAGGACCTCGTGTACGAATCACTCTGTAGAGTCTCCACCCTAGCTTCGCAGAACTGCATATCTGCTGTAGCTCGACCGAGGGAGGGAGTTATGTACCGCTATATGAAATGGTCGGAACATAGTTTCAGTCTCTAAAGATGGTATCAAACCAACTCTGAGCGTGCGACAGTCCAGAAGTAGCCTCTCATCCCTCCACAAGGCAGTACTGGCGTGTGAGAAGTGAGTGACCATATCATCCATCTTGAATCAACCAGCAATATTCTGTTGGTAATGACCTGCGCAAGACCTTCGCTAGTGACTGTTTACTTTGGATTTAGAATAATGCCGGCTTCTGAGTTGATTCTTTGGCGGGTAGCAAGTATCGATAGGCTAGAGAAGGTCTGTGGACGACTTTAATGGAGTATACAGATCAGACTGATTCCGGAGAACTTCTCTCAAACTGTGGTCCCTCTCCAAGGAAACGATCGATGGTGTTAGCAAGCTGGATGAGATGGCTTTCGCTCCAAAAGATACAAATAGGATTTGGGCTTTGCGGTGCGCTGTATTCACTGGGAGACGCTCATAGAGGGAGTCGATGCCTGAACGGGTTCTGCAATGTAGTAGAGTGGCTTGTGTAGGAGCGGTACCTCTGGAGCATAGTTCGTCTACATCCTGCCGTAGTTCGGAACTCTGTCAGTGCACTTACCATAGTAAAGCACCTGCAATGTTCGTCTGGCATCCAAAGTTCGAAGTTTATAGCTGGGCAGTATTGCTGTTGCTTGTAGTTGGTAGAGTACTGGTTGGTCGAGGTGACCCGTCAGACCCGTGCTGCCAACTTGTTCGTGCCTACAGACTGAGCAGGCCAGTAGTAGATACCCTGTGGTAGGTCGTCGATTAATGCCACCTCTGTGCATGCGCCATTGAAGGAAAGGAGACGCGGGACAATTTCCCAAACTAAAGTCGTTCCTTGCAGTGCCGTACTCGTGCAGATAGGAGCTATCTATGCACCTTCGAGGAGGCGCGCATACCCGCTTCGACCGACATGCTTAGGTACCTTTGCGTCGACCTGCTGTCCGGTCGCAGCCAAATATGACCGAACAGTGCCGGTGAATTCCGTAAATGCCAGAATTTGAGTTTTAGTAAATTGCTTGCAGAAGTGGCTGACAGTCAGCTTTTCGACGTTTGTACAGAAGTGGTGTAATAGCGGACGTTTAGGGAACCTCACACAGGCATCACAACCGAAGCGATATCGAGCTAGTCCAACGAGGTTAGGGCATGTAAGACGCCAAAAATAGCCGCATGTTGTTTGCCAGAGCTGAGGAAGCAGCATGCAGTTATGGCCCGTATTCAAGTTTGCTCGCTCAGGTAGTCACTGAGGGTTTTGATACAATTTGTTACCTGAGGCATTCGTTTCCTCAGACATGTGGCAATGTGACCATCAGAGAGTCAAACTTTGCATCGCGAGAAATGTACGAGGAGAGGTGTTGAGAAGCATATCAGTATTTTGGTATGATCTTGGGAAGGCGATGTATGCACACCCTAGCTGGTACGCAGGGGCGCCTGCAGCTCCAGACAGGTTAATGAAAGAAGGCTCGCAACGCCGCCTACACTAAGACCTGTAGTCCCCACTTGGTGCTGTTGTTGCAGGTTACCATCCGCCAGGATTTGGGCACAGCATACGTATCTAGATCCAGACGTGTTTGTTGTCTGGACGTGTTACTGAGGCGCGGGAGTGGCAGCCACAAGACGGGACGGATGAAACGTCGAATAGCTAGAAGCACATTGACGGCCTTTGGGTGGTCTGACGGGCAGTAGCAGTGGCCGAGGCAGCACTGCCACGGCACCAGATGTCGCGACATCAGCAAGTTGTTCCGGTGTTAGCTGGAGCGGGACTGGTGTTGCCTTGTCCATGTCAGTCCATTTGCTCCGCCGGCCTGCACGTGCGGCAGGGCTTGGGCTGATCAGCCTACGGCGTGCATCTATGGAGCTCGATGCATTGTACTTGAGTTGAGGCTGTCCAACCGCGCGCAATGCAGTCTTACCCGGCGTAGTTGACGGCTGCTCAGTCTTGTTTTATTATTAGCTGAGCGCGTCTGTCTCCGCCCCGCCATCGACAACCTGCTTGCTGGCGGAGCTTTGAAGCTGCCAACACTGCGATGCCTAACTTTCCATGGACCAAGTCGAACCGGTCGCACCAATCTGTCGACAATTCCTCGTCAGGGCAGCATTCGCCTGTGCCATCTGGTAAGGAACCTTTTGGCCGGCCAATCGTCGCCCCGGCTGACGGTCAAGCGCTGTCAGTGAACGAACAGGTCGCAGGCCAGCAGCGATACCAAAATCCAGACGGCAGCCAGCCAGCACCTGTGCAGATTCAGCAGCCGCCTGTGCAACCACCGCAGCCTCAATATAGGGAGCAGCAGTTTCCCCAGCGCACCACGAGCCACAGGCTGAGCGCCCATCTCTCCCTGGGCCAGTCGTCGTCGCCGTCATCGCCGCCGCCGCCGGTGCAGAACTACCAGCAACAAGCTGGGCCTCCGCCCGCATCTGCTCTCGAGTCGCCTCACCGCGGTGCCTATCAAGCCCAGCCCTCGCCCGCGGCATACGTGCCCGAGCCCAAGAAGCAGTCGCTGCGCAGTCGCATTGCAGCCGGAGTCAAGGGCCACAAGGACCAGGAGGCCAAAGCACAGAAGAACGGCCTGGGTAGACGCCAATCCGTCCGGAAGAGCGACCCCCGTGTGCAGGAGTACCAAGCGCAGGAAGACAGTCGTGCGCAGCAGTGGCATCAGCACCACCAAGGCTCGACGTCCCACCTGCCCGCCTCCAACGAGCAGGACGAGGACAACCTCGACCCCTTCCTCCAGAAAGACGACAACGAGACGCCCCAGGTGCCGCCCAAGGACATCCAATACCAGCAGAAGCTGCAGCAGCCTCAACAACAATTTGTGCCGCCGCCGCACCAGGAACAGTACAATCGGCCCCCACTTGGCAGGGTAAGCACCGAGGGCAGCTATTCGACCCAAGGCGGGGTAGATCAATACAGCTCTGAGAAGCAACAACAGCAACAACAACAACATCAACAGCACCCACAACACCCACAACACCACCACCACCACCAGCAACACCAATACCAAACCTACCAGCCTGCCGCTCCACCCCCACCCCCACAGCCCGCGACCGACTACCAGGCCTTCAACCCGCAAAACGTGCCAAGCCCCCTCCTCCAGAACGCTCAGCCGCATGGCCAAGGTGGGCAGGTACCACAGGACATCCCGCAAACTTACCACCTGTACCAGCAGTCGCTAGAAAGTGCCCACCAAAACACTCTTTACCCACAGCAACAGCAGTTTGCGCAGCAGCTTCAGCCGCACCAAGACCCACAGCAACAGCCTCAATCTGTGCGACCAGCCTCACAGCATCCCCAGATTGCGCAAGAGGCCCAGAAGATCGAGTCGCAACAACGCCAGCCCCCTCCGTCCCACCAGCTGGCCCCGCCGTCTCCCCTCCAGCCGCCGTCCTACCAGACATACGACGCCCAGCACACGCAACCGTCCGATCTCCCACCGACAAACATAACACCCCCACACCAGTCGCAGGACAACATGGCACCCAGTGCTCAGAGCAATGCGAGGAACACGCTAAGAAAAGTGGTCGACGGCAGCCAACCGCAGCCAGGGCAACCGTCCCGAGAGTCATCCCTACTTTCACAGCCTCCCGCTCAAGGTCAGCCACTCGGTCAGCCGCCTGTCTCGCCGGGCCTCGCAACATTCGACGCTAACGTCGTACCAACAGCTTCACAGGGGCAGCCATATCGCGGCGAGAAGCAGAGCCAACAGGTTTCAGAAATGGGACGGGCAACGCCTCCGCCAAGAACCTCCGTCGCCGATATGACAGAGGACGATGTCGAGAAGCTGCAAAAGGAGCACGATGTTTTGCGTAAGTGGATTCCCATCCAATGAACCGACTCACCTAACTTCGTACAGGCGAAAAGTACCAAAAGGTCAAGCGATACTTCTTCGAGCAACAGTCACAGGTTCACCAGCTGCAAAACACCCTCGCAAATCAGCGCTTGTCGCTCTCCCGCACATCTTGGGACGACAGCGAATACGCAACGCGCTTCAATCGATTGGATGGATTGATCGCACAGCTATCCTTCTCCATCCGCAAGGATTGGAAAACCATACCGCAGTGGTTGCATGTCGTGGTCAACAAAACTGCCGTCGAGACAGGCAAGCAGGAGATGACGGCTGTTGGCCGTGCCTTCATCTCGCACTGGTTGGTAGAAAACATATTTGACAAGTACTTCCATCCGGACCTAGAGCCGGGCTTTTCGACACAACTGCAATCGATCGTTTCGAATATCCGCAAGTTCTCGCCGCCTTGCCACAGCACCGAAGACGAAGACACACTTGCCGCGAAAATCATCAACTGGCGGCTGGCGACACTGGAAGGTCTGGCAGATGTGTTGAGAGCACCACAAGCTACTTCCAATCGCGAGACGCTGACTGAAACACTCAATGAGAAACTCATCGCGTCTCTCCAGATGCACTTGAACGACCCTGCGCCGGCAGACCTCAACGGAGGCGTGCCTATGATCATCGAACTGGCCATCAGCATTGCTCAGCATCTACCGCTTGAGAGCCGCGAAGTACATATTGAGTACTTCCCTCCGGGTCACGGTATCGTCGCCGACTTTATGAAGCTGGAATCCGGCATCCCCGCATTAACAGCACCCATTATGGAGTTGGATGACGCGGATAGAGCTTCGATCAGAAGCATGGCATCTAGACCTGACGACAACATGTCCATTGCCGAACAAGAGCAAGCACAGCTACAAGGAGGCCAGCCGCAAAAAGAAGATAAGAAGCGCGGTATGTTCGGATTTGGTGCATCAAAGAAGGCGACGGCTTCTCCTGCCACCCTGGGCAAGCGAGAATCGTCTCTCGGTCAAGGTGGCAGCCAGCAAAGTCTTACGCAACATCCACCGGGCAGCTCCGGGGGACCAAAAGATGAGTCTCCACCACCACGCGTGCGCATGGCCGTCGGTGTCGCGGTACAGATTCGTGGAAAGAGCATCTTGATCAAGGCTCCAGTGTACAGCACTTGAGTGGTGACGACGACGAGGTGGATGATTTGAATTGAGCGATCTAGCAAGCAAGCGTTTGGATGATTTCCTTCTTCACTTCTCTATAGCAGCATTGGGCTCTCAGATTGGATCCGTATCTAAGATATACCCATGGACGAATGATGGCGTATTTTTGAGCGTTTCGTTGGTAGATTTGGAAGTGCACGCCGATACCCTCGCTGTTGTTACGGTTGGGATTTGTATAGGGACATATTTTCTATGTATCGTGGAACAAAATTCACATAGCTCTGGTAAATTTACCTGGGTAGACATGAGAGTTTCCATCGCTCCTTGGTGGGCATGCTCGCGCTTCACATACGACAAGCACGCTAATTGCGGCCACTTTGAACTCCTATTGGCCAGCCTCCGCGCCTGCCCTTTGTTTACCGAATCTAAACATTCTCGTCGCATCCAACAAGCCTACCGACAAGATGGAAGACATATTCGTGACGACAAAATTCAAATGCAAGCCATGATATGAAGCCATAGTATGCGATCGCTACTGACCAGTGCCAGCAACCAATGTCTCTGTCCCGTCGCCGACGGCAACACACGTTGCTTGCCTCAACGGCGCTCGCTTGCAGATACGATGTCTCACCACGCTGGAAATTGTCCAGAGCATAGCGATACCTTCTAGTCAGAATCTGAGAAGCTCAAAGATCGCCTGGTCGCCTCCTACTACACCGCCATTAGCGACCTCGATCTCGAGCCGTTCACCCAACTCAACACCTCCCCGCCGATCGTCGCGTACACCACGCCCCTGCTCGAACCGTGTCCTGCTATCCGATCATGACACAACACGCGTATACGATCTTCGAGACGAGAGGTGGAACGCCATCATTAGCAATGGCTCAGGCGGCATGGGCAAGAACGTACACGCCGAGTTTGGCGCCAATGAGGATGAAGTACTTGTCTGGAGTGACTTCACCGCATCCGTCAAGATATGGTGTCTGAAAACTGGGAGAGCCGTGGAGATACGTGACCCCAAGTTTCTGGGTAAAGACGGCAAGGGGTGGGGATATCGCCCTTCTGAGGATACAGAGGCAGGCGCGGGAAGGAGAAGAGGTGGTGTTTTGGCTCTACTATGTCGCGTAGCAGGCGCTGATATTCTACTTCTTTTGGCGCCGGGTACATACAAGCTTCTCAATCGTGTAGAGTTGACAACTTCAGACGCAGCGGGCCTCAGATGGAGCCGTGACGGCCGCTGGTTGGCCGTCTGGGACACGGCCTCTGCTGGTTATAAACTGCACATCTACACTGCCGACGGACATTTGTATCGCACCATAACCCGCGAACCCTCGGACGACGTTAGCGAGTGGCATGTTGAGGGCTTGGGTATCAAGACACTCGAATGGCTACCCGGGAACCAACGTCTGGCAGTTGGTGGGTGGGACCGTCGCGTTCGCATCCTCTCTACACGTACCTTCGCACCCATCGTCTTCCTCGACCACACACCTGTCATCGATGTACCTAGTGCGCCGGTATACAGCGAACATGTCGACGGCCAAGGCAATCGCAGCTATACGACCACTCAGCAGCCTGTGACCCCTCCGAAAGCTGCCTTGGATAAGAATGAAACAGGGCTCATGAAGCAAGGCATCGGCATGTTGACTTTCAACGCAGACGGCACGTTGTGTGCAACACGCGACGACAGCACGCCGTGTACCGCGTGGATATGGGATCTGACAAGTCTCCGACCGCGCTGTATATTAATCCAATACAGTCCTATTAGGAACCTGCTCTGGCACCCTACCGATCCGCATCGTCTAATCATACAAACCACTCAAGACGAACCTACCGTATACCTGTATACAGCCGCATCATCCCACATACCCCCGTCTTCGACCTCGTCTTCCTCAACGGCTCTCGCATCTTCGCATTTCCCACACCCACCCGCCATAATAACCCTATCCCCACAAATCACCAAACCAGCTGGTTCATTACCACCCCGCTGGACAATATCCTGGCTTTTCACTCCACCAGACAAGAAACCAGCGTTCATCTTTGCCCATCAACAAGCACACGTACTGGTGTGGCCGGAGGGCAAAGACAAGATTCTGCGCTTTGAGCGTGATGATGAGGATGAGCAAGGGGATTCAGATGATAGTCTATTCGATATTCTTACAGGGCGGACACCGATACCTGAGCTGAGTGTGAGTAGAATCGAGGCTGAGGCGGACGAGGACATGGAGGGGGAACAAGTAGAAGAGGATGGACTGGGGTATGGAGATAGTGTGGGGACAGTGCAGGGGTTGGATGATACGTTTAGAGGGAAGAGGAGGCAGGAGTATACGAATGATGGTGAGGAAACGGAAGGCAGGGACCAGAGTCTTTACGAAGAAGGAGTGTTGGGCGAGAGTGGTATGAGTGAGATGTTTTGATCATCTCGGGTCACTAGATCATTGGAGTTTGGGAGTTCTTCAAAGGATATACCCGTACCGCCATTTCTTTCCTTAATAACACAAAACTGAGAACTTTGACAAAACATATCCTACACTTGCTCTTCTCTCGGTCTATTTCTTCTCGTCCTCAAATCCCCACCGTCCTGTTTGATCCAAGCCCAGAGGGTTCTGCCCTGTCTGCTCCTTTCCTGCAATCTTTTCCGGTGTACTCTCATAGCTATCCTTGTTCTTGCCGCCTAGCAATTCAGATCTTTCTTCTTCGTGGCCTAGCAAGGGACCGAGAGCGGGTCGTGTGGTGCCGCCGAGGGCGTTGCCAAGTGGGCCAGTTACGCCTTTTTCTAAGGGTGCGCCAATAGGACGGAGGGCTGTGCCTAAGACGTTTCCTTTACGCATATTAGGACAGGCATGGGAGGAGAGAGCTGTATGTAGAGAGAGCTAGGCAGGAGGCTGATAACGATGACGAGACTACATACCGATGGGATCTCCAATTGTACTCAAAAGACCTCCAGAGCCCTTCTTCTGTTCTTGTTCGTCATCCTGGGGTTCAGTCTGGATGTGCTGTTGCTGAGGCTGCTCTTCTTGCTTCTTGTCTGACATGTTGGATAACTTTTGGTCCGCGCGTACAATACTTGGAGATGTATGTTTGTTCTTTATCTACTTTGGTGATTGGAACGTGGTAGGAGCTAACGAATTTCTAGAGTTAGTCGTTTAGGGGTCTGGAGAGAATGGCCTTTATGTTAGTTGCGTGAGGTTACGCAGCGCGTTTCCAAGCTTTGGGGAGGGTTGTGACGTCACATGTCATGGGTGGGCATGATTTGGCGCGCTCCCCTTCCTTTTGGTGGGGTATGCGACAAGGGGGTTGACGACATCACCATTGACGTCGCACTACGCGAAGGATTGGAGCATTTGTGGAAGCAAGTATTCGTATTGAAGAGGACTCCGCCAGATGCCACCATTACCATGACACTATACCCAGTAGAAGAACTTGAAGAAATATGAAGATCCTGGTTCATTATGATGAAACGTTTCCCACCGTAAGTTCGTAGTACCGCAAAGCAAAAAAGACAGTTCGCGAAACACTTTTGGTTTGTTAGAGAGTAGACACACTCGACCGTGCTGCATCGATGTGGTGGTTTAGGGGTTTTGACGGTTGACGCTATGGCAGATCATCAAGCTGGCGGCTGGTAGATGTTATGTTAGTGGGTGTTTCTGAATTGTTATACGTGACTTACTTGGCGTCGATTGTATGTACAATCACGTTCAGCCGGCGACAGTGGGACGAGCGCTTGGATCGATATCCTCCTTGGTCTGGTGCGCAAAGATCGAAGTGTCCAGGACCTTGTCGTTCTTGTAGCCTACTTTCGGGAATCGACCGACGCGGAAGAACTTGCAGGCGTTCAAGAATTTGCCTCGCCAATCAGCTTCCAAGTCCTCGCCATTCTCGTGTTGGACATTGAGTAAAATGGTCTTTATGACCCTCGCAGGTCCAGTCTTAAGGTATGTATCATCGTTGACGTACTCATATCCACCACGGGCGCGGTAGCTGGTATCAACCATCTCGAGGAGTCTATCCACGAGGCATTTGCCGATCCCCTTAGAAACGAACCCTGGGTGGACGAACAACTCCATCTCAAACGTATAACGGTATGAGCTCGACTGACCGCAATAGTCGTCCAGATTGACAAATCCAGCTATCTTCTCGCTAACACATCCTGGATTAGCCCTTGATCGGTTGCTCTTGGAGACTGCTACCAAGTATGGAAGACCGGCGTTCACAATATCAGAGATTCGTTGAGCCATCTGAACTATGGTACGTTCGTCAAACTCAGTCGCGAAAATAGTGTTGCTGATGTAGTAATTGTAGATCTCCTTAGGCAGTGTTAGTTCAGATTCATTGTCGCTCTAACCTTGAAGGTTCACGAACGTGTTTGGGGGGCATGATTCCACTTACCGAAATGCCCTCGACATCGGCCGGCTTCACAGGTCGAATGTAAATGTTTGCTTCGGGATGTAGCCGGCGGTCTGCCATTTGCGGAGTAGGGTACTTCGACTCTGGAACAGGGCGACTCCGCTTTGCCATCAACTTGCGATATTTTTCCGCTGCGCGCTTGTTCTTCTCTTCAACCTTTTCTTGTGCAGAAGCCAGCATCCAAGATGCCGACGGGTATTCAGGATCATTGAAGTTAACTCTGGCATCCGGAACGTCTAGGGCGCGGAGGTAGCTAGTAGGATGGGTGACCATTTTCTGGTTGTGGCTCTCGTCATCATCCATGGTCTCTGTGTAAACCGCGTCCTCATAGAGCTCCCACCAGGGCATATAGTCAGTGAGATCGTTCGCATCTAGAGGCTTCGGCTCTTTCTCTGGATTTACGAGACCTTTCCAGAACTCTCTGAGACTTTCACCGCCCACCTTCACCTCGAGCCAGTAACGAGGTGCCAACTCTTTACCCTGGATAAATGTATCGGGTGGGAAGTAGGGAGTGACTCCGTTGTTCCAATCTAGAGGATGTGTGTTACACCATTGCTCTATGTGCGCACTAAAATGGCGATCCGTGTAGCCCTTGCGGGCAGACCACATCTCAGGAGGCAGCCAATCGCCGTTCCAGTCTACCAGCTTCTTGATGTCGTAGTGTGGGTCTCCGTCGCTATTAGACTTGAAGTCAACGCCGCCGTCACTGTTGCTGCTAGAAGGTGTGTACTTCATATCTTTCGCTTTGGGCCAAACTGTCTTCTTGTATGGCTGTGGGCCTCGAGCCCATCGTGGGTTTCCGGGGTTCTTCTTCGCAATTGGAAGGTCTTCCTTAGGCTCGTCCCAACCAACGTAAACGAAAGGCTCAGGCATTGCGGATTCGCGCTTCTCGTCTTGTCTAGGATCGTGCGAGGTCTTTCCTGATGAGGATGGGGACTGGTGCTGATCAGCTACGTCGTTACTACAGATGTGTTAATAAATACAGGACACGACGGCAAGGCGCTCTTGAGTAGACTTACGGGACAGGATCAGTCTTGCTGATGATGGTGTCCTTGGACTGGTTGGATGCAGTAGGTGATGCGCTGACAGCAACACCGCTACTGTGAGCAGAGTCTGCCTTTCCAGCGTCGACAAAGCTACGATTGCGCAGATGAGGGGGGACGTAGATCCTTGCCGTACTGTCAGGTGGTCCAATCATTTCGCCGTCTCCAGTTTTCTTCTTCTTGTTGCGGGAGCGCCGCTTGTATGGTGGCTTCTGTTTCTTGATCGCGTTGTTAATGTGCAACTCAGGTAGGTGAGTCGGAAGGGAGAGTTCTGCTTGTTGAGCTACCCAGCTATTGTCGGCACCGACATGTACTGTGGGAAGTTCTTCGAAAGGCAACGATTGCCAGTGAGGACGTCCAGACTGAGGTTTATTGAGGCCCTGTCCCGTGTTAGCTGCAAGTGAGGTGAGAAGGTTGAGGTTGAGGGAAAGATGATTTTCATATGCAGGATTTTCGGAGCGGTCTGAAGTCGATATGGGAGGCTAGTTGCGCCTTGACTTACAGGAGAACCCTTGAAGTCCTTTTCTTGCTGCCAGGTCATGGGTTCGTTCTTCAGCTCCTTGTTGACGTGGGATTCATTGGCCGAGGAGTCGTCCACTTCGATCAATAGCGGTAGCGGCGGCAGGGTGCTGCGCGGACACCAGTTGCGTGCCGTTCGGCTCATAGTGCGGGTTCGACACGTCCAACAGAGAAGAGACAAGCAAGGGCCCGAGAGGATACTCAAAGGAACAGAAGAAAGGACTAGAGAAAAGAGGAGTCAAGGAACCTTGATGTCTGAAGCCCTTGGTTCAGTGTTCTATAGCTTCGTCGCCGAAGCTGCCTAGTATGTTGGGTGAGAGCAAGCCGATTCCCTCTCACCCCCTTCCCATTCTGGAGTTCTGTCTTGCTGTGACACATCCCACGTGGCTGGTAATAGTGCACAACAAGGAAGGAAGGCGGTTTTTGCAAGCAGTATAGGTACGATTACTGTCGGAACATCGAGACAGGCTCAGTATCCTTAAGACAGCAAACACACGCCGCCGATGATGAAGAAAAGGGAATCGATTCTTCGATGGAATGCTCTGTTCACGCCCCCTTCCACCCCATGCCATGTAACTTACCGAATTCGATAAATTTGTGGCCATGCTTTCTGAAGAGCGATGTGGTTACGACGTTGGTGCTGTAGCATGACATGCCGTCGTGTGCAAGCGTCCGTAAACAGTTTAGCCGCTTGACTGGTGAGCTCCACTCATCCCAATGACTGCCTAACGAACAAGACAAAACTTGGAAAGTGAAAAGCACAAAATGCTGTCGATATTGCGAAAAGCGCGTCTCAAGGACAAGGAGATGCGCATTCTTATGCTGTGCGTATCTCAAGATTGTTCTCTAAACCAAAAGCTCACCGCGTCAGTGGTCTTGACAATGCAGGAAAGACGACTATAGTGAAGAAGATCATGAACGAAGATGTAAACAGCGTCAGTCCTACACTCGGTTTTATCATCAAGACGATTGAGTACGATGGGTATGTACAATGGCGCAGCCTGCGGAACGAAACTAACGGGAAAGATACAAACTGAATATATGTAATGCAACTGCATGTCTCCGGAGAATGCTGTACTGACAAAGCAGGGGATGTCGGCGGCCAGAAGACGTTGCGCACGTACTGGAAGAACTATTTCGAGAAGACAGACACGCTCATCTGGGTTGTTGATGCAACCGACCGCGAGCGAATAGACGATTGTCGGAACGAGTTGGCGGGGTTGCTGCTGGAAGAGGTTCGCACAAGCATAATCCCTCCTGATGACTGACTAACAAGAGCAGCGCCTTTCCGGAGCAAGCCTGCTAGTTTTCAAAAACAAGAGCGACGTTCCCGGATCCATGACGGAAGACGACATTTGTGAGGTGGGTTGAAGACGGCTTACGAACATGTTGAGCTTGGTTGGCGGGCCAATGCTAACGGTGGCGTACAGGGACTGCGACTCGACGCCATCAAGACACACAAATGGCACGTTATGACCTGCAGTGCTATGACGGGAATGAACCTGCAGGAAGGTCTTGAGTGGGTGGTACAGGATGCAAAGGCTCGACTCTTCCTGTATTGAAGCGTGTCGGCATGCATCGGGGTTGCAAGGGGCAAGGCAGCCCAAAGGCTCGATGCGGGTAGTGCAACGGTAGTCGAATGACAAGTTCCAACCGCCCAATTGTGGAGCTGGCGTCAACTGGCCGCAGCTGGAACGCTGATAGCATAAACAAACAGCCATCGAGGCCATCTTCACGACCTGCATCCTACTTTCTCTCTGCCACTCTCTTCGCCATTCGCTCGTTTGATGCCGTCTGCCCGCCAGCCTTGCGTCTACATCCCGTCTGAAACACATACGAGCACCTGCAGCCAAGAATGACATAACCGAGTCGAAGCAAATTAACGACCGTCTAGCTCAAGATCCGTCTGGGATTCATTTCACTGCCGAGCATCTTCAACCCTTGCGCATAACTCCCGTAGCGCACATTGGCCTGTGATTGCCTAGCTTTCTCATCGCCCACACCACCATGTCATCGGAGGACAGTAAGGAAATCGATCCTTCCGAGTTCGTGCAGCGGATTCAACGGTTAGGCGACCAACGAGACCGCGAGGATGCCGAGCGCGTCAAGAAGCTCGAGGAGGAGCTGATACAAGGACGCAGCGAGCGACTAGCGCGGAGAGCAGGTTTGTTTTTGGATCCGTTAGACTCGTTCACGACTGATGTTTTCCCAAACAGAGCGAGCCCGTTCAATCTCCCCCGACAAGCCATATACTCCCCAATCGCCGCGCTCTGCCGCCGCCACCCCCCGAACGGTACAGGAAAAGGCTGCTAGCACGCCCACACCTAACATGAGCCCTCCTGCTCAAGACACGGGACGCGACGAATCGCTGCAGCGCCTCACGAGCTCTCCCACGACGGCGACCCTCGAGGACACAGAACCCAAGAAACCGGCTACCAGCGCGGCAGCATTGGGACGCTCAGGCACATTATCGTGGAACCAGAGGCCCAAGTCGGGCAGCATACGCCGACCTTTGTCAGTCGCCTCACGCTCGCCCGAACGAGCTTCTGCCAGCAACACACCCGAACCACCGTCCTCGCCCGAGGCCAACCCGTCCAGAAGCTCCATTGCCGCATCGTTAGGCGCCAAGGATCCAAACTTCTTCCGGCAATCAGCAGAGGGCGGAAGGGGGTCGGCGGCTTTCAGGAAAAACCAGGATGATGCCGCTTCAGAGACAGGCTCAGTGTCGGGCAGGCGGCAACTGCCAGGCATGTCACGCGAGTCTACTGTAGAGCCCGAGATGAGTAGTCCGCCTATAGAAGGCATACGCTCCAGCTCGCCCGGCTCTCGGGCTGGCTCCGTGCGAGGCAGCGCCACGATGAGCAACCGTTTCTCCTCCAACACATCCGTCTCTGGTGGCGATGCAGAGTCTCTCGCCAAAGGACGGTCGCACCTTCCAACACTCGACTCCCAAAAGTTCGCCCCGCCTTCCGAACAAGACTCGTCGATCGATGGTGGAGACAACGAACGTGCCGCACGCGCCCTCGCCATGTCACCAACCCAAGGGAGAATCTCGCCCGAACGGGAGCGATCAGCGTCGCCTACCAAGGGCATGGGCGGCTTCGTGCAAAGTGCCATGCTCAAGCGAAGCGATAGCGTAAGCAAGAGGTGGAGCACGCAGACACCGCCAGTTCTGAGCAGGCAAAACTCAACCCTGAGCAACCGCGGGAGCGTTTATGGCTCAATCTCCGGCCTTGAGCGACCTAACTTGACTAGAGACAACTCCATCGAGCCTTCCTCCTCGCGTCCTGCCTCCAGCTACAGCAATGCGACCATAACCGGGGCCGACAAGGACAGCGCAACCAAAGACGAATTCGTCAAGCCTGCCCTGCCCCACCGTCACAGCAGAGCCAAGTCTGTTGCGTCGACCTTTAGCGACAAAGACGCACTGCAAGACGATTTCTCACCCCCGAGCCCCTCGAAGCGGTGGAGCCCTACAAAGTCGACCTGGCTCGAGAGCGCGCTGAGCAGGCCAGAGTCGCCCAAGCCGAAGCAATCGGCACCAGCGCAACCCGCGTGGATGGCAGAAATCAATCGCATCAAGCAACAGCGTAGCAGTGTGGACCTAGGCAAGGGTAGCTCGTTCGGAGAGCCGACTGGGTCGGGTCGCACGTCGCCTATAAAAGACATACAATTGAAACCTGTAGGCCTCCGCAGGCCCGAGTCTCCCAAGAAGGAAGAGTCTGCAGAGCCCAAGAAGATGGAGACTGTCAAAGAAGCGTCGCCGAGTCCTACACCTGCGTTGGCACCAAAGCCCTTGTTCACCAAAAAAGAAGAACACAAGCCCGCAGCCGAGACATCACCGAGGGCGACTGAGCCTGAAGTTACAAAAGACGCCCTCGAGCAGGCTGCTACCGAAGCAACTGCTCCTGTCTCTACCAAGTCAGCATCACCACCACCACCAGCTGAACAACCACCGACAGCAGTAGAATCCAAACCAGTAGCGTCACGATTCAATCAGGACACTGGACGTGGTCTCCCAGCTTCGAAGCCGAAAACACCACCTAAGAAAGATTTCCGCGCTGGATTGAAGCCGCGCCGGCCACCTCTTGATAATTCAAAGAAGGAGGGAGAGGTTAATGAATTACAGAACGTGTTTGGCAGATTAAGAAAGGCTGAAACCAAGAACTATGTTGCGCCAGATGTGCTCAAGGAGAACATCACACGAGGCAAAGGCGCTCTTAACATAACCGGTGGCCCAAAGCCTACAGTTCGAAAGGATGAGTTCCGGGAGAGCCTCATCAAGAGGAAATCTACCATCTTTGACAAGGCTCAAGAAGAGGGCTCAGCGCTGAAGAGATCGGACAGTGCATCCAAACCATCCCCTCCGACGCCAGAGGCTATTGCAAAGAAGAAGGTCTTAAATCGAGCAGACAGTGACCCGAAAGCTGCTGCACCGAAAGAACCAGAGCCCATTCCGGAAGCTCTGATGAGGAGGAAGAGTTTAGCGGCGAACAGGCCTGTCATTAACGACAAGCCAGCACAACCCGCACCCGCCTCCACGACAAAAGAGCCAGCAATGTCTGGCAAGCTCGCGGGTCGATTCAACCCTGCTCTAGCTGGTATGCTCGCTCGAGGCCCACCTCCTCTTGCGATGAACAAGTCTACATCAAGTGCTGAGGTAGACGTGTCTCCTACCAGGTCTGCGCAGGAAGAGAAGACTGGACCTGCTCCAGAGCTGCAACACATGACTAAAGGTCGTGCCCGCGGACCGAAGCGAAGGGCACCCGCCTCGAAACCCACCACTGCCGAACCGGAGAAGACTCAAGAAAAGGCTCAAGAGAAGGTACCTACTGCTACCGTTGCTCCCTCGGCCAAACCAGAGCATGTCCTTCCTAGCTCTGAGCCTTCCAAGACTAACGGAAAACCAGAGGAGCGACCAGTAGCCAGGACGCCAGCCAGACAGTCTTTGACTGATAAGCCTGCTACCCCAGCCAAATCAGCGCGCATCTCTTCCGGAGCCTTCGCCAAAGCCTCACCCCCAGAGCCTCCCAAGAAGTCAGAGTCCTCGGAACTAGATCGAACGGTTTCTGATCCGCAGGTCTTGCCCAAGCCTTCGCCACGACCGGAGTCTATCAGCTCACCGAAGCCTTCCTCGCCAGGAATACCCAAGAAGCCAACGTCTCTGGAGTTCGAAAGACGAGTCTCGGGGTCATACAACACGCCGCAGAAGTCACCTTTGCCCAAGCAAACTGAATCACCAAAGCCGGCCTCACCCACGTCTTCCCCAGCCACACCTCATTCTCGATTCTCGCGTCCTTTACCAACGTTGCCTAGCAAGCCAGTAGCAGAGAGTCCCAGGTCGACACCACTTCGGGAGATTTCAACACCCAATGTGGAGATCTCGCCGGCGAAGGATGAGCCTTCGCCTGAGAAGACTACGTTCTCATCGGTCAAGAGCGCTACCACACTATGGGGCAGGTCCTCAGCTTCTTCGTCGCCCGCTCCACCACGAGTCAGGTCTCCGATCAAACTCCCTACACAAGCAGACGAACAAGCTGCAATGAAGGACGCCGGCTTGATTCGCTCATCGGGGTCAGGCACCAAGGCTCTGCCCGATCCGCCGCAATCAAACTCACAATCACCGACTGAATCCAAGCCTCTGCCACCGAAGCCGAAACCTGTCGGGCTAGGCTTCAGCTTAGGAAGCTTGGGTGGATTCGTCGCGTCTCGATCGCGAGAATCCAGTCCTCAACCACCCAAAAACGCACCTATGTCACCACCGGGAAGCGCAAATAGACCGTTCTCTGAGCCTTCCATTGTGTCACCGACTCTCCCAAAACACGATGGGATGTTCGCAGATTTCTTCGATGAAGCCCCTGTGACTGAAGGCCAGCTGCCCGACAACATCGATACTATGTACACACTAAAATCTCCACCGCTTGACCTGGGTCCATCTGGAAAGATACGTACATTGCGCAAGCAGATCCAAGAAGTAACTGGCGATGGTAGACTCACAGCTGTGCCTGTTCAAGAAGAGCATATCCTGTTCCAGGATTCAATGTATCTGTGCACGCACGTCTACGATGACGCAAGGGGTGTTAGGCATACTAATGTCTACTTGTGGGCTGGCAATGGTGTAGCAGAGCCTACGCTTGAAGATGTACAACTCTTCGCAAAGAACCATGCACGTCAAAATCAAGGCACGCTTCTAGTCATACGTCAAGGTCAAGAGACACCCAACTTCTTCGAAGCCCTGGGCGGTATTGTCATCACAAGACGTGGTGCAAAGCCAGCGGCGAAGGAATTCATGCTCTGTGGTCGCCGCCATCTTGGACACCTTGCTTTTGACGAAGTCGATTTCTCACTCAAGAGCCTATGCTCCGCCTTCCCCTACCTTGTCTCCACTTCGGCTGGCAAGGTGTTTCTTTGGAAGGGCCGCGGCTGTTCTGCTGAGGAGCTATCTGGTGCACGTCTTATGGGCATGGACCTCGCGCCTACTGGCGACTACAACGAGATTGATGAAGGCGCCGAACCTCCAAGCTTCCTCAACAACACATTTCCTCCCCCTCAAGTCCCAGCAAAGGGCCCCGCCATTCCCCGCTCAGCAGACCATTGGCGCTACAAGGCCACATCCGACAAGTACCGCGTACGTCTCTACAAGATCGAACAAACGACTGGCCAGCCGGCAGGATGGGGCCAAGCACTCCAGGTGAGCAGCTCCTTTTTCGCACCGCTGCTGCGAAGACCATCTTGGAACGCTGCTGAACAGAGGCCACAGACGCCGCTTACGCCCAAGACGCCGCAAGGTGTTGTCAAGACCGAAGTCAAAGAAATTATGCCTTTCTCTCAGAGGGATCTGGAGCCGGAGAATGTATATGTACTTGACGCGTTCTTCGAGATGTACATGTGAGTTATCTCGTTACTGGATTCTAAGATACAGTTCACTAATGGTTCGCAGAATTGTTGGTCCTTTGTCTCGCACACAAGCGCCTGCATTCTCCACTGCCCTAATGTTCGCGCAAGCCTACGGTATGCTTGCTGTATCAGAGGAAGACCGTCCATTCATGCCCGTTACTACAGTTGTACTAGAAGGTGTACCTCGCGACATGAAGGTCCTTTTCCGTCACTGGGATGACAAGCTCATTCCTGCAGCTGGCTTGATGAGTGGTAAACTTGGCCGAGGCAAGAGTTTGAGGATCGTTGGCTTGGAGAAAGCTATCGAGGCTACGCGAAGATAGATGATAGACGCATGGGTCGGGTCGTTTTGCTATGCTGTCATGAGCGTTTTTGAGGACAAGCGACATACTTGCGCTTTCTGTTCGCTGTATATACCTTATACCTGCATTATATCTGGCGGTGGGTGCATCGGGCTTGCACATCGGCGTCACGGCGCCATTACGGACCGGCCTCAAGAGTTAGGCTATTGAATCCGGATTTTTGCTCACGCGGAATTGCTATGATCATACCGCTTAAACTCGTGCCTTGTCGTCATGTGCTCCTCATTTCACTGACAGTAGTGTAGTCTATGGAAGATTTCGTCATTCTAGACCATTTTGTGGATGTTAAGTCCAGAACATCATCGGAGATGAAAGGATGTTTCTGAGACGGACACGCCATGTTTCAGTTGTACCGATGCGTTCACCCGCACCACTGTATCCTTCTCGCTCTCTCTGACCGGCTGTCCTGGTTACACCCCGCGGACTATTATCTGGGTTCTTCGGCTGTTAACGAGATGATATATGCTGTTGTTTCACGCGTTCTACCGTGATGTTATTACCGGCAGAAGAGCAGATGTGACACTGGTGTATAACGTCATGATTTGTGGTGCTGTCTCATGCGCAGACTGTGCCTAAGAAACAAGACGGGATAGGCGATTCATGCCTTGAGCTTGTTTCATAGTGGGTCGCATAATTACTTTCTATTTTGGTGTCAAGGTCGTAATGGAAGGCGTTTGGACCTTGAAGGTACAACGAAGGAGTCAGATAGGTATCAACAGACGTGCAAAGAAAGTACCTCATTGCGTACCTACCTGGGTACTGACCGAACACCGTTCATGTCATCCAAACTTTCTTCCCATCAACCTTTCGCATCCTCCCGCCGGCACCTTCTTCGGCTTCTCTAGTGGCCGCCCTGACGCGCCTTGCCCAAAGGGCTATCGGAAGACGCCACGTCAAGATTTGCCTCGAAGGGGTCAGCACAGGTACACATGACCCATCTCCCCCTCCTCTACACCGCATGTACAGTAGAAAAAAAACTACAGCAATACTGTGGTAACAGAACGCGTCAATGCTTCCCATAATAGCCGGCGGTATGTTGGCTCGCATAGCAGGAAGGTCTAGGGTATCCAAGCCTCTCCAAGCTTTTGCCGAGGGGAATAAGCACGACGATCCATGCATCGTGGGGCATGAATGGTAGGCTTCCCCACAGAACACTTTATGTATCTACCGTAGCTTGACGGAGCTTAATTAATCGGGGGTACTGCTCATTTGCGCTACTGGTGGAATTCGTCTAAGGATCTAAGATGTCCAGGGTCCGTCCGAATGAGGGACTGCTCATCCCCGGGGCGCGGGAACATCGTTCACATCTGGATAGGCACAGGGGAACAGTGGCGAGGCTTCGGTGATAGACCTTGAAACAATCGCAATATGTTTGGTGCCATGTGTTTACAGCCTTTTAACCGTTCTGTTGTATATAGACCAAGGGCTTGGAAGGACGAATAAGCTCACCACCAAGCTTCTCATCTCATCTACACAAGCATCCTTCACTTCCATTCTCTTCTCTTACCAATTAACGTTCTTTCCAACAACCCAACTTTCCTCAAAATGGTTGCCTTCAGCTCTCTCGTCCTCGGCCTCAGCGCCATCGCCGGCTCTGCCTACGCCGCACCCACTGCCGATGTCCCTGACTTCGAGCTTGGAAGCAAGGCTCTTGCCACCCGCCAGGACTACAACCAGAACTACAAGACCTCCGGCAACGTTCAGTTCTCCCCCACCAACAACGGTTACTCAGTCAACTTCTCCAACGCCGGCGACTTCGTCGTAGGAAAGGGCTGGACCAAGGGCACAACCCGCAAGATCAACTTCCAGGGTTCCACCTCCCCCTCGGCAGGAACCGTCCTTGTCTCCGTCTACGGCTGGACCACCGGTCCCTTGATCGAGTACTACATCCAGGAGTACACCTCCAACGGCGCCGGTTCCGCCCAGGGCACCAAGATGGGCCAGGTGACTTGCGACGGCTCTGTCTACGACATCTGGAAGCACACCCAGGTCAACCAGCCTTCTATCCAGGGAACTACCACCTTCACCCAGTACATCAGCAACCGTGTTAACAAGAGGCCCGGCAGCGGCACTGTTACCACCAAGTGCCACTTCGACGCTTGGGCCAAGCTCGGCATGAACTTGGGTCAGCACAACTACCAGACTCTTGCTACTGAGGGCTGGGGTAACGCTGCTGGAAAGTCCCAGTACACCATCACTGGCTCATAGATTCTCGACTATGAGACAAGGCACTGAGTGCCGATAACAAGGAGACTGGCTACTGGCGCAGCGTAGTGGTTGAGTTGAGGAGGAAGATGTTTGGCTGTTGATGGCTTTCTTGTTGTAGATTCTTGGTTCTGTTCGTTCCTTTCGATTTCGATTCTCTTTGGGGTCTTGACATACCCCTTGCATGTACATATTGCACCTTTATATATAAACAACTATCCTGGTTCTGTTGTCCTGAGGACAGACAGCAAAACAACTTTCCATTGCTACATGTGACTTGATGTTTGATTCGAGGGGCGAGACGAAGTGACTTTTGAATTCCTGGGAGACGAAGAGACTTGAGCTAAACAGGGATAGGATAGAGGAAACTGGCTTCCGAACGAGAAGTTTGATGGTGGTTGAGTCTATCGAAAAATTGTTTGTTGCAGAGAAGAGTAGAACTGAACGCGAGTGTAAGGGTGGAGTAGCTACAATATGAACAGTTCATACGGGTGCGGGCAGGAGGATATACAGAACTGAGATGATGCATATGGTTCCATTGCAACAGACAATCACGGATACGGTGGCAGATGTAAATATTTCTTCTGCATGCGCAACGTGCTAACCGGGCAGTCCAAGGAGAGAACGAAGGAACGAAAGCTGGCGCAGCGTGCTGGGAAACAATCTAGAGAATACAGAAACGAAACATGCATCGAATGTTGCTTTGAGACGTTTGCGCACATGTGGGAAAAAGAAGACTTTTGCGATGATGCTGACGACGGCCTTGTTGCTCTGTCGCTCCCAAGTTGGAGGCTCTGGCGCTAGTGCGCAAGCGGCTAGCCCCACACACGTTCGAAATTGTGTCTCGCTAAGCGACTGACCATATTCCTCTCTGTGAACTCCAACGACCGACAACCAACTCACATCAACACCGTCGTCATGGGTAGGGTCATTCGCAACCAACGTAAGGGTCGCGGCTCTATCTTCACGGCCAACACCCGCCTGAACAAGAACCCCGCCCAGTTCCGCACGCTCGACTTCGTACGTTCGCCGCCCGCACAATTCGCGAAATTTGGAAACATACTGGGAACAGAGGGCTAATGGGTGCAGGCTGAGCGCAATGGATACATCCGGGGTGTCGTAAAGGAGATTGTCCACGACTCTGGTCGTGGTGAGTACCCAGTGCGAGAATTGGACTTTGGGGCCATTTTCTAACCATTTCGTCCACAGGCGCTCCTCTCGCCAGGGTCACCTTCCGCAACCCCTACAAGTTCAAGCACAACACCGAGACCTTCATCGCCAACGAGGGCATGTACACTGGCCAGGTTAGTTGGCGCATTCTGGGCTGCTGGAAATGGGATAACATCTAACATGGCAAAGTTCATCTACGCCGGAAAGAACGCTGCGCTCACCATCGGCAACGTCCTCCCCCTCGCTTCCGTCCCTGAAGGTACCGTTCTCACCAACGTCGAGGACAAGAACGGTGACCGTGGTGCGCTCGGCCGTACCTCCGGTAACTACGTTACCGTCATCGGCCACAACCCCGATGAGGGCAAGACCCGTGTCAAGCTCCCATCTGGTGCCAAGAAGGTCCTCCCCAGCTCGTGCCGTGGTATGGTCGGTATCGTCGCTGGTGGTGGCCGCACAGACAAGCCTCTCATGAAGGCGTCGCGTGCTAAGCACAAGGTATGCACAATCACGGTCTGCTCAGAAGAGCATCGCTAACACACGACAGTTCGCTGCCAAGCGCAACAGCTGGCCCAGGACTCGTGGTGTTGCCATGAACCCCGTCGACCATCCTCACGGTGGTGGTAACCACCAGCATATCGGTAAAGCCTCGACCATCTCCCGGTACGCCACCCAGGGTCAAAAGGCCGGTCTCATTGCCGCGCGGAGGACAGGTCTGCTCCGTGGTACCCAGAAGACAAAGGACTAGAGTGGTGCTTTGTGATCTGGTGGCGTTGGTCTACGATAGGAACGACAAAGATGCGGTCGGTTATTCTCTCCATACCTCTACATGCGGGTGGCCGGGCGTTATAACGAAATGGAAACTTCTCGGCAAGCTAGGCTTTCTTCTACTATGGCTTGCATGCATGATAGGTCCTTTAGGGAATGTGATTCCGAAAAATGTATCTGATCTGAACTTCCGACGTTTGCCTCTGATTGTTCCTGTGCTGTCATGGTTTTTTTGTTATTACATGTCGAGACCATCTATGCCTCACCCATACTGACATCACCATCTCCATCTTCCGCTTCACTGTCACTCCCATTCCAACTAGCATCATCCCTGCCATCCCTGTCCTTTTTCATCCTAAAGTCCATGTCCAGCACTCTGTAATGCTTCCTGTCGCTACCCAACACTACAATCACCCTCCTGCCTTTCCTGCCATTGACTTCTAACCTCAACGGTGTGAACCGGCCTTCAAAGACATGTCTCGTATGTCTTTCGATCGTCTCGCGCGTTATCGCTATGTTGTTGCGCGACAGTGAAGGCGGTGGTGTGCCCTGCGGAAGGAGATGCTGTTGTACCGATGCGTGTGGAAGTGGTGTGTAAGTGACGATGGGATGCTCGTGAGACATGCTATTGACGCCAAGTGTGTAAGGTAGAGAAACGATAACGTTCGACATCGTTTTATCTTCCAACGGAACTTGCAAGAGGATAAGAAGGGAAGAGTCGTCTGCGAATTTGGCGTCTAGGACCTTGGCGTCTTTGGTAGACATAGAAGCAGAGGAGAAGTCAAGAGTGGAGATGGCGTAGGCTGATATGTCCTTACGTACATTGGATATACTTTGCGTATCGGATAAGCGGTGGACATGCAGTGTGGTAGGTGATGACAGGGATGAGAGTGCAACATATGTGCTCATGCTGTCTGAGGACGTTGAGGGCTTAAAATGGTAGGTCAGCATCCGCGAATTTTCAATGATTTTCAAACAGGGAAGAAGGGCTTACCTCAAACACCATCCTCATGTCGAGTGTACTTATGTCATCTGTCTCTCCAAGATTTTCAAGAACAACACCAGAGTTCATCTGTATGTTCGCTTCCTGCCATCTACTAATCTGCTTCAGCAGGCCCATTACCCCTGTACTCAGGTGCCCAAGAACATGTTCTAAACACAATGCCTCCTCTTTGAACGTCGCACCTTCCTTCAGTAACTCAACGGCTTTTTTCGTATCTTCGTAGCTCGCCGCCTCTCTCCCCTTAGCCTTTGGATCCAATTGCGCCTCGGGCCTAAAGAACGGCGCAACATCAGACTTGGTAAGTCCATACTGGATATACGCCAAAACCTGTGAAACGTCAACACCCGGATCACGCTGTTCCATCTCAGCCCTGGACTGCGATTCCAGCTCTGTAGCCTCAAAGTCAATCGTGAACCTTAGCCATTTACTGAAGTTGTGGAACTGTCTCTTCTCTTCTGATGCATACAACATAGCCGTATGTGCGAGTAGCCGCATATTTTTCAACGTCTCCAATAACGCAGAGAATTCGCTCATTGGCCCACTGAATATCCATTCTTGATCGTGGAATTGTGCAAGGCCGCGCAGACGCGAGATAACGATAGAACAACGATCGAGTGCGGGGATGAGATTCTCATGCAGAAGCGCCAGAAGCGTCGTGAAAGATGTCGTAACAGTAGTGTCCCAACGCTTATGTCCTGCTTCTGCGAGTTCATCGACGAGCCATTCTTTGAGGACTGGGTTGCAGTTTCCTGTGCATGCAGTGTGAAACAGGTTGGTGACGAGGTCGCCGAGTTCTTTCTCCTCGAGTGTTTCGCTGATGTTCATCATGAATTTGCGAGGGAGGTCTTGAGCGTGCTTGAAGAAGGCACGGATGCGTTGAAGGGTCTGCGTGATGTATAGCAGGAGATTTTGGAGCTGTGAAGTCTTTGCCGCGATCAGATGAAGGTAGACACCTGCTAAGGGAATAAAGTTCAATGTTAGCGGAACGTAGGCTATGCTCTTCTTTTGGGGCGAGGTAGCGGATGTTGTTTGCATGAGGAGGCTATGCGTGCAACTGTACGGGTGGCTTGTATGAAGTAACGGTGTGCTCGAAATGTCCCAAGCTCTGGGTAGCTGGACGTTTACTGTTTCGAGCGAGTCGTAAATAGAAGGATGGACAGTCCCGCGGTCGGTCAGTCGAATGAACATATCGACGGAATTGTGATCTTTCAGGTGATGCGAGTGCAGGAGTGAGTCTGCCTCAGCCTGCGAACTAAACGCTCCGGAATCCGCTTGTGAGATGCGCATAAATGGTAACGCTGGTGGTAAGGGTATTGCAGGAAGTTTAGGTAGCAGCGCCTCAATATCCATCATAGCAAGCTGATCCGGTAAATCGGGCGCAATATCCAACGTCTGGAAGTCTGGCTGTCGCTGCAGGAAGTCCTCTAATGTGGTATCGTCCTTGAATGCATCCCATTCCTCAGTTGTAGGATCGCCAAAGACGTTAGTCTTAGCAGGTGCACTGCTGTTTGCCTTCTTCGGTTTCAACCCTGTTCGCTTCTTCACAGTCTCGACGTTGATGAAATTTAGACCCCAACCAATACACCTTACTCTGACCGGAGCATCATCGTCCGCCATGCTACCACCAGCTCCTCCAACCTCTGGCAACATGACGTCTTTGTGCGTGACCTTGCCCGTCTCAGCACTAACCAAGTCCGTGCTCCCGTCACTCCAACTGACAGCGATGCTCTTGCCATTGAACTCCCATTGTAGCGCTTCGACGTGCAAATCCTCGTTCTTTCTCTTCAGCCCAAATGCTCTCTGACCGTTGATTCGGTAGACATCGAGATTCTCCTCATCGGTAACTAAGGCTATGAGGTCCATGGTTGGGCAGTACGAAATGAGATGTGGGTGTATGGGATGCAGCAGAATCTTCTCTGCTTGCTGCAGCAACTGTCGGCCATGGCCCGAGTCTGTTTTCGCCATGATTGCCGTTCCTTGACCCCAAAGATCGCTGTTGAGGATGCCAGTTTATGTGTTTGAGTGGGTGAGTTGTTTGTGCACATATCAAAGTCGCGTTCTAAGCCAGATCTGCCTAGCGCGTTCACGCGTTATCACGTTGCTCAACATTACACGCAGTTACGAACGCCGCGTGGAAGTGTTAGCATGCTACGTTCGAATCAGCAAAATCAATGAGACCACACGAACTACGTGTCACGTTTTCATGTCGATGTCGTTGACAAAGAAAAATTGCAATTCGAGTGCTCTAGAAAGAATACCAGTCCTTCTTCCGTGCCTTCTGGGTATACATATCATGCTATCATAGTACAAGTACAAGTGGCCGGCACCCTAATCCTAGGCGCCGATCCCACTACCCTAAATCCCCGTGCCACAAACGCCGCGGTGCAATACAATCCAAGCTCTACAAACCAGTTACATCCTCGCTATAAGGATTGACCCTGGTCCTGAGAGAAGTCAGACAGGCAAAAGCCTGTACGAATCGATGGTCATCATCTGATTGCCTGGTCTATCGGACTGACGAATTCCTCTTCGGCTGTACTGATTCTTTGTGGACTCGCCCTCTGCCTGCACCGCTTAGTCTTCCGTTCAACCGCGCTTCCTCATCGAAGCTCGTCCGCTTGGTATTCTGGCCGCTTTCCAGCTCATCGTCGCTATCAGCCAGATCGCCAAGCTCGAATTGGTTCTCCACATCGTAGTCGTGCATAAGCGCGCCTCGATCACCTGCATCGGCGTAGCTAGATCTGCCGTCGCGAATGACACCCACCGATTGTCGCTCAAAAAGCTCCTCGCTGCGTCGCGCCTGCATACTGCGTCTGGTGGGAAAGCCAGAAATGGCATCTGAAGGCGGGCCGTCGGTGAAACGCGAGCCGAATGCTTTGTTGCCGTTGGGGTCTTCGCGCGAGAGGTTCAAGAGATATACGCCCGAGAAGATGATGAGGAAACCGCAGAGCAGGGAGATGGTGTTGACTGCGGATGTAGTGTTGAAGCCTTGGAAGAGGAGGCAAGAAGCGACGAGGGTACAGGTCGTGAACATGACGTAGTAGAGGGGGTTGACACTGAAAGCAAAAGTTAGCAGTTGTTGGTGGGCACCTAGGCGTCCTGAACATACATGTTTGTCGAGAATTGGCTCAGGGCCTTGTTGAAGTAGTTCATCTGCGTGAGAATGCAGCCAACGACCAGGATTACGAAGACGTATGTCGAAGGGTGTGTAAACTGGTTGTTTCCAGCAAATGTCATCTTCAGGGCAATACCGAAGGCCTTGATAAACATGATGGAGACGGAGCCGGCTGTCGAACAAATGGAGAGGTAAATGAGCGGGTTCTTGCGACCGTATTTGGGCGCAATCTTGTATATCATGAAGATGCAGAAGACGACACAGAAAGCGCAGTAGAAGAGGAAACCTAGGTGACTTTGTCAGTCTCGGGCATGACTTCAACTACAGAAGCTCGCGCAGAACGTACCTGGCTGGAGCGCGAGATTCAAGATCTCTTCGACGGACTCGACCTCTTTGTCTGGCGGCGCATGCAGTACGATGATGACGGATCCGATGAGACATATCGCGCAGCCGATCTTGCCTAGTAGGCCCAATTGTTCGTCCAGGAAGTATGAACCAAGCACGGCACCGATGAGGACTGAAAGCGCTCCTAGAGGCGTCACCAAAATGGCAGGCGCAAAAGCATAGGCCGCGAAGTTGAAAATCTCGCCGAGAACCACTGTATGCCGTCAGTCATGCGCTCAGCATAGCCTTGCATGTGCACTCACTTGTTGTTATGCCGGCCCACCACACGGGGTTCTGTAGGTATCCAAAGCCGTCTCCATTGAAGCCCTGCTTCTCCATCGAGGCATTGAGGCCCTTCTTTGTAATGACAAAACTCGCTCCAATCGCCAGTGACGAGCTCACGGCCAGCATGAGACCAACATATCTGTCCTTATCGTCAGTCGTCAGGTTCCGCGTGCAGTGACAGCATGCAGCATGCCGTCGCTTGGCGCAACGTACTTGTCTTCGACCATGTTGGCTGTGTGTATAGGTCTATGCGACCCGTCTTAGTTGTTTGCGGCCAGGTGATGGCAATGTGCGTGTCGCTGTGAATGTGCGCGGGCGATGGCAACGGTCGTGGGTGGTGTGAAGCTAGTGCGTGGCTGTTGACGTTGGCGCTGGCTTGCGCGGACTGGGGGTTATCGATAGCGTGGCCTGCACAAGGAAGGAAGGAGCGAAGATGCGCAAGCGCCGTGTTGACTGAATGACTGACTGACTGACTGACTGACTGCGATGGAGGATAGATGGGATATAGTAAGCAGCTGCGATGGGAGATGCAACAGGATAGGTTGTAGGTTGGGGATGCTTGCGCAAGAAGCGATTCGCGTTTCACCAAACGCTGTTCCTGTGCCGGGCCAAGGATCAAGTGACTGACTGCAACGAAAGGTGGGTAGACCAAAGATGAGGAGAGCAAGCGAGCGCGGGGAACCTCGTGACAACAGCACGATTCAGTAAGATCAAATAGCAGCGGTAGCGAGTGTTGTGATTCAACAAGATGGCAAGGTAATTCAACTACATGTGCGATCATCTATCGATAAACCGTTCGTTTCCCAACAGGGTGGCGTGCCGCGTCGGTCTCGCCAGTGCCAGGCCACATCCCAAGGTTTCACGGCCGGGCTGCGGCTTGCGTCTTACGCAGGGGTTCCTTTTTTAGCTTCCCCTGTCCCCGTCTTCGACGCCTCACATACGCTAGGGTTAGAGCTGCCGATCACTTCGTCAGACAAAGACGCGGCATTCCATCCTGCAATATCTAACCGCAAATATCAACCTCTATCTTGCCTTGGCCTTGCCCGTCCCGACTTCTGCAAGCTAGACGTATCGAGAAGAGCCCTATTCCGTGTCAAGGTTGGCCCAGTAGTCTCTTCTCCAGCTGCGCCTCGTAATGATCTGCTTAGTGCAACCAAAATAGCATGCCTCGTAACCTCTTCCCCACAACATCAAATCCAAACTCCGTCACTGTCCCTCCGCTATTGGCCCCAAACGAGCCACTGTTACGTCGTTCTACTTATACATCGTCACGTAAGGCTGGCGGGTCCTCCCAACCGGGGTATACCCGAACGTCGTTGTTTACGAGAAACTTTTCGATTGACTCTTCCGTTGAGAGTTGATCGTGCTTCGAGTCCCTCCAGTATATGCTGAAACTGAACTCAAAGCACTGGGTATATGGCTCGGAACACGTTGAAATTACACCTTTCCCACCACCTGATCCTCAATCCATTTCAAGACGTATTATCCTGACCTCCGCGTACTCCAAAGGTTTGCCCAGAAGAAGAAAGCAACGCTGAATGTGGCCCCTGCTGTAGTGGCAGGGTGTAACAAAAAGAAACCGCGTATAAATACGCTCTCCCTTACCTTTTTGGGGCCATGTTTCTTGGCAAGATTCGGTATCCGGCGGCGCGCGCTGCATGGTCGGACCTGGTGTTAGTATACATCATATTAGTTCAAGGGCGTAGTGAATCGAACAAAAGGCGCACGAGAGACTGCTTGTTAGTAGAGTTGAAGAACCCGTAGACTCGGAGGACGGTGGGCCTTCACACTCTGGTGCGCTTGGCGTCTGGAACAAAATAGTCAGCGTCTGAGTTCCGCTTGCGTGTGGGAGAAATGAGCATACCTATCGAGTCAGATGCATTATCCTCTCCATGTCCAGCCTCGTCAATAGATCGCTTCTGTCCCTGAGGGGACACTTCTTGGGCATTGCTAGACGAGGCCGTCGCAGGATCTGCAGCCGAAGACGTTGCGTACGAAGTTTGTCCAGCCACACCGTCCTCTCCATCTTGGGTATCGGCGTGATCATGTGCATTGGCTGTGTTCTCCGAATCCTCTTGGGCCAGTTCCTGGTCGGCGTCCCACTCAGGGTTATTTTCCAGATCCAGGAAGTCGTCCGTACCAGTCAGATCGTTACCGTCCGCTGTCTCGGCACCGGCAGCGTTGAATTCATCTCCGTTCATGAAATCCAACTCTGGCTGGTCATCAAAGTCTTGATATTCATGGTTGGCGAAGTCTTGGTTAATGTCGCCATCATATGCATCTGCAGCATATTCATCTGTTCCATTTACGTGAAAGTCCTGGAATACGTCATGTTCGTCGTCGATTTGAACACCATCCTGGTACAATGGATCATTGCCTTCGGTTTTGTCGTTTTCCAGTTCGACGTGAGACTCCTCATTAAGTGCCTCATCGTTCTCACTGGCCTTGTCATCGTGGCTGTTGGAGCCTGCGACGGATCCATGTTCATCTGCGTCGACAGACTCGTCGCCTTGGAGCGTCACAGATGAGGGTGAGAGTTCAGTAGCGGGTGCTCCTCCAGCTTCCTTGGTATCTACAGCAGGCTCGTCTTCTTCGTCGCTGTAGTCGACAAAGTCTTCTTGCTCCTGCAAGCGGCGAGCCTCTGCCTCAGCATCAGTCTCCTCGCTCAGTTTTGGACTTTCCTGATGGGGTTGGTCTACTACTCCCTGAGGATTTGCGAAAATGTCAATAGGATTAGCAGCTTGCAGATTGTGATCTTCCTCAGTAGTCGATTCCTCCTCGTGAGGTGAATGTTGCACTTCAGCCTCTTCCTCTTTGGTGTGCTTGACGCTCTCCTCCTCATGAGCACTCGGCTCACGATTCTTTTCATTATGTTCGAGCTCGTGGGAAGAATCATGCTCGGCTGGAGTGTGTTCGTCCTCATGCACCTTTACTCCCTCATCCTCCCCTTCATCCTCTCTCTTATCATCTCTGGTCTCTTGGTTGCTCTTTTCTTTGTTTTGACCACCCTCGTCATCAAGTTCTCGCAGCTGCGCTTCTTCATTTACAAACTCTGGCGCCTCGGGTTTTTCTTGCTCTACCTGCTGCTCATCGTCTTCTTGCTCTACTTGCTGCTCATCGTATTCTTGCTCTTGTTCCTGGGTGCCCCACTCAGTGGGCTCATCGCTCGAAGCACCACCAATCATGCCAGCGAAATGTGTCTCACCAGCAACCACAGCAGCCTCGAAAACAGAATAGCCGCTTCCTTGATCGGCATATTTTGCAATGTCTGCGAGTAAAGTAGCGAAGCGCGGTCGAAACATCAAGGAGATATAGAACGAGTCTGGCACGTCATTACCATCGTGTGCATGTAATGCATGGTAGTATCCTACGAGACGTTCAAGTGAAACAGCTACGCATGCTGTGTTATCCTCGAAGATCTCTAAGTTTTGTAGATGCTCAAATTTGAAACCAATTTCTGTCTCTCCTGACACATCTTCACCGAGGGATAGACGGCATGCCTGGAAAAGATCTGACAAGCTAGCTTTTGCAAGCGAGATGTCTTGGATGAGCCACTCTCCACTGTTATCGTAGTCGTGTTGTTTGAACAGCCACATCTCTTCGCCTTGGTAGTTCACAGTAACAGAGGGGATTTCAAACGACTCTGGGTCTTGGTGCTCGTTGCCTTCAGTAGTGGCTTCTTGATCATAGCTTTGATGCGCCGAATCATGGTTCTGTGTCTCATTGTCTGCGTGTTCTCCTTGGCCTGGCAGCATCACACCGCCGTCGTCATCGCCGTCATCATTCCGGACACCTTCTTCATCGTCATCCTTGACAGATTGTGGGAGGGGCGAGTGTGCACGTTCGTCTGCCGCTAGACCGTCTGAGCTGTGATCAGCTAGATTCCGAGCTTCCACGAGTGGACTGGGCGACTTATTGTTTGCAGGCATCGAGAGCAAAGCTTGCAAGTCAGCGGGTACCTCGTCTTGTTGTTCAGTGATATCCTTAGTCTGTTCGTCTTGAGCTTCAGAATGGTAGCTTTCTTGTCGCAGCCATGGTGAACGGAGCTCGGGGTTGTGGTAGTCTTCGCCCTCTTCTTCGGAATAGTCGATAAGATCTTCATCTTGATTCGACGCATCGGTCTGGATCGGTGGAAGGTTGACTGGATTAGGCGGAGAGTTGACCGGTACAGGCTGTGAGGTGAGTGGCTCTGGCTGATCAACGACTATGACGCCGTCATCCTCCTGGTAGCTATAATCCTCCTCAATTACATCCTCTTGGTCAACCATGAAGTCATCTTGCTCGCCATGTGCATTTTCCGCATCTAGGCCGTTGGCCGAGGCTGCATCATTCATAGACATCTCGTCATCCTGTGTGTGGGAAGGCGGGGGGTCGAGATCCAACTCGATGTCACCATCGTTGAAGTCGAGGCCGCCATCATCGGAATGCAGATCCATGTCGTCGACAGTCGACAGTTCAAGGCCTGGTACAGTATGCGCTGCGGCCGCCATGATTTGCGATCCGGTACAAAGCAAGCGTTCGAGGGTGTTGATCTCCTGGTTTAGACGCGTAAAATAAAGGAGTGAGAGAAGCGCGTCACACGTTGGCGCGAGTCACTGGGTGGCGATGCAGCGAACTGTGGGTTGCAATCGGTGCACAAGGTTGTAAAAGAGCTAGAAGCGCATAGCGGCGTGATTCAGGCGGGTCTGGTATGGTGGAAGCCTGTTCGCGGTAAGGGTGAGGAGGTTTGCCTGGAAATTGGACAAAGGAAGCACGGTGGTGTTCGCGCTAGGATGGTAAAGTGCTTTGGCGGAAGCGGGCAAGTAGCAGAGGCCTGGGTGATCTCTACTTCGACTTGACAAAGATGAAACTCGCGGGTTTCGAGATGTGCTGTTCGTAAAAGCGCAACAAATGTACCTCGTAGAAGAGTAGAGCGATAAACAAGCTGCAAGCTGCAAGAGTCGACGGATGGTTCAAGGGAGGGGAAGCTGCTCCATGGAGGAATTGGCGCTAGGCAGATGCAAGCTGCACGTGACTATAGGTGTCCACTTCGGAACCTCCAGGTGTTGCGACTGGTGCAGCCGGGCGGGAACAGTTACTTGTCCAGCTTGAATTCTCCTTGTTGCATGCACTTCACCGCGCCTTCTTGTTCCCAGTGCCAGATCTCTCCCTCTGCCTTCTTTCCCACCAAGGACGCATTTGTGTTCCTGAGCAACTCCCCGTCGGAGAATATTCCCCACCACTTTCGACAACGCGGCCTCAAGCCCAGGACATTGTATATCAGGTCACGACACTCTAAACAGCACCGTGTACCCTAGTAGCCCCCATTGACGCCTAGAAACCATGGTATGAGACTGCAAGAGAGACAATTGCTCGCCCGTCCCTCCACCGACACCAAGCTGACGAAGCCAGGTGGTCCTCGCAGCTTCAATATGCACAAGAGGCGGCAAGGCGGTTGTCTCCCGCCAATTCCGTGAGATGCAGCGCTCACGCATCGAAGCCCTCCTCGCATCCTTCCCCAAGCTCGCCGATAGCGGAACCCAACACACGACGTGCGAACAGGACAATGTGCGCTACGTATACCAACCCCTCGACGAACTCTACATGGTCTTGATCACCAACTTGCAATCCAACATTCTGCAAGACATCAACACGTTGCACCTCTTCGCCCAGGTCGTCTCTTCGATATGCAAATCTCTCGACGAGCGCGAGATCCAGAAGAATGCCTTTGAGCTTCTGACAGCCTTTGACGAGATCGTCACGTTGGGATACAGGGAGAACCTGACCATGAGCCAGATCAAGACCTTCTTAGACATGGAATCGCATGAGGAACGTATCCAAGAAATCATCGCACGGAATAAGGAGCTCGAGGCTTCGGAAGAGCGCAAGCGCAGGGCCAAGCAGCTCGAGATGCAGAGGAAGGAGATGTCAAGATCGCAGCGAGCAGGTGGAGGTATGGGAGGTGGTATGGGCAGTGGTATGGGTAGCGGTATGGGCGGTCGCTCGCCTTCGTATCCCGCATTCACGCCCAGCGTACCCACGACCAATGTCGCGGATACGTACGACAGTTATGAGGCTGAGAAGAAGAAGGCCACTAGCAAGCCATTGGCTCTGGGCAAGAAGGGCATGCAGCTCGGCAAGAAGAACAAGACCAACAACATGTACGAGCAAGTCACTGGCGAACAGGCGCCGGCCGAGGAGGAACCCCTTGTTGCACCCAAGCCATCTGCCCCTGCCGCAGTCGCTCCAGCAAGCGCTCGCCAGTCCACCTCGACTGACCGCGAGGCCGTACACATCACGACCAACGAGACCATCTCCGCCCGGCTGGACCGCGAGGGTCTCCTCAAGTCCTTCGAAGTCAAGGGCGAGATGCAACTCAAGATTACCGACCCGTCCTTCACACAAGTCAAACTCGACCTGGCTACTGGCGATACTCGCGGCGCACAGTTGATGACACATCCCAAGGTGGACAAGACCGTCTTCAGAAACGACAAGGTCATTCAGCTGGCCGATACAAGCAAGGGTTTCCCCTCTAACATGGGTATTGGCGTCATGAAGTGGAAGCTGGCACCACGGCCTGACGACATCTCCGACCCGCCCATTACCTTTCGCGTTTGGGTCGAGGACTCAGGCAACATGTACAACATCACCGTTGAGTACGAGCTCACTGGTGGTGACTCATTGAAGGATGTCACTGTCACTATTCCATACCAGACCGACGAGCCCAACGTTTCAAGTTTCGACGCTGTATACGAGGTCAGCGGCGATAGCATTGAGTGGAACATTGGTGCCGTAGACGAAGCGAACAGCTCTGGTAGCTTCGAATTTGAGGCACAAGCCGGCAGTGACTCAGAGTTCTTCCCCATGAACGTTCGATTCAGCAAGGCTACACCATTCGTGGATGTCGATGTAAGTTGTTTTCAATTATGCTCCACGAGACATCCGAAGCTAATGAACGCCACAGGTGTCTTCCGTAACTCTGCTTGCCATGGGTCAGGACATCAGCTTCTCCAAAGATGTCAAGTCTGTTGCCGAGAACTACACTATCTCATAAACATAATCGTGGTACGTAGAGTGGAGCTTAGATGTAGTCGTTCACAGAAAACGTTCAGGCCACCTTAACACAGAGGTCCACTCGTATAAAGGTATATTCAGATAGACAAAACTGAATGAGATGGATTACACCGATTTGTGCGTCTCACGCCATGCATTTATCTTTGTGCTCCTCCACCAACTTTGACTCAAACTTCGCCATGAACGAGACATTGCGGCGAATGAGATCGAATGCCGTGACTCATTTAAGTAATTCTGTAATACTGCTATCTGAAAGCGACATGCCGCGAAAGCCGACTACTACATCATTGTCCAAAAAACATGATTTTGAATCTACATGTTCACCTTGTCTCCGTATCTCATCCCTTCTCGTAGGATAGATGCTGTACAAAGATTTATGTCTTTGTGAGTATGTGGTATACAACGTACCCAGTCAATCTCACTCCTCCTATGCGCTGCTATGTCGTTGAGTGTCGCGTCGTTGGTATCTGAAGCGGAAAGGAGAAGAAAAAAGTCAAATGCTGTACATCAAAAGGCAATTGAAAACCGGAAGAGATCTATGCGGCCGTGAAACGTAACATGAACGGTGAAGCGAAATATGCGAGAATAAATAATCGCGGCCTGCGTACCGAAAAGCATGGATGGGAATCGGGGTAAGCGTATACTCAAATAACCGCGTCACCCAAAAACGCGAAATCTTCCATAAGCGCATGCACACCACTCATCTCCCTATCTCTCCTCACGCTGACCGTCGGCTCGAGACGCTCACTACCTCCGACGGGCTCTTCAATGGTAGTTTTACTCCCGACATCCTGCTCGGGCAGACTGTACTGGAAGCCAAGTCCAAAACAAGCAGCTTGGCGCCGCGACGACCGACGCGACGAGACCGCATCAGAATGGTGCCCGGTAGTCTCAACTTTGAAGAGATCAGAGCCGAATGTTGAGATGCGGAGTTCGTTTAGTTGCGGTGGGGTTGAAAGACGGTAGGGGGATTGACGGTCTTCTTCTTCTTCATCGTTGGAAGAAGTATCATTATAATTGTAGTTGTTGTCGATGTTCTGAATTTCGGGGGTCATGGACATATGTTTTGAGGCCTCGGTTTGTACTCGTTGGGGTGAGGCATACGAGTAGCGGATTAAGAGGCCTTGAGGAGTATCGGTGTCGCTGTCGTTGCTGGTGAGGGAGCTGAAGGTTGGCGAGAAGACGGCTTCGTCGTCCTCGTTGGACGAGGTTGGGGAGTTGTAGCCGATGGAGTCGTTACTCCATGTGGAGAAGTGACTGCGAGCCTTTTCCTGGAATTGCACGCTGAAGTGGTCAAGGCGTTCGTCATCGTCAGCTTCCTCGAACTCGTCTTCCAGTTCATCAGCTGGTATTCCGCTGGCTGATGCTTCGTTGCATGCGTAGAGTGGTGCGGGTATCAGATAACGGGGAAGTGCTGGGAGCTCTTTGTCAAATGGTGACTGTCGAAGGTTCGTGCTGTGAACACTGCCATGACTCGATGTAGGTCGCTCATCTGAAACAGATGCACCGAGGAAGGTCGACGGTCGTGATAGTACAGGAGCTGGAGGGGTATCGTCTTCTACCACTCGATCCTCGGCTTCAAATTCTTGCTGAAGCTTCGGCGAGGATAGCCAAGGATCGTTAGAAAATAGGTAATGTTGGGTCCGTCTTGTATCGGCGGAATTAGCACGAACACGGCTTTGCTCAACCTTGAACTCGCTTGTGATAACAGTCGAAGGTACATGCGAGCGACGTCGCCTGATAGGGCGCTCATCAACAGTGGGTAGCTCGGCAGGCCCGAATAGTGAATCATGATCAGGATCCACCGGATGCGACGTCAACGGGGAGAACTCCCTTCGGATATTTGGCACTGAGCGCGGTGCCGCACCCTCAGCTTCCCTGATAGATTCAAATGACGGTCGGTAGACTGATAATGGAATGAGGTTGAGCTCCTCGCCCCCACTAACAAGCACCGGCGCACTGATGTCTAGCTCCCTGGTCTTGGATGCACTGCGATTTCTCGATGCAGATCGCTTCGATGCAAGCTTCTCCTTCAGAAGCTTAAAGTCCGGGAAGATAGGTGTCGACGGCATATAAGGCGATGCTGATGCGCTTCGAGCATGGCGCACTACATGTGGAGACAGGAAACCATCTGCAGGGGGATGCGTCGCCGATTTTGGAGTCCAAGGCGACGGTAGGGGCATGACATGTGACTCTTCACTAGACCTGGTTCTTGGGGATGGTAATGGCCTTAGGCTTGCAGGTGGCACTGGCGTGAGGTACCTATCTTTGGGATTCCGGGTGAAAGCGGAGGAGGTATCAGAGGCACTACGGCTGTGCCCCTCGCGAGGTACATCCAGGACGTTAAGGCGCTGTCCGGGCAAAAGAGGACAAAACGTCGTTGATTCCTCAGACGGATTGTGGCATTCTTCGTCCTCATCTACTTTGTACTGCAAAGAGTCAATCAGTGAGCCGATCTAACAAAGCAGCAGACTTACGTAGTACCAGTAGGTGCCACCCATCTTCAGAGGTCCGTCCCGCTTTGGAGTTTGTTGGTCCAGATCGCCGTCGCAAATGATATCTGAAAAGGTAAAGCAACCTTTCCAGAGATTTCGGCCCCCGCGTACGTCAAGTTCTAATGGATAGGGTCGCAGAAAGTTGTCCCAAGATCCGAGTAAAACTACACTGCGCAGTGCAGCTGGGCAGTGACTTGATGCAAGAATAAGTGACTGCCTTAGAGTAAGCGGCACAGAGGGGGTAGACATACAAGAGGAAGGTGTGGAGCGTAGTGTTGTCCATGGCCATGATGTCGGGATAACCTAAGCTGATAACAGCAAAGACCAACGGCGTTGAAGCGCGTATGCGTCTAAGCCCTGGTCACCTCTGAGGTGTCGCATACAATCGTAGGTATCAGATTTAGAAATGCATGCAGAACGGTGAGTTGGATGTTTTAGCCTGCTGCTTCTGTATGGTCCTGCCGGAGAAAAGTCGAGCAAGCAGTTAGCTGATTGGTGCGCAAGAGCAAGCGTTTGGCGAAATGTTGAAACTAGTCCTTCTGCGCGTATGTACGATTATGGCGAGGTTGACTAGGGACGATGCAATCCGAGGAATCAAATCAAGTCGGAGAATTCTTGAAGCAAACAGAGGCTGGATGTTCTATGCAGGCTGTCACCGGCAGACAGTGAATGTTGGATTGTGGAGACAGAGCCTCAGTCGAAGTGGTCCAAGATTGGTCGAATTAGCGCCTGTGTTTGATGTTGGCATATAGTGAGGAGGATGCAGCCTCAGCGCTTAGTATCGACGTTCAAATCGCCGAAATATCGTCTATGTGAAACACGGTATCAGGGAGGGTCCAAAAGCGAGTGAATGCTGTGTAACGGGCGTATGAGAAGAGAAGAGACAAAAAGATGGGTCGCAGGTTGGAGATGTAGTTCGGTGCTAGTCGGGCAGGAACCAAGCGGATGACAGCCACTGGCGCTTTCTTGCGATGGCAGGGAAAGGGTAATTGAGAGCAAAGATTCGGAGATGCAGCTGAAGACATCGTTGATCCCAAACACGCCAAATTCGAGGCGCATTATTGGGCTTATGTCATGGGCTCTCGTTGGCCGCAGAGGCTGGCCGAAGAGGAGACACTTCAGCTCCTTCATTTCCTCAGCCGTCCAGTCCATGACTGCGAAGATTTGGAGTCAGCTGGGGACCGATGCATAGTAAGGGACCGAAGCACTAGTTGCTGTTCTCCTCACTTGTCAAGCCAGGCTGACCAGCATCATGCCGGGCTGCAAGTCTCGTGAAGGAACTGGATCTTGAGATGGCGGACAGGAAGCAGATCCCACGCCTGCTGCTTCAGTTCCCCTGTCGCAGGCAGCCAACGGCATCCCAGACACGACTCGATTGCGCGCGCGGTTACTCTCGCGACCGCCACACGGCCGCTTAATTCGCGGGCCCCTGACACGATCGCCAGAGAAGATGAAGCGACCCACTCACAGCATTGACATCTTCCACGAGGGTTCCGCGCTAAGTTCCTCCAGCTTCTTTGGTGCATGCAGCAACGCTGCATAGCGCATTAGCAATCGCTGCATGGCTTGTCGTTGCTAGGGAAGCTCGTCGTCCAGATTGCTTCTCCGTCCCTCACAACCCGTGCTTGGTGGGAGACAGCGTGGGGAAACTGTCGGCCATCGCGAAACCGGCACTTGGTGCGACCCACCACCGAACGGGTCCCGACGTCTTCACTCCAACCAAGTTTTTGTTCAGAGCGTCACAAATTCCAAACCTGCTCCTAGCGCCGGTTGCGGCACAGCCTTGCACATGGAGAAGCCATTGCCAACCATCTTCGTCAGAATGAGCGACAATGCATGCCCTAGAAACCAAGTTGCTAGCGGCTCCAGCTACGCCGCCATGACGGCGGACGGGCGATCAGCTGGCGATTTGTAGGACGCGATCGGAATTTGTTTTCTCGGCCGCAAAGCATCCAGGTTTCAAAGAGGAGTTATGCAGTCATAACATGATTTGCTTTTTACATCAAGGCTTGAAAGTTGCACAGTGTCCAGGCTCTGACGCATGCAGAATGCAGGGTAAAGTTTGAGCAGGAACCAGCAACGTGCTACAACATTGATGACTAGCATAGCATTGCAACATCTTGATACAGGCGTTCGAAACCTTGCGCTTACTAACGCATGCTGCACGCACAACTGATATTTAGACCTCCAATCAAAGCCTCCAACTTACTGGAAACTTGTCTCTAATATCTCTGGCTTGCGCTCCTCCAAGTCCAAAATCATCTGTCCGAAAAGCCCATTCGCCCAAGAGAACCACTGTCTTGTCCAGTCACTCTCATTAAAGCTGTTGATACTCTCGTGAATCAGACCCAAGCCATCAGTACTGCTCACAATCTGAGCAAGCTCGTTCACAATTTCGCCTTCGTCATCGCTCGTGAAAATGCGTACAATGGAAGCCATGGGCCAAGCCATGCCTGGTCCCTGATGCGGGCCACCAATAGCATTAATGACAGGACCTCTCATGAAGTATGGGTTTGTCGAGCTGAGCACCAGATCGCGTGTGTTCGCATATGTCTCCTCATTAACCGGATACTTGAAAAAAGGTGCTGAGAGGAGACCCGGAATGTTAGCGTCGTCCATGATGACGCGCCCGCCGAAGCCGTCGACCTCGAATGCATAAATCTTGCCATATACTGGGTGATCAACCGTCCCATGCGTTTCAATAGCGTTGCGTAGCGACTCTGAGAGGTTCGACATTCTTTTCGCAAGCGCCGCGGAACTTGTGCTATTGAGTTTACTCATGATTTCCGCTGTTGGAGCCAGGTACGAGCTAAACATCATATTGGCTGGGATGTAGAGCTGGAAGATAGTGGAGTCGTCGCTTGGTCGGAAAGCACTTCTGATTAGGCCAGTTCCGTTGGCAACTGGATTGCCGATTCCATCGTTCGCAAGAGTTTCGGTTGCTCTGGTCGTGGTTCGCTCCCACGTATACGGACTCTGTAAAACCGCTCCGTCCGGACCATAAGTTGGAAGCATCATATCGTCGGCCACATCCAGTACCGCTTCGATAGCTTTGGCCCACTGGAACTTTCCAAAGAACTCGACATCTCCCGTTGCTTCGTAGTAGTCGGCAGATATCTGTAGAAAGGCAGCAAGCGAGTCGAGCTCATATTTGCATTCAAAAACGCTGCTGTTTGAATATTCAGGGAAAACAATGTCCTGGTTTCCAGACTCGTTCTCAGCTGGAGGGATACCGCTTTCGGCGGGCGGCTGGAACGAGTTGCAGTACGGTGCTGTGAGTAGGTATCGCGCCTGGAGGTTGATGACTCCCCGGTACAAGCTGGCGATCGAGTTCGGATCGCTGCTGGCGTTCAAGAGGGGCAGATAACTTTGCAGCTGGTTCGACGAGTCCCGCAGCCACATCGCATTGATGTCTCCTGTGATGATGAATGTTAACTCTTCATCGGTGTTGTTGGCTGCGTAACCTTTCCATGCGATTGCTGTATCGAGCGTGTTGGGGTAGGCATTTTGGAACAGACGGTACAGGTCTGGGTCTTTGATGACACCTTCCATGCGTGTGATAGTGTCCTCAAGGCCCTGCGACTTGAAAGTCCGACATTCTTCAGACGGTCGTTGGTAGGCAAGCTGATATTTGCCGGAGCTCAAAGGTTCATGAACCTCGAGTGCGTAGTCCACGTATTCTGGACATTGCGCTGAGACGAGCAATGGTATGTTTGTGAGTGCACTCAGAACCATGAGGCTGCGCATCTTGACGTAGGGTAGCAAGCCAATCTCGGGATGTCAAAAGGAAGTACTGAAGACATGAGGTATCGCGAGGAAGGCCCCAGAGTATATCCTCGGGGCTATGACGGCACACATGGATCGTCATGGTCGCCGGCTGCCTTTGCTGCATTCGCTGCTTTTTGTTCCGAATAAATGTACCCCGCTTATGGATCTCACGAGCAAACAAAATAGCTTGGCGACGGATGTAACGTTCACTGAAGCTATTCGATGGACCCATGGGGTAGAAAGCACGTCGACGTCATTTTGCTCGTGAACCGGGCCGAACGGTCAGCGGGCTGGAAATTGGTATTCAGAAGAAGAAGGTAGTAACCAGTCTGCGGATGGTTGTGTACAAAGTCTGTCAACTGACTCAAATGTGAGAAGTGCCGACATTTTGCGCTGTCATGGCTGTGGTTGAGCATCAAGCTTTGACGATCTGCGGGGATGGCACGCGGTACGCACCTCACCTAGGCACCAAGGCGCCGAACAAAGACGCACAGCATCACTTTGTGTACGTACCTGAGTTTGCCCAAGGTAGATACACAAGGAACATTTTCGGTGAGTCCCGATGACGATTAGTGACTTTCGACAGCATAGATCCATGGGAGGAGCTTTAGGGTCATGAACCACAATGGGTTAGCGGCCCCGGCCCCGGCATTAAACGAAGAACGCTTTCTGTCACGAGCCTCGTTAGAACTCTCCGCTTCCCCGTATATCATCCATCATGGTCACCGCCTAAAAGTTGACAGCGACACAGATATCTGGTCTTGTGGCTGGACTGTGTGGATGGTGAGCAACGTTGATTCAACGTAACCATATTGCAGCGTCCCCGCCTACTTCAGCTTTCTCTGCAAGGCAATGCGCCGATCATCCTGAGTTGGAGATACCAGGAGGCACGATGGTGTGCTGACTGCCTCAACCAGTATGAAGAACATCGGCTGCATTACGGAAACTGCCGGGAACATAATGCCTCGTGCAGCTTCTGTATCTTCAGTCCGGTACAGCTCCGAGATTCCGCCTTTGACAAAGATTACAAAAGAAAGTTCTTTTCGAGAAAGAAGTCTTTCTTCAGATACGACGCGTCCATCACTCTGCTGCAAATGCTACAGGACTAAACCGTCGGCACGGTAAAATGACCCACTCTACACGTGGGATGCTTGTCCTCTTACTGGGATCATCTGCAGAACGAACCCTCGCGAACTGTTGTCGAACGCAGTTGGACGCCGGTTTTGCCTTAGGTGCGCATAACAAGCTGGAAGATAACTACAAGCAGTTTCTAGATGGGTTGTAAGCTAGATCCAACTTAGTGTTGGCATCTCCTGATCCTTCGCATATCTTATTCGTTGGCTCGCAATAGTTTTTTGCAATTACCTCGAGACTCAATGAATATCACTCGGCCTCATAAAGACAGAATGCGACATCCTTTCTAGACATTAGTGATAAATGGCGTCTCATGCTGACCCTTTAGTGTTATCTCGCCGCTTGAACAGCATGTGAATTCATGGTTGCTGATCTCAAATCTTTTGATCCTAGTTGCTAAGACAATATTGTGGTCTATGCCTTGACTGCTAGATATGAACATAATAACGACAAAAGCATTTGACGTATAGGAAAGGTTTGCGCTAAACTGCTTGACATGCTACTCCAAATGAATTGGATTAGAAAGTCCTGCAAGACTCAATAGCCATTCCTGTGGAGACCGTACACCAGAACTCCAACCCCAGATCTATCGCTGTCTATCCCGAATCAATCCGTCTTCCAGGATCCTAAAGGCATCTTGGTTGCGAATTAAACATAGGCTCTTTTCGATCGAGAACCCCATATTCATACTACTTCGGTCGTGTGATGTAGAATGTGAGGCAAGAGTAGTTCGACGAACATATTCCACCAGTCCGGGAAGAGGAGATATTTCGATCAACGTTCCACGTCTTTCACTTCAAAAGCCGACTTCCTCTCGTGAGACTTGACCCCGTGTACCTGCAGGTTATGCCTCTCAGTCATTACATCGTGTCGTGTCGTCGGTTGCTATGTTGTGGGGTCCTTGGGAGGACCCTCGTATATCGCAGCTTATTCTGTTATTCGCCTTAGCGAGCTTGGAGGGTCGCTCCTTTGCTCATCCGTAAGTGGTGTTGCTTCCGCTGTTCGAGTCAGCCTCAGGAAGGTTGTGTAAGGATGATTATTCCATCTTACCTTGGACTCATTGGTGCGTGAGCCATATTACCACCATTCGATTGGTAGTAGGGTTTTGGCAATCCAAGCTGCGGAAGCTTGCGCCAGCTTCGTTCTCGTACTTCTCTCATGTACGAATCTTGTTCTGGAGTCCGATGGAAACGGCTTGACTCATCTTCAGGCTCTCCACCCATAAATCTAGCGACGGCAAAGCCACAGCAAACGAGCGCGCCTGCTCCGAGAATGACGAGGAAAATGATCAGAGCTGGGGCGATGTCGAAGCCCATGTTGCCGTCCCTTTTCTGGAGATACATCTTGGTTGTGAGGAGAGGGAGTATATGTTGTGATACAAGTGTTTGTATGACGAGAGCGAGTGATAAAGGATGGGAGAGGTGTGTATGCTGCTGTGACACGCTCACGATCAATAAAGCTAAGGCAGAGAGTAAGCCTGATGCGCGGAGGTTCCGGAAGCTGAGAGAGTGACAAGAAAAAGACCGAGAGAATGGGTATTGGTGTGCTGACGACGACAAGACTGTATGGTGTGATGTGACAGCGTTCCACAAACACCGAGTTGCGAGACCCTGCGTGACCCGATCACTAACCTATATACCGTTGCAGCTATCCTTTCGGGAACCGCAAGTCTGACAGATCGTGCATTTGCTGCGAACCTCGACCCAATCGGTTGCTAGGAGAATACGACCCTTTCACCATGCTATTGGCTGTATCACAGTTTCACGTGCTCGGACAGACAGTTACCCCACCTACCGACCAGATCCAAGGCCTTGTTGGCCCTCAGAAACGCGTAACACCCCAGCCTATCCGTTGCGTAGACACGCGTGGAAGTGTTGTTCCCGGACAGTCCGGAGGGGCTATGTTAGCCAGAAGTTTCGGACCTCCTGACTTGGCCCAACTCTTGGACTCTTCGAATTCCTCAGGCATGCGCGCGGTGGCACCTCCGACATTTCCTTTTACCTGGGCGCAATCTTGATGCGAGTATTTCTGTATTGTCGGAGCTGTAGAGGGCGATGTTCGCTGGGGAGACCTGTGGTGTTGCTGCGGTCTCACTCAGCTTAGATGACGCGTCACCCGCACCCTCAAGGCTTGCCGAGCACTAAATTCCCCACCTTCTGAGGTCAACAGCGAGGATACCAGACTCTTATATGAAGATGCGACACTCAATGACGCAAATTTTTGTTCCTGAAAGATGCGCATCGTTCGCAGATCGTCAGGTCCGGCAGTGCGACAAATTTAGCACGTCGTCTCAGCATCCTGGGCTCCCGCAATCCTCCTGAGCCTGAACCCGACTGCCCAGGTCTCTCTTCTCTGACGCCTTCTCATAGTCTTCAGCAACAACCCGCCATATCATGATGCACTTCTTAAAAAAAAAAAAAGTTCTGTGAAGAGCGCAATTTCCTTCGGAGTTCGTCAAGTGTAAGAGAAATATTCGTTCTATTTCCATGTCCTGTCGCACGAAGAGACGGCTGAAATGAGCTCTGCTCAATAAAGTTTGCTGTTGTCTTGTGTCTTGCGAATTCTTAGGCTTCCAAGGTTTCCTCCACTATCGCTAGGCGTACTCTGAGTGAGAACCTCTCTAGACCTGGCGGGCGACGAACATCTTGCAACACAAATCCCAGGTCTCCAAGTCCAGCATCCAGCAGAGACAACCTTCGAACAACAATAGAAGGCAAAAAAGCCTGGAGTCTCAAGCGCATTAGGTTGGGGCTGCACTGGAGATTTGTACCAGCTCTTCCATGAACGACACGCGCTCTTGTACGTGCTAAGATGTTTCAGCTGTACGCATTTCCAGCCTTATGGTGATGAATCATCGCTACTAGGTAGAAGTTCGGTTCTACGGTCCGTATTCAATCTATCTTGATTAGCCGTATTAAGGTTTCCTACGCCACCGGATATAATCGATTCGAATGCAGCAACACATGCAGATATGCTGCGAGTATGTCCACCACCCCGTGGGGTAACTGTTCCACTGCATGTCGGCAGCTGTAGGGCTCCAGTGATTGCCACACATCGGTATTGTATTTGGTTAACCGCAGGATTACTGCATGTACACGCGACGCAACAGCAAATGCTTGAGCACGCAAATTTCCTACGAGAACGAGGGTTTACATGTCCAGACCCATTAATGCACCGAGCGATCCACATCGCCCAGAGTCCAAGTGTACAAAGTACCACAACGTCGTGGCTGAAACCAGCACGTGGTTGGTGATTGCCTGGAAGGCGGCAATGGCCGTAACCGACAATATATTACCCATCACCAGTTCCCGGGCGAGGCTGCGTCTGGTATATTAAATTCAGTGTCATTTCAACCCCAGTGGCCTATCGCATTGGTTTCACGCCGTCACCAGACTGGAAACACTTCTGGGCTTCCAATGATCCAAGAGCGCGGCGACCAGGGCGTGTTTCCATGAGCGGATGGCGTACAGCTCAGAAACCGGGTCGACTCGTGCATGGAGATGAAAAATTGATTGCAAGCATTCGCGAGTACCTGGTAGAGGGAAATTTCTGGCGTTTGGAGAAGGCCACTAGAAGACGAGAAGAGTATATGAAGGGACGATAGATCCGGGTTCAAGGTCTCTCACGACAGCAAATAGTTACTACGCATCTTCTACAGTCGCTTTCTACAATTCATTCACTCTACAATCACCAAGATGCTCTCCCTTCTCCTCCTTCTTGCGCCCCTTGCGGCTGCCCACGGCCATGTTGACAAGGTCATCGCAGACGGCAAGGAATACCAAGGTAGAAAATCCCATGTGCGAGATACTTGTGAGACATACACTGATTTTGTATGTCTGATTAGGCTGGAATGCTGCGCTCAAGTACCAGAACCCCATCCCGGCCACCGTCGGCTGGCAAGCGGACAACCTCGACAACGGCTTCGTCTCCCCTGACAGTTTCGGCACTGCGTCCATCGTATGCCACAAGCAAGGCAAGAGCAACGGCGCCTACGTTTCTGTCAAGCCCGGCAGCAAAGTCACCTTCAAGTGGGACACCTGGCCAGCTAGCCATGTTGGCCCAATTCAAGAATATATCGCGGCCTGCAATGGCGACTGCGGCTCTGTCAGCCCCACAAGCCTCCAGTGGACAAAGATCCAATCCAGCGCCTGGAAGTCAGGAAGCAACCCCGGCACCTGGGCTACTGATGATCTCATTAAAAACAACTTTTCCTGGGATCTTACTATTCCCAACCTTGCGCCTGGTAACTACGTTGTTCGCCACGAGATCATCGCGCTGCACGCTGCTGGTCAAGCCAATGGCGCCCAGTCTTACCCTCAGTGCATCAACCGTAAGTGTCCCTGTATGGACCGCATGTGAGACATAAGCTAACTTCGCACGCCTACATCTAGTCAAGGTTGAGGGCTCTGGAACTACGAAGTTGAGCGGTGGTGTTCCCGCTACTAGCTTCTACAAGGTAAGATACGCTGCTCAAATTATACCTGTTCTGTGGGATATCTGCTAATGAAACGATATAGGCGAACGACGCTGGTATTCAGTTCAATGTCTTCAGGTCTTTCGACAGCTACCCTACTCCCGGACCTGCCCTCAACAAGCTCTCCAAGCGTCATGCTAAGGACCTTGAGTACTAGATCATGGTACAAATTCTGGGGTCAGAGATCTCATGAGCGAATAGATTAGGCTTGACTTCTCACCTACTGCATACTTCTTTCTTTTGTTCGCTGGTTAGGGCCTTCAATACGATGTATATAGAGCATTGATGGAGTGTAAATAGCATTTTAGAATCACACTGTGTTTTCTTCGAGATCCTGCTGTAGCCTGAAGGTACTTGATGCATTATTGCCGCACATGTAAGGATAGGCTGAAGTAGTCCGGGTATCACTTTTGAGAAAAGGCCTGAGAGTAATGAAACAAGAACCATCATTGGGTGATGTGCAGTACGGTGAGACTTGCAAAGCACTGCTACTCGCTCGATTCATAATCTGTTACCTGTAAAACTTCCCACATCTGGTTTATACACCAAATGTGCTTAAAGCCACAAAGTATAGTCGGCAACGTAAAGGCTCACCCTCTGAACATTTCCATAGGTCGAATGATGCCGCAGATGTTTATCTACTACTATGATAACATGATTCGCCCTGCTACTTTTCGTGTAACCAACCCAAATTAGTGATCTCGACCCTCAGATGGGATCCATTTCATACAATATCCACCTGCAAGAGTTTAGTTATGTTTACATCGAGCGTTTTCGCGTGCCATGTGCTGCTGTAGAGTAATTAGGATAACACTCTCCTGTTTGGGACGCTTTCAAGCTTGACTGTCCTCAATATCGTCTTGACCTGGCCGCTTGGGCGACTGAAAACTTCGTTACTGATAGCGGCGCTTTGCTCTAAAGTTTTTAGGCAATTAGAATAACGTCGCATTCGCATACATGTCATACCTTTGGCCATTGCTCTTCTTCTTGCTGCTGACAAAGTCGCTTTTTAACGGCCGGGGCGTTCGCATGCCTAGGTAACTTTCCGCGATTGCTCTCGTACCTGGCCCCGTTTGAGCAGTTGGCATTCTCTTAGCATGTAATCCTTCTTTGGGCTTTATTGTGACGATGCGTCTGTCTTGCTTGTGTTAAGCTGATTCTGGGATTTACTTCCACATTGCTTTTATCTGGACTTGTTCCTGCCTCCGTGCCTTCATGCATATCTTCTACTGTTGCTCGTTGAAGCTCTGACGCACACGTCTTACTTCTGTATCTCGTCGTTTGATCGTGGCTCTCTATCCCACTTCCCCTTTGCGAGGTGCTTCCGTGGCTTTGACTCGTTCTGTATGTCTTCCACTAGATTCCTCGCCTCGTTCCTTTAGTTTCTACTATATGTTTGCCACTTCTTTAGCATCTCCTTGTGCCCTTTTCATTATCCTTGCTGTGCGCTCTACAGTTTTTCATTGTCCAGTGTCCCGTGCTGTCAATCTGAGATGGTAAAGATTCTACTTGGTCGGTATCTGATCGTGGCTGCTATTATATTTGGAATCATTCTTTGTTGCTCTTAAGTGCGTCCCAAGCAATTTCGATCCAATAGTTAGGTTACAGTCATGTAAGCTCTGATTGAGAATGTAATAGTGCTTACATTCTGAAGGCTTTTAGTACTACCCGTGAGTCAGCCCGCTTACTTTCAGAATGGTAAGCGAATTGCAGTCTCTTGGAAGGTTGTGCCATCTCAGCAAAATGTGCGCGTTCATTGATCCCAAGAACGTTTTAGCAGTCCAAGCGATCAGGCGACTTAAGTGGCTCATTCAAAATGTAGAAACGTCAAAGGTTGTCAATGAGGCAAAGGGCTGGATAATATGTGGGTGGATGCAATGTTAAATATAGCAGAGAAGGCTGAAGGAGAAATGGCACAAACAGCCTTATATGCGTACTGAGCGTAGCTCTTGCTAGGTGGTAGGGTGAATGAGGCTGAGTAAAGGTACCCAAGTAGAAGTATCCGAGGGAGTAAGAGAATCAAATGTACCGGAGGAAGACTGAAATGTATGTCAATAGTAGGTACGGTACATGTAGGAAAACGATAACACAAGGACACCAAAAGAAAAAGCGAAGCACTGTCGTAGCTATTTATGCTGCTAATAATGTAAGTCAATCAGCTAGAGAGGCGAACGATATTGGGTACTAGCTATTGTTACCTAGGCTGTTTGGTCTAGGTCGCAGGTTGTCTTCATCTTTGCATCGGATGTTCGCCAAACTGGCTCCGGTTGCCCATCTGCACGCCATGACCTTGCATCTTTTTGCCATATTCCATAACCTCTTCTTCCCATTTTTGAAGCTCTTCCAATTCCCCTCCTTCAATGATCTTTTCAACAGCGCCAGCAAGTTTCATAGCGTCAAGAGCGGCCTGATTCGTACTCGCAGCTGTGTGTGGTCTAAAGCCTGCCAGCGCGTCACCCAGCAATAGTACTCTACCGTTTGCTAGCAAAGCAGAGGGTGCGATGACATCCGTGATGGTTTGTATGAACGGCACCTTGGTCTTGTTGACGAGCTCAGAGAACTGTGGTGGGAGACTCTCATTCGCTAGGTTCTTTTGTCGTCTCCATACGTCCTCCTTAATTCCACCTGGAGGTAGTGTAATGTGGTGCCTCTTTCCCTCATTGTCTGTCATGAGCTCAATGTGCTCCGGTGACTCTTCTTTATAGTTCACATACCAAACCCAATTCAACAGTCGTTCGCCGGGCTTTGTCGTCCCATTCTTGCCTGGGATGGTATACGCTAATATCTGAATGCCGTCGGTGTGGTAGAACGTAAACCTCTCAACGAAGACATCGGTGGCAGCCTGAGAAACCTCGGTCTCGGGTACCGTACCGCGCCATGCTACGTATCCGGCATACTTCCGCTTCACATCGGGGAAGTATTCGGCACGTATTTTGGAGCTGGGCCCATCAGCTGCGACGACAAGGTCTGCGTCTGTTGTGAATGTTTCCCCAGATTTGTGCTGGACAGTGACCCTGACGGGCTCTGAGGAATCTAGTAGCGAGGACGACGAAGGATTTGGCACCACAACACTGGTTACCGTACATCCGTATTCATACGATGTTTTTCCTTCGCCTCCCTCCGCTGTGGGCGTCTTCGCGTAATCGGTTTCGGTACCATCGTAGTTGGTTCGTAGAAGGTGGTACAGCAAATCCCAGCTCGTCATACGCTGCTCTTGGTCGTGACGGTCTATAACCTTGCCACCCTTATCAAGATATAACCTTTGATGACTTGGAACTGTCAACGTAGTTTGGCTGCGGTCGTGCGTTTTGAAGAACTTTTGCACATCTTGTCCAGCCACTACACCAGCACCTTGATCCTGGAGAAGAGGTGTCGGATTACGCTCAAAGATGCGAATATTGAGGTCTTTGCGAAGGCGCTTCAACGCGACGCCAGTCAAAAGGCCACCTAACGATCCCCCTACGATTACAATGTTCTTAGGCTTTGCTGGTGCCATTGTAACGTGTTGCAAATCTACGAATGCAGTGGGGAAAATCGTCAAGATGGAGCTGCTGGCTCGACATGTTGGACGTTACATGTTAAGCTTTGAGGTGACCATGATCTGCTCCAGGATGCGGCGTTGCATTACGTTCGATGACATGGTGGATGTATTCAGACAACCGGATACCTCGGCAGTTGAATCGTGTGGCTTATGACATCATGATGTTCACTCACACTTCCACTCCATCACGCTTGCCGAATCCAAATACTTATACATATCCCAATATACAGTTGAATCATCGAGCAGATCATGTTCGGATATATCTTTCTCATTCTTCCTAAGTTTGTATCCAGCATGAACTGCGGGAAAGTGATTGAGTAAAAACATGGCACGAACAGTCACCTCTAGCGACACTTGTGTTTTTCTAAAAACACAGTACAACGCCATATCGCTCCTTGCATCTGCAAACGGATGTATATTCTGATTGATGCACATATACCACCGTTCTATAGTACTAATCGTCAACTTCCATTGCCCCGAACATATTCGACTCGATCGCTATATGAACGCGCCTTGCAGAGAGATTAACGCCGAAGTTACAGGTGTTGATATAAGGCGTGTAGTACATGGATTATCGCTTCCGCTCGAATCATCTAGGCAGTCACAATGAAACCTGTTTGGAATGGCTGTAAAGTGAGGTCAAGATCGGAGTGCTACCACATATCCTAACAATGCCACACATCAACGGCAGCGGAAACCGGATTTTCGGGTAGATGCAGGGGCATGCGGAGCGACATGCTGCAACACCATGTCTGCACGTTACATTGTTAATCCGATTGGTTACATCAGGAAATGCGAAATACTTTGGACTTGTGAAGCACTTCGTTATGACCAAAAATTACGTCCATGTTCAGTTTTTGTGATAGTGAGATGAATGTCTTCATCGGTATGGCCGTACAAAGATGAGTCACTTGTATCTGCGATAGTTCTTATTGGAGGGACTCTTTTTGCGTAAGAAGTGCATAGATGCCAGAAGTTGTAACTAGCTTGTCGCTGCTTATAGGTAAGTTATCGCAGTACTACAGTTAAACTAGAAAGCAGCTACAGCAATGCTTCGCGATTACGAGCACCCCGCGATGTGAGTCAAAACCCAAAGACAATCCCAGGTTCATGTGACCATGTTCGCGCATGAACTCATTGTTATTTAGTGTTGCACAATCCGCAAGCTCTCGACAACATCCTCATATCTGATCACGTTCGCAGGATCGAGAGCGAGACGCTAATCATCACTTGGTCAAGTATCACAGCAATCAGGTAGCCGCGAATGCATTCTCGGCATGCTGCTGAGAGTGTGGTCTTCGTCTTCATCAAACCACAGCCCTTTTATGGTGGCGCGACACATCCACGGCCGGAAGGCATCAAGACCCTGCCGCCACGGTACAGCCACACTGGGCAGCTTGTATCACCACACGTTTCCCCACACTAAGTGGCTCTGGTGGATCAGTCTTGCCGTGCTCTTGGCCCGGGGTTGTTTCCGCCGATTGCTACATAGCCAAAAGATGCTGGTATATCCTAAAAAGGATGTTATGTCCGATCGATAGCTACCTAGGTACATAGGTACGGGTGACAAGCTTAAAGTATCGACGACAGGAGTGCAGGTAATCTTCTAGAAGACTGACATGAAACCTTTGGGACTGACAGGAGGTTTGGAACTGATCTGACGTAGGGCGATGTTTTCAAAGTTGCGCAGGATAAGAGAACGCATGAATGTCAGACTTCCTGCCGGTCAATGGGCAGAAGTGCAAAGAGATACTGAAACCACAGTACCACATGGATCTTCCTGTATACATGAGCTCAGTTTGCATCAATATTTCAACTGCTATAGTCGCAGAATTCGGCGGGTGCAGCGCTGGAATGCGCCCTGGACATGTCGAGCTCAGCACTGTACCCGCAACCGCGGCACCCATTACGATCAGGGCAACGCTATTCGCATTTGAGCTACAGTGAACGGGGGCCGTAATACAACGCTATTCGACGTGTGTAGCTATTAACTCACATTTGGACGAGAAAATCTAAGATCTGGTGTTGTGGTGATGAAGAGCGGTTCCTGGGGGGATCCTAGGAGGTTCAGTCGTGCCGAAACCTCCGATGTCTGATCTCGGATGCGACGATCCAGCACGAACCAGAACACGATCAACCGCACGACGTACCCAACCGTCTTCTTACCGTTCACGCATCCGTGCATCGCATATCGACCAGCATGTTTGAAGGCGGCCGTCAGATTGCTCTCCGCGGTCGCAGTTTGGCAAGGTAGTAGCTTGTGCTCCCATGGTAGCCGTCGTGACACATCTCTCCGCCATAGCGTTCACGCGTCTCTCCCTGCAGATGGTGCGCTCTCTTCCCGTTACACATCAGGAACAATCACTAGCCTCTGGTGGCTAAATACCATTTGACCCATCTAACAACGAGCAATCCCTTGCCGCTTAGACCACCGAAGCCGCAGCTAAACCCTCCCTGTTGTATTCTGTGCTGAACCTGGCCCATGTGCGAGGTAGTCTTAATACTTCTTACGTCTTCCCGTCCTTCATAGTAGTCGTGTGCCGCTCCTTTCGCCTATGTGCCCTTTGCATGACCTGTCCCGTCTTCTCGGTACCAGCTGCCTCCATTCCTTCCGCTACACGTCCCCACTTTCGTTTTGTTAAGTAAGAGGCAGAGCCTGACATTCAAATCCTCATACCTCATCGATTGTCAATCGAAACTATCACATCCGTTTGGTATCCACACAGCATGGTCAACATGGCGCCTCTCTTGCGCCCACGAAGACTCGATGGCACAACAAAACCCAACACCGACGCTCTTGGTATCTTCTATGTCGTCGTTGCCATATTGTACACACTGATACTGGGTGTGGAGCTCTTCTTCCTACATCGACGTAGAGAAGCCTTTTGCCTGCAGATAAGAAATCTCAAGGTCGTCTTTGCAGCAGTGCTTATGCTACATATTTATCTCATCCTCGTCCTGCTCGTTTACCCTTGGAATGGCCTCTTTCCGTGCTCAGCCGAATTCTGGATTATGTCAGTATTTCTCCCGTCTGGCATGGCATTCTTCCAAGGTAAGTCTGGTGGGCCGATATAGCAATGGATGCATATTAAGTCTTTTTTAGCCTGCAATGCCAAAGTGCTCACAGCATATGAGAGCCAGCGTCGGATGACACGCAACTTTCTGGAGGGTGCGCGCAGGAAGCGGATATCTTACACCCCTCTTGGCCTGTACGAAGCATGGCGCGATCTTGATGCGGCAAAGAAAGTGTACTTTGGAACTCTAGTCGGATTAGTGCTTTCGGTAGGTGATGATTTGTGGTGGCTCGAATTGCAGACAGCTAACGGCCATAGTTCCTACCAGCCATCATGTTGTTTTTCGGCTCCCGTCGTTTCCATGATGCCTACGGTTTCTTTGGTGTTCCGGCCAATTACTTTGAGTGCCGCAGAGGAGGCGAGTGGTATGTTGAGCGAATATGACTTTTGAACCATTCCATTGATTTCGAAGCAGGATCCCTTCAATATTTGTGCAGCTATTCTGGACGATGATTGTTGGACCTTGGATACTGTGGAAAATCCGTAACATCAAGGACGTTCACTCTTGGGCCTGGCAAACGAGACTTGCAATCATTGCCGGGTATGTGCGCTTGTATCACGAACTATTCACAAGACTAACTCGAATATTAGCCTTCCCGGGACGCCTCTGTGGATCGCATTCACGTACTCTGACATGTCCAAAGTCCAGCACATCAACAAATTCTTCGCACCAGCTGGATGGTAAGTGCAGTCGATTTGAGAACTCTATCGTCAATTCTAACACTGCTATATAGGTTCATACCGTCACTAGTAGTCTGTCAACAGGTTCTGATCATCATACCACTCCGAGACGCATTGAGGGCCCGCCCCAATCGACGAGCATCCATATCCGAAACTGACTCGCTTACCTCCAATCACTCGGTCATGTCCGAAAAATCGACCACTGTGGTTTTCACCAAGGAGATGAGGTCCAAGACGTCGATGCAGTCGCTAGAGTTCACTATTCAGCATAGTATCGAACCGCTTATCGCCTGGGCTGCTGCTCGTGAATTCACCGCCGAGAACTGCATCTTCCTGCGCGAGGTGCGCAACTTCAAGAAGAAATGGGGTGGCCTGAAGGTTGTCACCACTTCTCAACGGCGGCAGATGTTCAACGAAGCGTCTTTGCTTTTCTACACGCTCGTCAACCCCTTCACTGCAGAGGCACCAATCAACATCGAATACAAGGTTTTCAAGACACTACAGGTCATGTTCGCAGACGTGGAATTCGATCCATATATGCCACGCAGCCAGACACCTGATGATGTCAAGTCACCGGTCATTCGAGAGAACGTCGTCTGCCCATGGGAGGATACCTTGAGCCGACCAGCGAGTATCGACTCCAGCATCACATCCTCGTCAACGGCGAGCACACGGACGATAGTCCCGAGCGAATTCACGGAAGACGTCTTCGATGCTGCTTTTGAAAGCATCAAGTACCTTGTCTTCACCAATACCTGGCCGCGCTATGTGGAGCTCGCAGGCAAGCTCCCATCGCCATAAACTAATCGCTACGAGACATCGTCGTCGATGTCAGTCCATGATCTGGCAGAGCTAGATCTTTCATTTTGTTCATACTCTCATTAGTACCGATTGGGAATAGAGTCCAATATCTCTGAACTGTCTTGCAAGGCTTCGTCACGGTAACATCTACCATTCCTCTCTCTCTTTCCTGGTTCGTCCATCTTGTTACATAGTTTGATTTGATTGCTTTCGGATAGGAAATACCCTCAATGGCACGGCGTCCCTTTCTCATCTGCTATCTCAACAGTGTCACGTACCCCCATCTGATGTTCACTTGTCATGGCACTCAAAACAGCCAGAACACTGGGCGCCTAAAACGCCAGGTGATCTAGACAGCCTTGGGAGCTTGCCGCTGCTCCACTTCTTTCGTTCATGCGATGAGCTACACATTGACCTCCCGGAAAGAAGACGATCCTGAGACCTGACACATTGTACGTTAAGAGTACGTGCTGCGGATCAGAGGCCGTGTTTGGCAGGACCCCCGGTAGGAACATTAACCTACAGTGCGGTTTCGACGTGTTTTGACAGCTGAGTGGGGCGAACATGGAAATCTACTAACGCACGATAGATCGTAGATCCTTACTCACGACTCACGACGCCATCGCCATTCAGTATACCACCTGTTGAACTCATTTACATGTCTCCTTCGTCTCTGTTCTCTTTTGATGTCCAGAAGAGTGGTTCGGCGACTCCGCACACAACATGACACCGCGCCGCTAACGCACCTCTGCGACCTACGCCGCAATCCCATTACACGGCACAGCAAGCCACCAACAGCGCCTCTTCCACTCTTTTTGCTCCCTTTCTCTCTGTAGCATAAAGACGGCTCGCGTGTTAGTCTCGGCACATGCGGTTATGCATCGAGGGCGTGCGTATCCGGAAGGCTCGAAGTACCGGCGCTGTGGTTTCGCGTTTTGGGACGTTGAACGTCGCAGGTCTATCTGCTAAGGTGCGTCCAAGGACCAATGACCAAGGACCTGGATTTTGGTCGTCTTGTGTGGGAAACTCTAGTTTGAGAGAGTATCAATGGAACTGATATAGGCTGATTGGGTTGCAAGAGCTGTGCTCTTGGGTGAGTGGTTTCGCGTACTGTTTATTTGCGTTGCCGTTCTCATAGCGAGAGCAGGGATCTTGTTCTTCGGTAAATTATCATGATTGTTTAGGCAGCTTGTACCCGAGGCTCTGTTCTGAATGCTCGCGTACGCGCTGTGAGGTCGCACACGTGTGGTTAGGAAGAGACGCGATGTTCCGTGAATTGAAGAACACGCTAGCATGACTCACATATACATCGAGAATTCTTAGTTCCATTACTCGGATCAACCAACAAACCACACTACTATCAGTCACATCTTGCATTTTTGTCATTACCCGGTGTTGTCAAACCGAGCAGCAAATTATGTCATGCCATCGTAAGATTAATGATGCACCATAAATCAGTCGCATATCTGCATTTCAATACAAATGACTCTCCGATAGCTCTATCTCTCACTACTGTTTCCTTCTACTGTGAACTCTTCTTTACCCTTTGTATTTCTATTGCAAGACAAGGCAGTCGTCGTTCCGATCATCCTCCACGCTCTTTTCCCCGCCTTTCCTTGTTGGCCTGCAAACCGGCGCTGTAGTAGGTCGCGGAACTGCCTTTCGGGCACACGCGCCCAGACCGCAACTGTAGCAATAGTGATGGGTGCAGCTGGAGCATAGAGGGTTGCCCGGGCATGCGCCATCCCCGGCGTTTCCGTTCCCGCAAGTGCAGCAGTACCAACCCATGTTGAGATGTTGAGGTTAGTGGTATAGACGGAGTGATTATTTCTTGCGTCGTGGAGTAGACTGAAGGTAGAAGTACAGAATAATCGAAAAGAACGCCATATGGTCATATCACAGGTTTTGCTCGTATGTGTACACACGGTAACATATCATCAACGCTCGATGGGTGTCAGTATAGACAGTGAAGAGAGACCCGACACACGGAGCATTGTACAGTGTACTATGAGATGGTTGGACATGCGGAAGCTGATGACTCGAGAGCTAGTCAGCAAACTATCTCGACGAATCTCCCTGCCCGCCTATATCGCTTCCATGATGTCGCTCACATGACATGAAGTGGAAAGTCGTGGGGAAGCGATGGTCACGTGGTCGATGATGAAACAGGACAGGGTTCCTTGGCGCATGTACGGGGAGGCAGCGGCGCATCAGCTCGGATCAGCAAACATCACGTCGCCCATCTTCACGCGTCGAGACATCCCCAATCAGACGCCCGACCGCTCCCGAGTCTACTCCCCGTCGCGTACTGCCAGCAGCACCTCGGGCATCGTGCGCACACTTGCGCCTGCCCCTCTGTCCCTCTCTCCAGCAACTGCAGGCCACACGACTGTCGGCTGTAGTTGCCCAGGCCGAGAGCCCGTCCCACGCCCGCCCCACTGTCGATTCACGAGCTTGAGCTCCGTCACCACCAGCATGTCAGGCTCAGTCGCTGTTGCCCGCCCGTCGCAGCCTCCCCGTTTGCGCCGGGAGTCACAGCGCCCTGGCGTCGCGCGCACCATGACCCGCCAGTCCAACATGGAGGACGAGGGCGTGAAGCAGGAGGATGCCCGCAAATATGGTACGTCGCCTGGGCCACGGCAAAAAAGGGCACAGTTGCTAACACACGGCGCAGTCTATACGCAGCAAGACATCCTGGCCAGGCACAAGGGCAAGCCGCCGTCGCTCCGTGTCTACCTGCACCCCAAGCACTTCCGCTTGAACGACTCCCAGGAGACGCTGTCCTATGCCTCTCCTATGCGCGAGCTGCTGCAGGCCATCAAGGACAAGGAGGTGCCCCACAACATGGTCGAGGAGCTCTACGAGTTCAACACGCCCTGGTACGACAACTGCCTCATCGTCGAAGTTCACGACTACCGCTCCGCCGGCGTCAAGCCCAAAGATGATACCAACAGCACGGGCGAGGCCGGCACCAGCGCCTTCTCTATCCACAACTACAACAACTTCATAACGCCCTCCCCCTTCGCTCCATTCCCAGTCAACAAGCCCGATGCGAAGCCTGGCCAGCCTAACGCACAGAGCAAAGACGACGAGACCAAGGAGGACAAGGAGAACATGCCCGCTCCGGGTCAGAACGGCGCCCTGTCGAAGCAGCCTGGGATTGGCAAGGTCAGGACAGTGGTGCTGTTTCCGACTCCGCAGTCGCAACTGGCCGACATGCAGCTTCTGGCCACCACGCCCGTCCCTGACATGGCCACCCTCAAAAGAATGCAGGCCCAGGGCAGGGCTGGGGGCATGCCACCGACTCCAATGACTGCAGTACCCTCAACGCCCACCTTTCCTAATGGGCCCAGTCCGAAGCGCCAGAAAATGGTCCTTGACGACAGCAACGTGCACGAGTTCGAGGCTGAGTTTTTGAACGCTACATGCCCGCCCCTCTACCTGGAACCAACCAAGAGCTTCGGCCAATCCCTCGCTCTCATGGATGCCATCACACATCCGAACAATAAGAACCCCGCGCCTCCACGCAAGACTCGTAAGAGGACTACCGCCGAATTGGCTGCCGACGAGGCCGAAGCGCAGAACATGCAGCGCTTCATGTTGGCAGGCGACGAGTACCAGAGCATCATGACGGCCACCGCTACAGGCAACGACGACAACGCCGTGCGCGCTGCTGCGAATTCCCAGACCTTCGCCCGCTTCAAGACTATTGCTAACATCCGCGCAAATCACGAGGAAGCCGACCGGAGGAAGAAGGAAGAAGATGCTCGAATTGCTCAGGCCAAGCGTGCGGCGCAGATGGAGGCCGAGATCCAGAGAAAAAGGGAGATGGAGAACAGGCAGCAAGCCGAGCTTGCGGAGCGTCAACAGCAGCAACAAGCCCTTCGTCAGCAAGCGCATCAGGCGCAACTACAGCAAAACCAGCAACAGAACGAGGCCGCGCGAGCCGCTGCGGCAGCACAGCACCAGATGTCCAATGCGGCAGCGATACAGGTTACACAGACACCCCAATCGGCTACGCAATCTCAATTCTCACCAACCATACGCCAGCAGACGCCCATGGCTGTCTCTGCAGCTTCGCCGTTGGTTGGAGGGCAGTCTGCGCAACACTTGGGCGGCACTCCAATGGTTCCAACAGCATCGAATCAAGCTATCAACAGCCCTGCTCGACCGCCGTCTGCTGTCTCTAACCATCAAAATATGATTCGCTCCGTCAGTCAGCAGCAGAACCTGAGTCGCACCGGCACGCCGCACATCGTACAGGGCACGCCCGTAATGAACGCCTCGATGCCGAATCGCAACATGACGCCTACTCCTAGTCGCATGAACCAGGGCAGCCCATCTATGGCAATGCAAGGGCAGACACCAATGATGATGCAAACTCCTCAACCTGGCCAGAATATGACCCCCGAACAGATGCAGCAGATGCAACAGCAGCGCCTACAGCAGCAACTTCGTATGCAGCAAATGCAGCAACAAGGAGGATCACCAGGTAATCCACAACAACAAATGCAACAAATTGCATTCCAAAAGGCCGCCCAGCATATTCAGACGCAAGGAGTGCCTCCAGGTCAAAATCCACAAGCATACCGCAATCACCTTGCGCAGCAATATTTCAACCAACTGAAACAGCAGCAGCAGAATCAACAGCAATTGGCCTTGCAAAACATGTCACCTCAGGGAGGCATGCAGCAAAATGGTATGCCTCCACAAGGCATGGCCTTTGCTAACATGAACCTGCAGCAGATGCGGCAACGGTATCAGCAACACAAGCAGTCGGTTATGCAGAATTACGGCCAGAACATCCCTCAGCAAGTTATGCAACAGATCCATCAGATGGAAATACAGATCAAGCAACGAGAAGCGCGTGAACAGCAGCAAATTGCCATGGCACAAAACATGCAGAACGGTATGGGCAATCAGATGAATGGTGGACAGATGAACGGCATGCAGAACGGTATGCAGAACGGCAATCCGACCAACCCAATGCAAATGCAACAGTACCAGCAGATGCTCCAACAACAACGTCAACAAGCCGCCAATCAGTCGCGACTCCTGCAGATGCGTCAGCAAGCCATGGCGAGCGGCGGTCAACTGCCTCAGGGCATGATGGGCAATATGAATGCCATGAACGGCATGCAAGGCGGTGGTATGCAGGGCATGAACATGGGTAACATGGGCAACATGGGTCAGGGCATGAACATGGCGCAAATGGGACAGATGAATGGAGGCATGGGAGGTATGCAGGGTGGACAGATGAATGGTGGCATGCAGGGTATGCAAGGAATGCAGGGCATGAACCCGCAGCAGATGAACCAGATGATGATGATGCGGCAAGCGCAGCAGCAGGCCCAGAGGATGGGACAACAAGGTGGACAACAAGGTGGGGACATGGGATGGACTGGTTAAAGTCCACTCTACCAACCTCTTTTACTTTATCCTTTCTCTCTTCTTTGGATGTGTTTTATTAGGGACCTCTGGACGGCGAGACGGGATAAAAAGGTGTTTTGGGGCATGGGGAAAAGTTCATTCTTCAAAGATACCCCCGGTGTTGGGATGGGACTTTATATCTTGTTTACGACAGTCACGGCACACTAGGGTTTTTTGACTGGCATGACTAGGTGGCTTGTTGACTTGCTATTATTGTAAGTGTAGGGCCCTCGTCGGACATTCTATATCATTACTAAATTCTGTGACTATTATCTTCGACTGCGCGTTTTGTAATCGTGCGTGATGTCTGCATGCGGACAGCCTTGGTTATCCTCTGCGCCTTGCAACACTTATTTATTCGCTCTTCTCTTCCCCTGGCCCCTGCCCCTCTTCTCCGCCTTCTTCTTCCTCTCCATCTTCTTCTTCTCTATCATTTTCTTCTTCTCCATCATCTTCCTCTTCTCATTCATCATCATCTTCTTATTCATCATCATGTCCTCCTCCATCATATTCATGTTCTCCTCCATCACATTCATCTCCCTCTCCATAATCATCATGTCCTCCTCCATACTCATCATGTCCTCCTCCATACTCATCATGTCCTCCTCCATAATCAGCATGTCTTCCTCCATCATCATCATCTCCTCCATCATATTCTTCTTCTCCGCCTGCCTCTGGAGCTGTTCGCAATGCTGCTTTAGTTTGGCCCCCTGATCTTCTTCCCATTGGCGGAGGCGTTCTTCGGCCACCTTTTCTAGTTCTTTTTGTGCTCGTTCTGCTGCTTGACGTGATCGCTCTTCCGCGAGTCGTTCTTTCTCTTGTCGAGCAGTACGCTCCACTTTGGCACGAGCTTCCTCTTTTGCTTCGCGCTGTCTCGCTTCTGCAAGTCGTCGTTCTTCCTCTAGTATACGCACTCGCTCATTATTTGCCTCAAGACGTTCTCGCTCTTCTTGAAGCACATACTCAGCAAGATTGCTGCGGTACTCATTCCACTCTTCTTGTACTTCATTGTACCGTGTATCATACTCGCTTCGTGTCGTGGAGTTTCTCAGTACTTCGAACGCTTCTCGTACCTACCATTCGTCAATTCAACTTCATAAAGCTTTGCCGGTAAGTACACGTACCTGTCTGAACTCGACGGCATCTATCGTCTTACCCGGCGCTTTCTTGTCTGGGTGGTGTCGTAGCGCTAGCATGTGGAAAGCCTTCTTCACATCTGCTGCTGTAGCACGCCGATTCACACCCAGGTCGAAGTAATGGTCAGAAATTTCGGGCTCTATGGGCTTGGAAATGTGCATCTTTAAGAGAGTTTGCGCTTATTTTTAACGTTGCTCTTCAATATGCCTGATGTTCGTGCTGTATGCGTTTTCGAGATGCCACAATTACTATAAAATAAAAGTGGCGCGGTTGACGATACAATTGTTAAATAGAACTGCCTGAAAGTGGAAATGTATCTCAAAAGGGTCGTGAGTGGTGAGTGGTGAGGCTACGATCGCAATGCAGATGTATAGAGAAGGGGCAACAAACAACTAGGAAGAAGCGATAGTGTGTGCCGCACACCGAAGTGAGAGCAATGCTGAGCACAATGATCTTTGTGGATTTCAGATGTCCACCGTTTCCTACCCTACAGCAAGTCGGCTATCTCCGGTACCACATTCTCGTCACCTTAGTATGCCGAATCTTTTTCTGCAACTGGAAGATACCATATAATAACGCTTCAGCTGTTGGCGGACAACCTGGAACATATATGTCCACGGGAACAATTCTGTCTACGCCCCTCACCACACTATAGCTATAGTGGTAGTAGCCACCACCATTCGCGCAGCTTCCCATGCTGATCACCCATCGTGGCTCGGGCATTTGATCATAACACTGCCGAAGAGCGGGAGCCATCTTGTTGGTGACTGTGCCGGCAACAATCATTACATCTGCCTGACGAGGAGACGCTCGAAAGATAATCCCTAGTCGGTCCTGGTCGTAGCGAGGCATCGAGCAGTGCATCATTTCGAGGGCGCAGCAGGCGAGACCGAAGCTTAATGGGTGGAGTGAGCTCTGTCGCGCCCAATTGAGTATCTGATCCGCAGTTGTCCTGAGATTGTCAGCGAGTATACTTCATCTGTTTGGAGAGCTTTGCTTACAGGACATGTTCGACAACGCCTCTGGGTTTGACACTGGTGGATGGAAGGAGAGTTTCTTTGCGCTGTCGGTTAGTTTTTATGTCTCCGGAAAGAGAAGAACAGCTAGAGAGTCTGCGATGTTCTGTGACTCCGGATACGTAATTTGAAATACGAGGTCTTATGATGTATGCTAGGCAATGTCAGTACAGTATACTCGAGATTCACAAAGTGAGAAAGTACAGAACGCATAGTGGATTTTGCAGCTTGTGAACTCTCGAAGCTTCGACATGACTACCAAGAGTATTGGAGGGAAGTAGTTTCGCTTCTGCAGCATACTCCCTGGTACAAGATGATATGGGCAGAGGATTGATGGTGTATCACGTGTCTTACTCTTTAGGGTAAGGCGGGCGCAATTAAAGCCCACATGAGAGGAAAGCCCACATTCCCTTGTTACCAAAAACCCACATCCAACCCCGAAAAGCCCACACTACGAGCGGCACCAATAACGAACCAATGTCAGATCGCAGCGAGCCAAGAGCTGGAGGCACATCCCATCAATGTCTTACATGCAGAAAATTCTTCTCGAGTAATAGTCACTTGCGGAGGCATGAAGCCAGTCGTATGTTCACTATCTTGGAATTAGCCATCTGATGCCTAACACCAGTGAGATACACGCAATCGCTTAAACGCTTGTGCCTTTTGCAATCGCACCTTCATCCGTCAGTACGTGTCTCGTGTAGCTTTGTTAGCCTCAAGCAGACTGACATCAACTCCTGCGCAGTGATGTCCTGAGAAGGCATTCAAAGTCATGTCAACAAAGAGGAGAAAATGACGCGATAGCCTCAGCAAGACCAGGACGACCACCTCGACCTGGAAAAAGTGATAATCAGGCGCAGATGTCAGGCCTGTTCGCCAGTGGCATCAACGCCAGTGACGTGAATGGTCACACCACGATACGGGTAGAAGACGCCCAGAGGCTCCTTCCCTACCCAATCATATTCCTGTATCGTTATTCGGACCCTCGCCGCGAATCGATCCTCAATGCTTTCGCTGATGAACGAACACCTGCACAACTTTTCGGTAGCCACATAGCTTCTAATGCAAGCAACCAACTATTCGAAGGGGACATGGCACTCTTTAGCATCTTCTCAGATCTCTTTATGGATACTGGCGCGGATGTTTGTGCTTCGACGCCAACAGCATCAGGAAGGTCTCAACCGATTGCCATTCTTCAGTCTAGGGTTGACGAGCTTTGTTCTCAACTCTTCTCGTTCAGCAAGACGCGTCGAACAGCTGACCTTGATTGCGGCGACATATTTCCAGTGAACGCTGCGAAAGCGGTTTTCACTGCTGAAAACTTCGAGGAATGTGTGTGGGCTTACTTTACGGTCTTTCACCCACAACAACCGCTTCTTCATTGGCCCACGTTCGATATGCATAGTGTCTCGCTGCCACTTTTGCTTGCCGTCGTTTTTGGCGGATCGGTTCACTGTTCTCCAACGGATGGCGCATTGTCCTGTCGTGCCTTCTTTGATTTTGGTGAAGAGTTCATATTCGAGCAACTGCGCCATATAGTAGCAGCGAAACCTGATCTACATAGCGATCCTCATGCAATGGAAAGCGTACAAGCCGGTTTACTTATTGTGGCTTTACAAAGTAGCTTCAATAGCGAGGCAGTTCGCAGAAGGGTTCGGGTCTCAAGGCACCCAGAGCTGACCGTTGCCATACGGTCCCTTAGGTTGCTCGATCCGATGATCCATTCAAGTCATCAAAACAAGGTGCCCGACTGGGATGCATTCATCGCAGAAGAGTCTAGAGTAAGGTAAATCAGCCGCCAGTGTATTCGCAGAACCCGGAAATGAATTGCAGCACTAACCACCCCAGGATCGTACACTTCATGTGCGTCATGGATTACATGAATACCTTCTTCTTCAATCTGCTTCCGAATCTGGCTATAGGAGAAATTTACCAACGACTTCCGTGCAATGACGCGCTTTACGATGCTTGGACACAAAAAGAGTACGAGCGGTTATGCGTAGAATCATTGCGCCCAACGAAGCAGATACCTAGTATCAAGCAGCTGGTAGCTTTGCTGATGAGCGAGAACTGGTGGGACGAGCAGAAGAATCCGCTTCTCAGCATACTCGAGCTCAGGCACCTTATGATCTGCGTATTCGGTAAGTCATGTCGTCTGTTCGCTTGTCTGCACCATGAATATGGGCTAATGCAAATTGTAGCACTGCATTCCATCATCTTCGTATCGCGAGCTGCGCTTCTGACGCCGTCGTCATATCGCGACTTACTTCGCGCAACGAAGCGCTGGAAAGAGCTTTGGGACACTTTGCATACAAAACATGAGGCAGAGCGTGAGAAGTCGTTGGGCTTCGTCAAACATGGTCTGGAGATGTGGTGGGTTACATGTAAAGTTCTTGAGTTGGCACATGCTGGTGACTCGCAGAGTCGCTACATGGAAGTTAGCCCTACGGACTCGCTGATAGAGCTGCATAGTTTTCTCAAACAGTATGGGAACTGTGTGGACGGGTAAGAACGATTTGACTTGGAATATACTATACGGCCGTAAGAGAGAGAGACTTGGTAATCTAATAATGTCTCTATGGATAATCTACGTCGATGCAAAATCTCCTCGAATCCTTCTTACCATCAAATTACAATCGAACCATCATGACACGAGCGAGAACTTAAGAAGATATTACCGGGAGAAAAGTCAAGACGGTTGTTCTATAGCCTGGGCTGTTCTACCAACAGCCAACAAGCCCTTCACCGCATTTATGTGATGAGTCTTGTCGCTATCGTGTTTCATGTTAAGACGCTCCAACCCAATCCATGGTTGTGGCCTGTGGCGTCCTAACCCAAGGTACATCATTTAGCGAAATGACATAATGTCTGAAAAGTATCAAAGCGTTTCAAACACAAGCTTTTCTGACACGGGAACTGACAAGAAACAGGTAGCAGGGTACACGTTTATGCGTTCTGGAAGCGTCGATGGTGATGTTGTGATGTGTTGGTAGGTGTTATCGGTCCTTTTGAGGAGCGTCAATTGTGTGAGGATGAAAAGGTGGGTTCGTATTCGGGTCGCACGAAAACCCGGTGTCCATCGATCGATGCTTCGGTTTTTCGGTCTTCATGCATGTGGTGGGGTGGAGGAATACGATAGATTGGTACGCTTGTGGGAACGGCGGTTTTGGAAAAGTAACGTGGCAACGGCCTCGCGTGATCGGAGAGATCTGAGTATAGAAAATGTAGACAGGCCATAGGTATACTTGCGTTGCAACACAATGCGTGCCGCTGTAGTGTCGGTCGGGTCGTGAAGAATGCTTGGTATCATATGGGTACGAGATGAGAACGACCGTGCAGCGGCTCGAGTAATATTCTCGGGCAGGCAGTAGATGGATCTAGGCACTAGTTTACACTTTTACTTTTCAGCTTTCTTGGAGTCATGACGGCGTGGAACCGGACTTTGGGCACTGCAGGTGCGAAGGCGAAGCGCGACGCTATACGCACCAAGGCGGAGGCGCGCAGCTATCGATGCAGATGGAAATTTCGGCGTTTTGGGTAATTGCAAATTACTGTGGATGGTCTCGATCAGATTGTGAAGAAATTTCCTCACTTCCTATAACCTGCGACTGGATTTTCCTCTCGTGTGTTGTGGGTATAGTATGGTGTTTATGCGCAAGCGAAGGATTGGACGGATGGGCGTTACGCCGTTTACCAGGCGCTATTGTTTGACAGCCGGCGGGGCGGCGCATTGCTACACGGCGTAAAAGCATTGTTTCGACGTTATCGCGAGCTGCCGTGAGCGATGACGGAAGGAGGTTTCTCTCCCGAAGCTATCGCTTGTATGAAACACGACAGGAACGGAGGGGCAACAACAGAAGCGGGGCTCATGCAAGCAACACCAAGTCGGAGATGCACATGGCAGATTGGCAGTAGGGTGAGCGATGTTCTGAGGGTGGCATGACCATAATGTAAGGTGGGTTGTGTAGATGATTAGCCAATCTTTCTGTTTTATTGCCTAGAAAATACTGGGCAAACTCAAGTTCACCGTCAAGGGGGCCTGATACCGAGACCCGGGTAACCGATGTCTTGGAGTCTTGGAGTTTCAATCTTATCTCTCAAGACGGTAGGGTCTCCCTTGGGTCAGGATTGAGTCGCGACAGGGACGGGAGTCGCGAGTCGCCGTGGGGGAGGATTGTTGCAGGTCATTTCCGAATGCAACCTGCGGGCTTGGTGAATCGTGGCAATGCGAATTGATGAGTTTGCAAGACTGGGACAGAGCGATGGGATGATAGTAGACGTGGGCATTGTCAATGATTAGGAGTTAGGAGGTCGCGACAGCGGACCGTCTGGTCCAACGACGGCCATTACTGCAGCCGCGGCAGTGCACGTGTTTTCTTTGTGTGTGGCGCAGTCCAGGGCATGGCACGGCTACTGCCATCGCATGAAGTTGACATGGCTTTTCCTGCCAGACTCACCCAACGCCCGACGCACACATGACAAGACGGTTGAATCGAATGCTCAACTCCCAGATTCAGGGATGCCGACAGAGACCGACTCGACTCACAGGGTTCTTCATCCTCCTCCGGTTCGCGCAATAGTGCAGGTGGAGATTTCATCAGGACAGGGCGTGGCGGGCCCAAGGAATGGGTTTTGCCTCGGCGGCCTGACAAACTGGACAAGATGCATGAGAGGCGCGCGAAAGCCGTTTTACCAATACCGATGCGAGCGATCTTCCCCAGGTTGCTGATGAGGTTGACTCGCTTGTTGTTCTGTTTTGGGCGGTCTACTTTTAGGCGCCGGAGTTCTGGAGCCGCACAAGTCTTGGGATGGACCTTGCGCGTGCAACCGTATTGGCAGGAATAGATTGGGCGGCTGGTTTGTGAATTGTGTGAACGGGTGTGGCGGAGCGTCATGATGGGACGAGTCGACTCTGAGAGACGGGATCATGGCAGGAGAAGGGTGCAGCTGCACTGTACTCGGTGCGCAAGAGATGGGAGACGGGGCCAGTACGCACGACATCCCAGAGCGTATCATGCAGCGTGGAGCAGCCCGGGAATCGGCACTCGTCACATGCTTCATGGCCTCAACCTCTCTCTCGGCCATTCCCGTTGGCGGTGGACAGACGGTGAGCTGAGGCTTGGTTTCATGGCGCATCCAGGCACGGCAATGTGAGTGGACAGCTTCCTTCGTGTCGTTTCAGCGCCTAGGCCGGCCGGGCGCTGCGGAGCCAATCAGCCGCCTGTTCCGTTCCTCGACCCCTGCATTGGCCTCACCAACCCTCCCATGTTGCGAACCTCATATCCACTGTTTCCCTCGCTCCCCCTCTGACCTCACGCTCCGCCGTCCCTTGTCGTGTCGATTCCATACCTTCGTTTCTTGTCCACTTGTTGCTCACTCGCTACGGCAACATAGTACATACACTTTCGCTTCTCATACATCCCACGAGCCCGTTTCCACGTCCCCTATTTCCACGCCTAGTCCCCCCGGTGAAGAGAAAGCCTATTGACGTCGCTGCTCAAGACCCTCGGCCCTACTCGCCTTCACTGTCGCTATTATCGATACCGCACATCGCCAATTCGCCGCCTACGCACTATTGTCAGCTAGTTCCACCGGACTGGACCGCGCCTCGTTTTCAACACTCCCACTACCACTACCACCAATTCATCCTCTTCGACGTGCAGCGCACTGTCGGTTCTCCTCAATCCTTGTGCATACACACCGGCTACTTCACGACACATTGTGATGTATTCACCGTGACCACGGCCTATTCCTACCCCACACTGTCAACACCAGCCGCTTCGCAAAGCGCCCGTGGGATATAGGTCCATTGACAACGACGTCGCGCTATTTCTCCTGCTTCAAGAATCCCGTCACTGAAAGCACCTGGTAGTGCGCAACAATTCACTGTTCGCATCGCATCGCATCACGTAGCCTCGCATCTTCGAGAACCTGCACCTAGCATCCCTTTGTGAGCACCGACTCACAAGCGACCTGTACCTCTCTCTCTACAACCGAAATACAATTACCGAGACATGTCTCTCACACGGCTTCTCCGCCTCCGTGGCGCCCAGCCAACCACACCACTCGCCAAGCGCCACTTTCTGTCAAATTGGGATGCTGCCGAATTCGATGATCTCAAATACTCGTACGGTCTTGAGGGTGTAGACCAAGTCGGCAACTACCTATGGGTAGACACATTCCTGTACCTCCTTGTAGGTATCTCTGGACTTCTCCTTCTTCTACGCATATCAAACATGTGGTGGAAACACAGCCGTCATCTGAGCGCAATGGGAAACTCAAAACAAAAGTACTGGGAGGTCAACCGGACAAGCTGGTGGCCGTGGCTCAACAGACATGTCCTCATGGCACCCCTATGGAAGAAGAAGCATAACGCCCAATTCCAGATTAGCAGCGCCATCGACAACGGAACTCTCCCTGGCAGATGGCACACCATAATGTTGGTCATCTATGTTGCCCTCAACGTAGCTTGGTGTGTCGCTCTCCCTTACAAGGTGCTCGACCACAAGGAGACCCTCGCTGCGCTCCGTGGACGCTCTGGAACACTTGCCGCCCTCAACCTCATCCCCACTATCCTCTTCGCCCTCCGCAACAACCCGCTCATCACTCTTCTCCAAGTCTCTTACGATGACTTCAACCTCTTCCACCGCTGGGCTGCACGCATCACCATCGCTGAGGCCATTGTCCACACGGCTGCCTGGTTGTACAACACCAAGCTCGCAGCAGGATGGCCTGCCGTTACAGCCGCTCTCCACACTGAAGGCTCATACGGCTGGGGTATGGTAGGAACCGTAGCATTTACCTTCCTTGGTATTCAAGCATGGTCGCCGTTCCGTCACGCCTTCTACGAGACCTTCCTCAACATCCACCGTCTCTGTGTCATTGCCGCCCTTCTTGGTCTCTACAAGCACTTGGAGCTGCACCACCTCCCCCAAGTCCCATGGATGCACCTGGTCTTCTTCTTCTGGGGTGCCGAGTGGGTCTGCCGATGGGCCTCGATCATCTACTATGGCTTTGGTGTCAGGCAACGATCTTCAATCACCGTTGAGGCCATGCCCGGAGAAGCTGTTCGTCTGACCATCAACATGGTCCGCGAATGGACTCCCCGCCCAGGATGTCACGTGCACATGTGGATGCCAGCCCTATCCTTGTGGTCTTCGCATCCCTTTTCGGTTGCCTGGGCTGCTACTCTCACCCCCGAATCAAAAGAAATGACACTGCCCATGCTTGAAGGCGATGTCCTCGCCCTCCATGGCCGACCTCAAAAGTCCAAGCAAATCAGTCTTGTCTGCCGTGCTCGTACAGGACTTACCCGCCATATGTACGAGAAGGCCTGCAAGAGCCCCAACGAGCAATTCACCACCTTCGGTTTCATCGAAGGTCCGTATGGCGGCCACCACAGCCTGGACTCCTACGGCACTGCGGTGCTCTTCGCCGGTGGTGTAGGCATCACCCACCAGGTCATGTACCTAAAGCACCTTGTCAACGGCTACAACAACGGCACTACTG